CACACCCACACACCACCACACCCACACACCACCACACCCACACACCACCACACCCACACACCACCACACCCCCGGGTGGGCTTTTCTACCCACAGCCCCACTCAGTTCCACCCGCGTACGGGTTTGCCCGCCCACGAACGTGCCGGGCGTGCTTGTTTCAAAGGCCTAACGACATGGCCGGCGACTTGTAATCAAAGCTTCTTCCTCTACAAATAGTAGTTGTAGTCTGAACAAAGTTGTTCTTATTCTTTTCTGTTCTCAGTAGATGACTCTACTACTCTCAGATGACTCTGGTGATGCATTCCAGATACATAATCTCAGATATATAAACATAATCTTCCAGAAGATAGTCTTAATAGTAATATTTGGCGGAGGGAGGTGACATCTGAGGAACAGGAAGGTCCCCGTCAATCGGATCGTAATCCTCGCAGCAGCAACCCACCACTTCCTGCTGCTTTTCCTGGCCGATCGTTTTCGGCTCCATTCTGTCGCAAGTCGTGCTCGTCCTCATTTCGTGGAGGGGCATTCATGCTACTGCTCGTCTGGAGCTATGTATAGTAGCCTCTTGCGTTCGTCAACATGCGATGCCTCATTTTGTCAATCATGTCATGATTTTCAAGAACTTCAAACTCATCTTATTAAAAATAGAGAATTGATTCGTTTGATGTTGAGAGTGATCATTCTGTTGATGTAGTTGCGAGAATGAGCCAAAATAAACTCAGTAATTTATAATCAAGTATCTCATGTGCCAAAAAACAAAAGAGAGGGGACTGGGAGAATGCATGGAGGTCAAGATCAGGGGGAAATTGCATTAAATACATGCCTTTGGCAGCTATAGTAATTTTCATTCCCTTCTATTTCCTTGTTGCTACACCGACTCGTCCTTGATGACGCGCTATGTCGCGTCAACATCTATCAAGATGTTATTTTGTCACGACACACTCGATTTCCAATCCGACATTCGTCACGTGGCGCTCTCGTCCTTTTTTCCCGCAGATGATGTATGTCACTCCTCGAAAATCACGCTGACGACCACCACGAACTACGACTCACTGTCACTACTTCGTTCTATTTGTAATACGGGACAAATACTGCCCATTCAATATCTCACCACTTAGCCGAACAATAAAGGCGAACAGAACAAAACATAGAGGACTAGAGGACATACAACTACCGCTGCGGGGTTCTTTGGATGTCAATTTCTAATTATGAGACTGAGTTCTTGTCGTACTATGAGTGAATCTGAATGTACCCACTCTGATTCTGGCGGTATGTCAGGTACACTTCCTTCCTTCTTGTAGATACATAGTAGTACTACTCATCCATGAATTGTAATCATGGCAAAGTCACTCCTTAAGCAGGTTAAGCACAACTACAAGGGAAAAGTAGTTCTAGGCAAGGAGACCGACGGACGTCGTCCCTTATGTTCTTTTTATTCTTCAGCGACGCACGTAGTAGTTGAAAAGACTGTCATAATACTGACTCTACACAAAAAAAAATCATCTTTCTGTTGGTGATCTTGCAAGCAGATCATGGATGCTAACATAGAAGGAGTTCTGTCTTCTTCTTCTTCTTGTATGCCATTGGAACTAGTACTACAAGGACTTTCATACACGAGGACAACATACTAACTGGCACTCAAAGAGTAGAAACAGACTCAATAACTACCGCATAGTCATAGTCATATCGCCTGATGAAGATTCTTGGCAATATTTACAAGCTGCGCTCTTTGTTTCTTCTTTATCTTTACAACCAATCAATCACTCAAGATTCTTCAATATGGGTTCAGGGATCTCCTCTAGCTACACGAAATTTCATATTCAAATTCAAAAATCCAAAAATTAATCACTGAAGATGTTAACCGCACACGACTTAAAACGAAACGATTCTGACATAGAGATCGTCATAGTTGTTCTTCTTCAGGTTCATCTTCATTCTACTCCTTCAAAATATATATCAATTCGAGTTTCATATTCGTTATATTTGTATTTGCGGCTGCTAGTTCTCGTCCTTAGAGAAAAGCATTCTTGAAGTTGAATCCACACTCCTAAATATCGTACTTACTACAAAAACTACCTTCCTCCGACAAGACTGTGGCTACCCCACACCGGTACCCTACAACTTCCAGAAAACCTTCCTACGCCGTTGCCCTACTCCAATGCACTTCTCTACTATCCTAGAACTCCCTCAGTGCACTTTTCTATCCTGGAAGTAGAACTCCCCCACTGCACTTTTCGATCCTGGAAGTGGAACTCCTCCACTGCACTTTTCTATCCTAGAACTCGTCCAAGAGTCCCCTCCTCCTCCTACTCCAATTCCAAATCCCATAACCCTCCTCACCTCCTCCACATATCATCTCCTCAAGATATCCCCCCATCAACCTTCTCCTCGTCCTCGTCAACTGCTTAGACGTAGAGTTCCACCTTCGACGAGGTCTTCGCGTCCACCGCGCTCTGGATAGCTTGCGATGCAATCTTCTTAGAACTTTTACTAGTTGCCAGTCACTTTCATTCTTCTTAGCCTTGTTTCGGCATTCATTATATTCGATCTATTTATTAGGTACTTACTTCAAATTATGGCGATACGTACATATTCGCAAGGACTTGCCCACTCCATCTGAAAGAGATAGAGAAAAAAGGTACTCATATACCATATCTGATAGAAGTTGAAGACAAAAGTGCTTAGTTGCAGGTTGTACTTCTAGTTTGATAATTTTTGATACTGTAAGTAATTACTAGACACTTCTTAATTGTCAGTGTTGATGATGATGACAGTTTAACCTTACAGTTACAGGCACTATTCAATACTTCGTAGTAGATCCTATCACGTTATTAATCAGTTATCAGTCCTTCGTTTCCCTAACCTTGGTTTCAGCGGTCTTGGTCATGTCGGATTCCTTGGGATGCTTGCGGATATTCGTGGCCGTGGTGACCATTTGATTCAGTCCGCAAGCGCCCTTGCCTCTTTTCATTAGAAGAACACTGCGAGTGTCCTTTGGAGCGAGGAGCTAGAGGAACAAGCTAAATCTAAACAAAACCTAAAAGTGATAATAACTGAGAAAAGTGATGAAAATGTCCTAGATCATCGTCATCGACTTCATCGTAATATACTGCGAGAAGTACTAGAAGCAGTAAGCACAGCTATCCATGATGATGATGATGATGATGATAGTCTATTCGAGTGGACCTTGGAAGCACAACTATCCTCCATAAATGTAAAATAATACGCTTGTTGTTACGCTTATGCTCTTCACATGATCATATTATATTACTAGCGTCGATGAACAACTATGAAGTATGAGTAAATAGTCCTCAAGTCGAGCTGATCAAAGTATCGTAAGATGATTCGGTAGTGACCGTCCTCACCCCACTCGGGGCCCCAGCTGTTGCGGATTTTCCACCATTTCTTGGTCGAGCCTTCCTTCTGCACCAAAAACGGATGCATCAACGACGTCACGTCAATCGGCGAACCAAGACGAGCGCCTTTCTTAGAAATCGAGTTATATGATAAAGATAAATCCATCTGCAGCAGCATCTTGCTGCTGGTGCAGCCCATTTCCCTGCTGGAGAAACAAATCACGCCGGCATCAATTTTCCCTTCTTGAGAAACTGACTTCTAGACTTATATATTAAGAAGCTTGTTGTAGTTGGGAAGATCAACATGGAGATGCGTGTAATATTGTACTTAGCCTTAACTTTCGTGGTACCAGCAGCTTTGCGAGCGAGCGTGACCGCACCTTGGGTCTGAAGGGCCAACTGCGACGAAATGACGTTCTTGATCGCGAAGGGGTCACCCATCACTGCTGCATCCTCGCCAAACGCAACCAAGGTCACGCCATGGTTCAACTCTTCTGGGTCGTAACATTAGAGCGTACGACGAAGTGCGTGTATCTTTGTATGATTCATTCAATATAATTTGTGAAGGCACTGGATTTTTGACTGATCAAAAATATGGAAATGAAAGTTGTAGTTGTACTATAGCATTAGTGTTTAATATTTCATAGTCACTCCTGTAGTATTTTACAATTTAAGTACATTACACAAACGACTCACAGTAGCTAGCTGCAGTTCATTGAGACCTTCTAAGAAATATAAATGTTTTTGTCGTTTTCTCTTTCTGAAAGAGAAAGTGCTTGGTATTGGTAATTTTCGAATATGAGAGGAAGTAGAAGCAAAGAGGAAGAAGACCACGAAGAAAAATGAGCAAGTATGAGTATCTATGAGCCTTAACACGCCTCTGGATCCGGCTCGGCTACTCCTCCCATATACATTTGCATCAGATTTGCGTTGATTCCGATAGAAATTAGAGGTAGCATGGTTCTTTTGGTGTTAGTTTCTGTTCCCTGCTCCCCGTTCGTGGTTATGCATATGCTCTCCTCCCTCACTAGGACGAGAGCCATAACATCAAACGGTTGTAGTAGCAGAAAAGAAACGCCCATCTTACTAAAGCTAAAGACGGTTGTAACAACAGAAACAAGAAACACCCATCTACTTACTAAAGCTAAAGCCTGCTTGCCCTTAAAGAAAGTGGCCCGTACTTCATCAGGGCTGCAGCCATTTCATCCTCCATATCCGAAATCTTGACGAAACTGTGAACGAAGATGCGCTCACGCTTCGGATCCTGCACGCAGGGACCGACCTCACCCTTGTACGGATATGCCTGCTCGCGCTCGAGTCTGGGGTGGATTCAATTGAGAATTTGACATTGACAAGTTTCTTCTAATTGAAAGTGAACAAGTTGTCCGTCAGAGTCCCTGATATTCTGGTAGTTGAGCAAGAACGAGTCGAGGGAGGAACGAGCATGATTCTCTCACCACTCTTGTACACTCAAGAATGAAAGCCGAGTAGGAGCGGGTAAAAAATAGAGAATTGAAAAAAAGAAACAGAAAGTGAACCAATAAAAAGGATTGCAACGGTCGTCGTCGTGAGTGGAGATCAATCAATGAGCATGTCGATGAGTATGCTGCAGCTCGTTGAGATCATGAAACGACTAAGTACTCGTCAAAACAAATAAGTAGTTACCAAAGAAGGTCGTGAAGACAGAAATGATATAAAGGGAAAGTCCTGCCCCAGCACAAGAGAAATCTGAGAGACGAGTATTGGCATTGATGCCCCACATTCTTACAACGATAAATATATAGAAGAAATCTTCTGAGTGGTCCTTACAACGATACATAGTAGAAATCTGAGAGAGAAGTACCCCACATCCTTAGCGATCAGCCATTTGTCCGCTTGCTCCGGGAGACCTCCGTCACAGCCATTGTCCTTACCATCGCAATCGACGAGCTGTTGTTCACTCAGCGAGTAAAGTTCGTTCAATTCCACCAAGGCAGCTCCCTCGACATTCGCGGAGGTAGCAAAGGCCCAACAGGACCCACAGTGAATTAGAAGCAGAAGAAAAAAGATAAAGAAGTTGTCAACACTGTAGTTGTTCCCAATTTCAAACGTGACCAAAACTACTTCGAAGTTAGTACAGTCTAAAGCACTGCTCCTGTTCCCAATTTCAAACGTGACCAAAACCCCTGCGAAGTACAGTCTAAAGTAATCTGGTTCCTCGACGAGGTGATTTTTGAGCACGTAGTTACATCGGTAGCTTCTCCTCGGCTACACGCTAAGTACTTCCAGTGTCTTTAGTAAGTAACCCGCCTTAATTGACCTTGGTTTTTCACCGGATTGGTGTATCCCTTTTCCAGCCAACTGTAAGAAGCTGGGACGTCGGCAGCATCCCTTCCTTTGAGAAGCAGGGGCGCGCTCTGTTGTGAATGTCGAAAAAAACATTCCCAAGAGTTGGCTTACATAGACCTCCTGTTCAATTACAAAGTGAAAGTTCAAGATTGAAAGTCCTGGCGTGGGTAAGCCTCACAGCCCGGGCTGCTGTGATCAGGACAAATAAAGGCATTCAAATCTGTGATAGATAACTACTTCACATGTCTGTCTCTGTCAGAAACGTTAGTCCATTAATAAGATGCAAAATTTAACATCATTCCTAACAAAACCACACACCCTACACCTACACGACTCCATTCAAAAGCATCTACTTAAAGTCTATGAATGGTTCTGGTATTTGGTAGCCTGAGTTTGATTATAAGGGAAAACAAGAAGAGAACCCTTGTGATCAAATTCAGGTTACGAAATACCAGAACCATACAATCTACTTAATGCCAAGTCGTTTTCAGCATGGCCTATAAGACACGAATCATACGTACCATAGTCGTTTTCAGCAAGGCCTCGTCGTGTCCCGGACGTGTCAAACCCGCATTAGGGTTCAAAACTTCGTTGGGCTTGCGATCAGCCAAAGGACTCAGATGGCCGTAAGGCACCCAGTTCTTATCCATCGCATTCTGACGCGCAGCTCGGCTAAAAATTAGACCCAGGTCATGAACGAGGTCCTAGTGCTCTTATCTATTCATATTTGATGCTAGGTTAGGTTAGGTCGTTATGGCTGCTGCACATCGAGGTCGAGCAGTCGTGCCTTTCGCGTCTAATAGTACAACTACTTACGTCTTGTTTCGCATGACCATGATGAGCACCTTCCACTGTAAACTTCTAAAAATCGCGACATTGCATTACTATTTCTAGTTCTTCTATCAACAACAGGATGAAGACCAACGAACTACAAATTTTTGTATTATCGATCCTTAACAAATTGTCTGCGAAAATCGCCTTCCTCTTGCTGTCTTCGGCTGCGGTAGCGTAGCTTCTGCCATAGAGGCGTTTCCATTCGGCCCACTGCTCATCCAACAACTTTTGGTCCAACGTCGAGGACAGTCCCAATTTAGACGAGTCCCTATGGTTTGGATAGAGTAGGAAGATTCGATGCAGGGACAATCTAGACGGGACCCTATGTTTTGAGAGTAGGAAGATAAGGCCAGTGTAGTCCACCACGTGCTGCCCTCTGATCTTGATGACGGTGTAAGTATACACGACGACGCTAGTCCGTTCGGATTGGACCTGCGACTTCCCTGGATCGCTTTTGGTGTAAGTATATTCAGCGAAGGAAAGGCGCGAAGGGCATTTCTTGGTGGGCGCGAAGGATTTCAATTGTGGGCGCGAAGGATTTCTATGTAATCATTTTCTTTGTAAGGGCATCATTTTGTTTTTGAGTACGTATAAAATAAATACTTAAGATATTAGTGTTTATTGTAGTAGAAGTTACGTGACATCAAAAACAAGAGATATACCGCTTTCCAAGGAAAAGTTGCATCATTGCCTCCAAAGCATTTACATCTTCTGCTGTTGCTGGCAGTGCCGCCAGGCAGCCTGTGGCGACGAGCGCCAATCGGACCATATTTCTATTTCTGCTTTCCTTGATTCCAAAAATAATCGTTGATGAACTGCGACTAGGAACAATTAATTGTAATTGTTAGATAGGATTATAGTTTAGGTTAGGTAATTGTTAGATAGGTTAGATAAAAACTTTGAGACAGGACTAAGAGTTGTCGTTCTTTTTCTATAACATGTAGTTTTTCAATTTCTATAATATGTTTTAGTTTTTTGATAGAAACTAAAACTTCACTCTCTTTCGAATCCAAGATTTAGGAATTGGAAAGTTTGATGCGAATGGCTTTGGGGTTCGGGATCGGGATGCATCACAAACTACGCGCAATTTTCATCGATCATAATTGTTGAGTGACAGTGAGTACGAGTAGGTGTGAATCTCTCAATAAATGTACTTAATAAGAAATTGAAATTATAACTCAAACTAGAAGTACAAGTACAACGACGAGGAAAAAAAAAAAACACAGAGAACTACAAAACAACACGGTTTGGCTTCTCTCTTGGTTGGGAACTCGTTTTCGAAAACTCTATTTTTCTCGAATTTTTGCAGAAAATAGAACACCCACATTTTCGTCAGTATGTGCATAATACGATGGACTGCGGGCAGTACATACGGTTACGGACAGTATCTTCAAGCTACTGACAACAAGTACCTCGTGATTTTGCTATAACTCAGAATCGACGAGTCGCCGTACTTTTCTTGCGATTTTCTTTTCACGACTCGTTACGAGGATTCACTATACTAACTCGCGTGCGATGAACATGAAGATGGACTGACTCGTCTCTCTAATCATGTTGATCGACAAAGAAATAAGAACTACATCTACAACAACAGTATCTACGTCGTCTAACAGAAGTGTCTACTTAAATGCGTCAAACTCTTCAATGTTTTCCTTTCGTCTGTCACTATTCATCATCGTGACCTTGGTGTATGCCTTTGTATTTTTCAGGTTGCCGTATAATATGATGAATCTAGACATCACGGATGGTGCGGGTCACAAATGTACTATTCAAAAACAAGCAAGCAGCTTAAACAACAACAACAGATAATCAGCGACAGCGAGTGCGACTCCACCTGTGAGAAAGATTATAAGAGTTGGAGATGCAGATACTAGTACAACTTTTTCCCCTCTCCAACTCCCCCCAGGAGTTGGAGATGCAGATACTGTAGTACAACTTTTTCCCCTCGAGATTCGCTTCAGGAAGTCTTTACTAGGACAAGTCCGGTGATAGCATTTGGTCTGCATTGGAAGCTGCATTTGCTTTCTTCATGTTAGAGCTCACCCGAAGCCATTCGAGATGCATCTTGAAGCCGTTTTCCCCTTCTACCCCTTTCCTTATGGAAATGGAACTACAGGCGACGTAGTAAGATGATGCTCCTGAAGATGGATTCCTGTATTAAGCCTTAATCATGGCGTTTTTCTGCTGTTTTCGTATCGCATTAGCCCAGTCCTTGATCTCTATTTCCAATTTCTTATCCCTCGAGCAGTCCTCCAGACTCAAGGGCGTTCCCGATATAGGACATACTCGACCAAAAATTAGAGAAGATGAAACAAGTAGGAGTAATGTTCCGATATAGGACATGCTCGAACCACAATTGGAGCAGATGCACCATGGAAGAACAACCATTTCTACAACATCAACAACAACATCAGATGACATACATACATACATACATACATACATACATACATACATACATACATAAAGCAAATCTAAATGGTATCTAAGAAGTCAAGGAAGCTAAGCTAAGTTACCTTAACATTTGCTCGATCCACTGTGCAAGGGTACCTTTCTCAAATACGTGTCCTGCGAGACTCCGGACAGGCTGACCTAGGATCTTACCGTCGATCTCACACAACAGGTGCGCTGGTGCATTTCGTTAGACCAAGAACTACTAGCAACTGATGACTATACGCATGGAGGGTGGAGGAAACACGACGACCTGGTTGCATCACTTTTCATTACAAGAAGAGTGATGGAAGAGTATAGATTGAGGTCGTACCCATTAGATAGTACTTCATTTGTTTCTTGAATTGAAGTATAACAGCTTCACTTTTCATTATAAGTACCTTGTTAGGATTCATTAGGATTAGGATTCAGTCCGCCGTCCACAGTTTTACCTGCATACTCGAGCGGATTAACGCAGCCGTTTCTAGCGGATTAACGCCTTGTTATTGTTTACATGCCTCTCGTGCCATAATTTGATGCGTCCAAGGGAATGCCGATTTGCCGTAGCCGCTCACGGGACAGCGACTTCTTGGATCTCTCCTTGCCTTCATAGCCTTCTGCCAATGGGTCTAACATTAGAATCAACCTAATGGGTCTAACGACATGTGCAGCAGTCGACGTGGAGAAAAAGAACAATCAAGAAAAAAACCACTTTCTTACATCATGGCGTAGAACCAGTGTCAGGAAGAACGATTGCTTGTTTGTAGATCATTTTACTTCATATTTATAGTTCCTGTTCTTGAAGATGAGTGAGTAATTTACGAAAGTAGAACTAAAAGTAGACGAGTTAAATTATACATAGAAGACACCTCCCAGCTTCTCTTCATCCCGGAATCCATGACTCGTCGTCATCCACGTGCCTTAATATTGTTGCATGTTTTTTTCGAGGTCCCTCTAATGATGGTAGCTCCCCGAGCAGTCGATGCTCAGTCCCTGGCGATTGCTTTCCTCCACGTCAGATGTTAGAGCACGAGCACGACGAAATACTACAACTAGACTATGACGAGTCTACCATTCTGAATACCATCAATTATGAATAGACGTGGCGAAAAACACCCACTCCTACGAAAAGAGCTTATTCTAAAAAATACAATCATCGATAGACGTGGAGAAGCACGTCTACTACAACTACTCTTTTTACAACGACAAAACAGGAATAACGAAACCTCTTACAACAACAACATCGAATTACGACCAAAAACGTAAGACTAGTTCCATTTTCGTCTATGCCGATTTCGTGTGGGAACATGCTTGCGTCTTCACTCGGAAATTGCGCTAGGTCTAAGCAGGCTGGGTCTGACAGTTGCGGCACTCTAGAATCACTAGCTTGTTCAGGGAAAGCATATGCATCCAGTAGGTCGTTCTTCACTTCTTGTTGATGATCGCCCCCGATGATCCCAGATATGTTTAGAGAGAAAGAGATGATAGATAATGATCTAGCTCGGCAATCGCAATTTGCATCCACCAAGTAAGTAGCTGCATCGTAGTTCTTGTCTCGATGAAAGATGCTGAATCTAGATCTACCAGTGTTAGTTGTATCTTCTATAGGAGGTATACCACGTAGTACCTGTACCTACAAACGGTAATTTATCAATATCATACGTAGCACGGTCTCCTCAACGGTAGTCTTAACATTGCGAAGCCTGCGGCACTGTCATCTACCGGTGGAAGGTCTCCTGCCAGGTCGTCTTCCTGCGGAGATTCTACTGGCGAGTTTTGCTGACTCATGATTATCGACATCAAGTTAGAGCTACCGCATTCGCATCCATATTAAATTCCACCTTTTTTATCAGCTGTATGGCTCTGGCATTTGGTAACCTGAGTTTCTTGATCATAAGGAAAACACGAAGAGAATCCTTATGATCCAATTCAGGTTACCAAATACCAGAACCATACATCAGCATAGATAACATCAGCAATGGTCTTTTTGCAATTATTTAATGTAGTTAGTTAGGAAGCTGCCGGATTGATCTTGATACGCATTGATGAAAGGTCGAGAAACAAGCCGGTTCCTCAGAGAGATGCGCAACAACGCTCCTGGTCGTATTCTTCATAATCATGATTGCTTGTTGCTCCTCGTAATAGGTTCCCAAGGAGTCGAACAAGTCCTCATCTTCTTCCTCAGCCGCACCATCACGCTCCACACTAAATAAACCACGCGACCTGGACGAGAGGAATGAGAGAGGCGAAGTGTAGTATAGTACCTTTTAGATAGGGTGACGTGAAAGCAGGAGAAAAAAATGATCGCCTGAGCAAGTGATAGAAGGATAGATTTCATCTTAAAGCATGACACACTTATTAGAAGTAGACCTAGACGCAAGAGGAGAAGAAATATATTTATATATATTTTAAAATCTTCAGTCTTTTCAGTTACAGTCGGTCCCTTCTCCTGAAGAAACCATATGTCCCTTCTCCTGAGCACTACCACGCTACACATATCAATGATGATATTAACTACGTAAAAATTTTTGAATCCGACTTCATCAAGTACAGTTTAAGTGCTTCCTCTTCTCCCTCGTAGTAGCTTTCTGCGGATGAGCCTCCCTCTGCTGTCGTATAATCCTGCCGGCCAAAGTCAGCAGCTCCAAAAGGCTCCCCCATTGTGGCCTGTCGCTCACGCAGTATTTCGGTCAGCACTGGCCACCAGTACGGTTCCGGATTCTGCAGCGCTCCACCGGAATATGAAAACGTTTATACTTATGATTTTTATTTGGTCGCATTCGTCGTACGTTCGTGCTGATACCCGTGAAGATCATGAAGAAAGTGTAGCAATACATCTCTCCCAGCCATAAGGAAAGCGCTTCCTGCCGCATCCGCTTCTTGTCCACCGCTGCATGCATCAGCCCCCTCAGTGTGCTCCAAAAGCGGACTTGCTCTCTACCGACATCGAAGTTTGCATCCTCATGGCCAGCGAAGGACAAGGCCTGGTTCTCCACATCAAAAAACCGTTGCATTAGCTCTTCCCTGGCTCCTGGCATTAGAGGAGCTCTCTAGGTCTAGTCGATCATATTTTCAAAGAACTCCAACCCCTACTCGTATTCCCCTCCTTGATAATATCTGCTTATCAAGTAGTTGCTATTGTTCTTGCTATCGTAGTTAGCTAGATACTTATTTCTCTTATACTAATTTCCTTCGCCTTCCACATACATTTATCATGTATGACACAAACTACTACTGGGTTACTATAAATCCTAATCTTTTTCGAGGCCCTTAAAGCTATTTCTTCGGCGCTGGTATTCATTTCGCTGGGATCGCTGCCGGTCCGTTCGTAATCCAAGGGTCGCATCACCAGAAAAAGACTTCGTGCTGGGAGATGATCGACTCTATAGGGCGCCCAATCAGGTACACCGTAGTCGTCGATTAAATGTGGCAAAAGCACTTTTAAACGACAAAGTCCTTCCAAAATCACGTTGAGTTCGTCCCAGTGGATCCACTCGGTTTCTTCTCCGGTCCAACAGTCGAAGTGGGGTCCCAGAAGTCGCTCCAGAAGCTGGCGAACAAAACCGCGCGCGTGCAGCTGCAAATGCCGCTTCACTTTGGTCTCGCCCTCACTTGCACGCCTAGAAAGAAAACCGATCCTTTAGACGTATCCATGATCTGTTACTGTTTTATACTTCATCATCAGGACATCGTTATTCGTTCTCTATTCTCCTGTAGTTCCAGTAGTCTCAGCTAGTTTCCTTGTCAACTTCAACTACAACTGGTACCTAACAACTCCTAACTAAAGATGTTGCCCATGGTGCTCCTGTTAGCAATGAGTTCACGTGACCCGTTGTACCCATAAATGATGGAGCAACCCGCGGCCATCAACCTCACGTACGAGGATCGGGGTCGCTTCCCGGACAAGCTGAGTAGGGCTTCACTATTAGGTAAGACGTTTTCGAGTGCTGCGGAAAAGCTCATCGAAGGTACTTGTTGAAGGTCGCGTTCGTAAGCGCTGTGAAGACATTAGAAGTAGAATCTTTTGCTTTTCTTGTTCCGAGGAAGAAATAGAAAGCCAGAAACAAATCGAAAGCCAGAAATAGAAAGCCAAGGAGCGACGTTCGAACAAGAGGAGGACGATGAACAGATCAAAAAAAGATCTAGTAGAACTAAGTCTGGGAGGACAAGGTATAGAACTAGATCTACTAGAAGGAAAAGAAGGTATCACAATTACATCATATTGTAATTGATCCTAGAAGTTGTGATGTAAGTTGATGTCTAAGTATCTTCTAGTTTTTGTCCTAAAAAACCATGGTCACCACAGGCAACAAGTCTATGCTTACGAAAGCTATGGCGACCTTGCGTCGAAAGGCCTCACCTTCGGACACTGATCCTTCCCACACGTTCATCGTTGCGGCATCAACAGCCGACGCCGCGTCTCCCGACGTGCTCGCACCCGGTGCAACAACGTTGAAGAAAACGGGAGCAAGGGCAAAAAAGGTGCAAGTCACAGTCACAGAGGCAGACCACTAGTTCTAGTTCTAGGAGGTTAGCAGGACTAAGTAGTTACAAAATTTGAATTTGTTTGTCGAGGAGCGACCAGCGGCAGCGACAGTGGTGAAGTAAAATGGTTCAACAAGAACGACTACAAAGCTGCTCTACTGGGCGTAGTTCCTCGTCCGACTGATTCTGAGGGTCGAAACGATAAATAACAAAGGAATCCGATGACAGTCCGTCCGTGCCCGCGGTAAAAATTTTAGCTTTTGCAAAATTTGACGTACCATACATTCAGTCTTTGCGACGCCTGCTCGTGACAGGGTAAACATAGCTTCCGCTTGTGTATCGGAGGATAGTGTAGCAAGCACTCCTGCTATCTCAACGTGTTTATTAGAAATATTGCAGTCAATGAGAACAATCAGTTATCAGTTACGCAAGAAAAAATCTTGAAGAATATCTGATGTCAAATAACCTCAGTAAGCGTCTGCGTTGTAACTAAATAGGTACTTAAGAGCAAGTACTAACGCGAAACTCATTCCATTAGCCTTAACTCCAGCCTCAAGCACCAGCTTGGAGAATAGGCAGCAATTGAAGACGTCGCACCCTGTAAGCTCAAAGAGTTCTGCAGCGCTCAGAGTTCTACCCAGACAAGCAACCAGAGATCGCCACATTGCTCGACAGACTTGTCGTCCCACTGGGAGTGCCTCTTCAGACACATGCAGGCAAAGGGTTGACACAAGGAAATGATTTAGAGCTTATTTTCATGCATATGAACACGCTTCTTGCATGAACTTGAACTATGAGGATCCGGAACAATAGTTGCTTGTAGCGTAATCATGCAAGCAGGTGGAGGAGTACCTACGTTGTCATCTTCACAGTTGTTGGTAAGAAGTGTTTGATAGCCTTAAATCAAAAGCCGCAGAAAGGCTTTCCAAGCAATTGACGGCCATCATGTTCTTCACCTCTACTTCCTCGTCAGCGGACGGCGCTGCCGTACTATCCTTCGAGGAGTGCGGACTTGACCGTAGCATCTCCAAGTTTTCCGGTTCGATTTAGACCACTTCCAACTTCCACTACACCACCCAATCAAGAAACAATATGATATATAGGATCAACAAACAGTAACGAACAAGTACAAGAACAATAATAAGGTAGAGCTTTACTGAAGACCCTGTACTTGAAGTGCTCGTACACGTTGGCGCTCGCTATTAGTTGATCTAGTTGCGCCACCGCTTGATGCCAATCAGGAAAAAATTATCATCATCATCATCATCCGGTTACTTTGGAACAACTTTGGATCTTTTTTGGGGGGATCTGTTTACGAACAAGTACAAGAACGTGTATGTAGAGAAAGTTGTGCCAAAAACCCATGGTCTTAGTCTACTTGTTGAGCACAAGAACAAAAAACTCCTGTAGTCATAATTGATACGTTTTCCCTTACCGCCATGTTGTCCTCCCTCTTTGCTGTCTGTCCTGAATTTGACACAAAAGCGCCCGCTCGTTGGATCGAACGCCGTGACATCCACAACTTCGCCGTTTAGGGTCTGCCCCTCTTCGGAAACCAAACCGTGGATCGTAGCCCGCGAAGAAAATGTTGGGCCTACGTACTTTTCGAAGACAACCGCGAGCAAGTTGAAGAGGCACAAAAACGGCAGCAAAACAATCCGATCGACTCGCGATGAGGATTGTGAGAAACTTCTGTCGGCTCCATGCGGATCGGCTGCTCCAATTACATTCTTGTCAAACAACTCGGGGACCGGCACACCAGCTAAAATCCCACTTTCCGGCGGAACGCCTGCGAGATACAGAGAGTACTCATCCGCGAACGCGCGAATGCCACGGATGAGAACCAACAGGAGATCCGAGAGAAAACCGTGGTTGTTACTCAGTATAGCTCCGCCACTGTCTAGCCCATTGATGCAACGAGTCAACTTCAACTGGTACTCCATGTCATTCAACAAAGCGGCGTTGCCAACGCTCAGCTCCCCGAGTCGCCGAAGCTCGAACGTCACGATTTCCGCGGGCTGCATCTTGTTGCTCCGCTTCCGCTACTGGCTGTTCATCCAAGTGCAGTATCGACGATACCCTAAGTAAAGAAATCGACTGCCGGCAAAAATTCGAAACTAAATAAAGAATATCTTCTAAAGCGAGCCGCTATCGTTCTTGTGCTGCATCCAGCACGTCGTGGATCTTTGACCACGCTGAAGATGCCTTGAGTGGCGACATTTTCGGTATCATGACTACACTACACCTAGCCATCTGCTTCATTCACGTTGTTTCCTTATTCTTCTCTATATTTTGCATCGGAAGATTCCCATTTAAGCTTTTTGAAAACGGGAAGTTAAACTACTTCTTTTTTGATTTGGCCGCTTTAGTTTGAGTCTGCTTATTCTTTTTCAAATGAAAGCTCTCCTGTCAAAGGACACACAAGCCTCACGCGCGTCACTAGCGAGACGAAAGCCTCTGATACTCAGATCGTTAGCATATGCTTTACATCTTCGTGGCCACGGAAGAGTGAAAGTCATCGTCATGTATTGACTAGTACCCTTCATCTATCCTCATCTTTTACAAGTTTCCTGTTGTAAAAAACTTGCAGTTAGTAAGAGTCAGTAACTGTGGGACAAGACACTACAACTAATGTCTTTTCATTGCGGCAAGAAACTTCAGCACGTCAGGAACTTCTAGGGCATAGTCTGCTGCGGTATTGCGGACATGGGTCGTTGAGTTACCTGCTCTTGCTCTCGCGCATCCTGTAATACGCGGAGTTGGAGTCGAATATCGTTAGCCGAGTTACCGAACTTCTTGCGGAAATCAGGTGGTACTGGTGGGCCTGCGAGATTCTGTCCCAAATCAAAGACTTTCAACGCTGCCCGCAGCACAACTTCGGCGCTACTTCCAGCACGCTCAAATACCTGACACGGCAGCGGAGGGAGTCGAAGTTGAAAACCAGATTGATCGTAGATGTAGAAAGTAAGTACAACTACTACTCAAATTTAGTCATTCACTGTCAAAAAAATTTAATTTTCTTTGTTGATGTTACAGTTATTTACAAAACAACTCTGAGGAAAAAAAGTGATCAAAATCAAAAATTCCTATGAAGAACTAAATGAAGCCGTATTCACACCTCAATGCCACTAAGAAACGCGGTCGCCGCCTCTTTTTTTCGTTCCTCAGTCACCACTCCGACACTCATTTCTTCTTCTTCTTGTCGTATGGTACTAGTGCCCATCCTTGTTGGTGGAGAGGATGAGGAAGGTGTCAAGAGACAACTACCGAATTGCATGTACGCATAAGCAGTATTTTCGTGCGAATCGCCAAGAACTTGCAATGCTCCTGCTACTGCTCGTCGGTGAAATTCCAGAGCCTCCTCCGTTCTTCCTGCTCCCTCTAGAGCTGAGGCACAGGCCCCGACCGAAACGAGTGTGGCTGGGTGCTGGGCTCCACAGTATTCTTCTCGCAGTGACAAGGCAAGCTTCAAGCGTGAAACTGCTTTTTCGCTGGTAGTTTCGCTACCTCCGTTGTTGAAAGTCTCACTGCTACAGTCTTTATTCTGATGACAACAGGAGTCCATATTTTTTTCTTCTGGTTCTGGGTTTTCTTTCCGATTCCGTGTCTTCTCCTCAGCAGTTATCGCATTAGACGCCATGGCTGCTTGTATCTGTTCTCTCTTCGCTTGCTGCAGATACAGCATGCCGAGGATAAAGGCACTCTGCGCAGCTTCCTTGCCTTGATCTTTTGCTGCCAATTTCTCTCCTAGTTGCGCAGCTTCATCCTTGCCTTGATCTTTTGCTGCCAGTTTCTCTCGTAGTACCTCTTCCAACTGCGCTAGTGCTCCAACGGTATCACCAGCCTGCAACCGAGACAGAGCCTTCTCGTGCTTCGCATCGTCATCATCTACTCTATTGGTTGATGGGTTACCACCCCGTTCTACAGCGTGAATTTGTTGCTGCGGCTTCTTCATGTTGGTGGTTTCTATCTCCTCTTTCGAAGCTGTAGCACAGTCTTCTCCGCCTGCCGATAGAAGGGTTGGCTCCCTCCGTGTTTTTGCACCACTTCCCCCCCCGGCTGCAGCAGCCGCGGCAGGTGGCGGAGGCAAGAAAGGATCTGTACTGATGAAATTCATCTTGCTCTGGGTCTAGCAGTTGTCCTAATTCAATTTCTCTGTACTTGTTAGTTAGCTTGATTTATGTTGTTTCTCCTTAAGTACTTTTCCTGCACTTCCAAAAGCATATGAACACTAAAAAAACTCTCAGTTACTAACTAGGATAGGATAGGAGCTGGCTCGCCTCGAGGAGGTGAGCATTCACGACTATGAAAACGCCGAGAAAGAATCTACTTTACTAGACCGAGCTGTGCTTGAGCTGCACGCGAGGACCGACACCAACCTCCTTGTATACTTTCCTGTTTCCGGACTAAAAACAACCCGCCTCGATCTCGCTCATTTAGAACTAAAATAAGGCGTCACTCGTCACTCAGGAAGCAGTCCTCGCAAAATCACTCCACCAGATAATGATAATGCATCGCTACTAGAGCAACATCATCATCTTCACAAGACTCACCTACCGACTAGACACGAAGATGAAGGAACACCTCTTCCTCAAAAAGGCAAATATAAATGAACAAGAGTGATATACATATGGAATATCTTGATATGTAAGTGGAAGTTTCAAGGATTTTCTTGGTGAAGAGGAAAGGGATCAGCATGGCGATGCACAGACGAGTGCTAATGGGAAGTCATTCACGGAATGGGGAGTTTCAATCTCCAACGAACTGTAGTCCGACTGCATTAGTTTAGTAGACTTAGTATGCATAATGAGAGCTTCATCGTGATGTACTGGTACTAGGAGCATTATATAATCGATCTCATCTCCTGTATCTTCTCTTTCTTTGCAAAACCTAGCCACGACGTACCTACTATTCGTTCCTCGTATTTTGTTCCAAAATCTTCTCCAATTATCACTTGCAAGATGCAATTATCGGGCAACACCACTAAGAAGTACCTTCTTTCTACTAGTATTCTGTGTATCTAGCGATAATGAGTGCAAAAGCTGCCTTTCTGTGCATTTATTTCATGTTAGGATGCAATGTTGTCAATAGTAAGTACACCTATGAAATTGCAAGATGAGCCATAGCTGCAGTCTGCTTTATGTTGACATTACCATGATTATGTTCATGTTCCACTATGCGCACATGATCCACCAGTTCATCTTCTGTTCATCAGCTTAATTATCCAAGAATGGACGAGGTACCTGCACCCCCAGAAAAGATCATGATCATCTTCCATACTATTACTACTAACCATGAGGGCTGAGCGCCACCAGGACCGCAGCAGACTGGTGTCGTTCGTAGAGGTACTGCAGGTGCAGTGGACTACAGGAGTGACTGCGATAGTCCTCCACCACTTCGATTGTCGGCGTCCACCCGAAAGACGTTTCCCCAGTATTTCCATGTGTCCAAAAACCATGCTCCGCCTCCCGATGAACCTGATGATTGATACCATTCCTCCACACCAAAAAAATACCACAACCAAGAGCAACATCTGTAAGATCCTTCCACCTACTCGCCCAGCACCTGTTTCGTTTTCTGTCGTAGAAATCGAAAGGATCGCCGCTCGTCGTATTTGTTATACGCGGGACGCCTGACATCTCGCAAAAAGTCTGCGCCGAGGCCTGTGATCGCAGGTGGCTTTCTCTGTGCGAACAGCTTCTCTGGACCGCCAATGAACGCATTCTCCTGATTCCGAATGGCAATTTCGATAGCGGCACGCTCCGCAGGTCGCGCTTCGAATTCCAACATCCTGGTGTTATGTAGAAGAGAGTTGAAGTTTTAGTTTGACTGTTGAGAGAAAGATCGACTATGACAAAATTGAATAAATTTGAGTTTTTGCGTACTTAGGCAAAAGATAGAGAAAATCAAAAGCTGCCTCAGAATTCCTTCCCGTCAAATGTAAAAAATAAAAAGAGCGGGGTGTCTAAGTCTATATTACATAGTAGTTCTAAGAATCACAAGAGCAAAAATACAGAGGCCTCTTTGTGAGCTCTGCGACAATCTCCGGGTAATCGAGTGTTTCCACCTTTTTATGGTTGACTTTTACAAGACGGTGCCCGCGCTCGATGGCTGGTCGAGTTCCAGTTTGTCTCTGCATCACATCACGCACAACCGGATACTTCTCCTCGAAATCGAAGACCAGGTCGCATTCCTTCATGAAGAGATGGGAATATCGCGGATAGATATGGACCTCGTGCTGATCCTCTCGGCAGATCGATTTCAGACCGTGGACCGCGAACCTTGGCGTGCGACGTGTGCGTGGTGATATTTCTATTTATCTTTATCAGTGAAGGTTAGAGGTTATCATTAAATTTAAATGCCAGATATTTCTCTTCATTTTCAAGGCGAGCCGCGGTTTCCACCGTCCATGATATGGTACAAGAAATTGGATCGATCATGTGAAAGAAATAAGAATAACAGATGAAGCAGTAACTTCTACTTGCATACTGTGGTGCAAGACTAGTCTTCCAAACGATCTTTTATCCTCGATTATATACTCTAGAAGCATCTGGACCTTAGAATATCAAGAAACTGAGTGTAATCTTCTCAAAGATGAAGTTACTTATATACTCTAGAAGTTATATCATACCCAACTTTCGCCGCCGGAACATCTCGCATGTTCATGGTGATTGGAACACGTTCACCGTTCTCATTGACATTATCCACATGGGCGTCAGGGTCTAACGCTTTGGCTTCCATAGCCTGCATTTCGACGGTTGCAGCTTGCCGCGCCTTAGAAAAGATCTCATTCAAGCCATCTTCTGCGTAATCCTCCCACCTATGTTGAGGTTCTTGACGTTGTAGAGGTAGCGTACTAGAATACGATATTAGTAGGTACATTAACGTGTACAAGAACTACTTCTTCTGTGTTGCTGTTGATGTTAGGTACAACTACATTTCAATCGACACATCAGGAAAAAAGAGGTGTTATATGTAATGAAACTCTGTAAAAAATGTTCTTTTGTTCTCCACTCACATTTTGTTCTACACATCATCATTCTCCACTCACTTCAACGTATCTCTTATTGCTTATCCCGTGAACAATTACACGGACAGGACAGGAAATGGACATTTACCTGCTCGTGAGCGTTTCCCCGAGTTGTCGCATGGCCATATTTCTGGCTTCGAGGTCCTGCAGTGTGTCCTTCGCGGAGTGTAGCTTTGACGTGAGCTCGTCGTTTTTCTTGAGCATTTTCTTTTCTTCCAAGTGCTGCTGCAATACCTTCAACGACTGCTGCAGATTGTCGTGTTTCGAAGATTCCCGCTGCGCGTCATGCTTGGACGCTGGACGGTGCTCGCCACGCATCATCTTATTGTGCAGAAAGTCCACCTCTGGTGGCACGGGAGGCCCGGTTGGCCGTCCACCGTGCAGCCAACCAACAATGCTCCCGACCTGAAGATGATGGGAGTTGTTGAAATCATTACCTATGAATGTATTCGATCTTCTAGTTGTAGAGGAAGATGTGGAAGTACAAGTAGAACGGAGCCAAAGTTGTAGAAGAAACTAGTAGAAATGTCGATTTTCCTAGCTCTATGATCAAGATCAAGCCAGGTGAAAGCGGTCGTGTTGATCTCAATACTAATACTAACCAATCATGACATGATCTAAACTAGTACCTTCCCCATTTCTCTTTCGTGACGTGCGAACGCGGACAGCTCAAATCGGACAGATGGGGGCAAAACTTCCCGGTCCGAAGTCCCCTGCTTCGCTGGCGCGTGGGTCGGCGCCATACGATTGAGGGGACCCAGGTCGTAGGCCCACGCATCTTGGTAGACACCATTGTGCCGATCGTAGTAATCCAAATACCTTCGTGCGATTTTCTGCATCTTGATGTACTTCTATTTTAGTTAGAGCTCACCCTTATCCATCTTGAAGACCATCCTGAGACGTTTTTCCCTTTGAAAATGTCCCCAGGATGCTTCTGGGGATGGATTGGGAGACGCCCTAATTCTAGGTGTACCAGGTGGAACAAGATGAGCTTCTAGTTCTTGTCTTGTTGATGTACTTCTACTTTTTGTCCGAACTACTTCTTGAGGCCGCTCGTGCGGATCTCTCCCCCCTTCCTTTTCGACGCCGAACTATCGCGTGCGAGTCGGGCGGCGGCGATGCTCAGGATAGGATAGGATAGGATACATAGGATAGGATAGTAGGAGGAGATTCGCCGTCCACAGTTTGACCTGTATGCTCACTCCCCACTCCGACGAGATGGAGAAGATGTTTATGCGCTGCTCGCTGCGTAGATCACCTCCCTAGCGGAAATATGAAGTGTGGTACTCCCCGATTCAAATGTGTCATAGATACAAGTTAGAAGAACATCAAAGAACATGCGAATTCATTCTCAAAAAATCACCATGGAGAGGGCAAAATGAAGAACCATATCATGGTTGGTGCATATCTTTGTTTGAATCTAGCAAAACCGAGCAAGAACTTAATATCAAAGACCCCCCAACTATATGAAAAAAATACCACCACCCAAGCTATTTTACAATTGGAAAAAGGTGGACTTCTAAGAAGCGTTTTCGGTTGCTTGATGGATAAGCGAGGGTTTGGGAAAGGAAAAATGAGTACAGGCTAATGCTGAAGGTTCCTGATGCATGATGACAGACAAGCCATCACTAGCAGGGACATACTCGCGCTCGTCTCGCCTCTTGTGGGAGTAGATGTAAACTGAAATCCAAATCTAACATGACTTTTTCGTCGCTTGACATACTCAGTCCTGTAAAAATATCGACGAACGATCATACGCGGTAATGCTTGCCTCTCTCTTTGCCTCTCCCTCTCTCTCTCTCCTCAATATCAAACCAGGCACGAGATCATGAACGAAAGATCCCCACGAAACTAGAAATTGAATCATGAGGACATGATCAACATCCGAACAACAGCTTGGCGAGCCACTAGTACGATGCACTTTTCTTGATATCTCTCTATCCGAAACATCGGAGAGCCAAACAATGGACGTTGAATACGAAGATATCACAGGTGTCAGAAGAAGAAGCTCATCAAAGTCAAGTATTCGATAATGGTAGATACATACATGGGAGGTATATACATAGTGCTAATATCACTTCGTCCTTGTAATTTTTGTACCTGTTTAGATTCCATTTCATTTAAGATTTTGAATTCATTGTTTTTCAAGCAAATCAATTATACAGACCAAAATGTACAAAATCACAATGATATCGATAATTCCAAGATGTAACAAATTCTCACTGCCAAGCCGTGTTGTGTACATTTCATTTTCTGGACAAATCCTTCTAGTACTCCAAATTTCAAGTGCAATTTTATCTTGCTCGGTTTCGTTTTATCTGTGTAGGCCATGATGCGTACAAGTACACGGTTTTCATTTCTATGCGGTCTGTAATCCTCGTTCATGAATCATACGTATTATCGTGTGGTCAATCATGCTTCTCAAGCTAAAGCTTGTTCATCCGTCTTGCTCTTGCTCGTTATTTTAGAAGAACAAATCAATGCTCCATCGTCTACTTCAGAACGCTGGCAAGGAGTTGCTGCGCTTCCTCGTTTTTGATTGTCCATGAGTTCCGCGTGCGATTCGGCTGTCGATTCTTACCCATGACGACGCCTGATTGAGAGAGTCGGACACCTGCCGCCGAAGGATTTGGCTTACCAACGGGATGAATTACATGTTGCTGTTCTCTTCTCGAAAAGGCCACGGAGGACGTAGTCCTCGTACCCACTGCCACTTCTTCCAACGAGGACGCGGCTACAGAAGTTCCCAATTGTCCCATGATAGAGTTCTTGTTTGCGTTACTGGTACCCTTGCTAAGAAGTGTTCCTCTGGTTGTAGCAGTGCTCGCAGCAGCACCTTTGAGAGGACTTAGCAGTACAGCAGGGGTGCCAAACGCTTCTTCGGTGGCGGCGACGTCCTGCACAGAAGCTGAGTCGTCCTGGCCCGCAACGAGGTCAGACTGCAGTAGCACCACATGTTGTGACGCTGCTCCTTTCAACAGACGCCCCTTTTTACGCTGGAGGTCTGCAGGAGCTGGAAGCACTTTATTCGGTGACGTTGATACACCGTTAGGGCCAAGATGAAACGGTTTGAATGAACTACTCGTGTTAGTACGTGCTGTGGTGTATTTGCTGCCAGTGCCGTCATTTGACGTACTAGTCATGGCATCCGCATCTTCAAAGCAGTTCTTGTCCTCAACATCTTCTTGTCCTGCAGCTGCTGGCGAACCGTTCTTGCGGCAGTTCTCGATGTTGATACTGCCTTGTCCTTGCCTCATATCCGACGACCATGTGTTCACACCAGCAAGCTCAAAGTCCTCGTCTTCTTGTTTACTACTACTCACTAGGAGTTGTCCACCTTGTTTTAACGACGATGAACTCACATAATTGACAGGCGAAGCCGCGCTTCCGGCAGATGGTCGAGCCTGCGCTAGTACGCTGTCCCCCGAGACACTCAGGAAAGCCCGTTTTGTCACTATGGCAGCACCAGAAATCGATGCGCCAGCATTGCTTGCTGTCACCACGACCGGAGCATTATCCGAAGAAGCAAGCTCGTACTGCTTTGGCATTTGCTCCAAACTGAAGGAAGAACGACTGCGCCGCACGACTTCGCCTTGATTGATCGCTTGTTGATTCCCTGCTTTCACGTTGGATCTTCTCTTGACGTCGGAACCTCGTGCAAGCAGTGGACTGGGACTACGCTCGCTATGCAGTTGTCCCGCTTGCTCTTGCGACACTCTCTGAGTGGAGGCCCGTGTTTCGTTGAAGCCAAGTGCTGCTGTGGACGTAACCGACAGCATCAGTCCGGATGGCGATGCGCCACACGTGGCAGAGACGGTCTTTGCGGCACTGCCATTCGCATTGACGAGGCCTCCTGTACTAGTCATATTTGCACCAGCTGCGAGAGATGTTCGTCCTCGAGCGATCCGGCCCTTTCTGTTCGTTGGACTCGTCATGTTCTGCGTGGTTGTTCCCTGATTCATCCGTTGTTGACCTGGAACGGTCTCTCCAGTGGTCCTTCGTTCCGTGCTTGTTGCTGGTGCAGCTGCATCAACGTCATTCGTTACAACGAACATGCTCGCATGAAACACAGGCGATGGAGACCTTTGAGCAGTGGGTGAAACGGACTCTGCAAGTCGTGCCGGTCGATGAAAACCCCTCTTGCCGACACCTCTTTCGGTCGGCGCCGGAGACCCTGAGATACTCATCTCGAATTTCTTTCCGTTTTCCTCTTGCTCCCTAACGTTTGGATGATTCAGCTGCGCCCGTAGTCGATCCACAGGTCTCGGAGAACGTCCAGCTGCAGGAGAGCGGACACCCGCGGAAGGGGACCGACCGGCCGCCGGTGAAATAGCAGCTGCAGGAGAGCAGGAGGCCACGGCAGAGCGACCGGCCGCAGGTGAAACAGCAGCTGCAGGAGAGCGAGCGGCCGCAGGAGAGCCAGCGGCCACGGGAGAGCGAGCGATCGCTGGCGATGCAGGCCTTGACATCGAGTCCGCAGGTGATGCAGCCTTGGTTCCCTGTAAGACCGCTTCGCATGCAGGATTCTGACTTAGCAAGTGAATCGGTGCTTGTTCGATCGCAAGGGCATTCTGAGCTTGATCTTCCACTTGCAGGTCGTTGTAATTCGTCTCCAGATGAAGCGGTGCAGCGTCCTCATGATCTGGTACGTTCGCGCTATCAAGACTGCTCGGCTGTTCAAGGTTCTTCTTGCCTACAGCTTGTTGAACACCGTTTCCGATGCCATGGTCTCCCTCCGGGTACAATGCTGGGCCGACAGTCGTCGTGCTCAAGCTGTTGCCCTGCCTTTGATAATGTTGTGCTATCGTATTCGTATTCTGCGCTTGCTGTAATGTACTACCAGAAGTTGTTTGAGCTGCTTCTACTGCTCCTTCCCCTTGCTGCGAAAACGATACCAAAGTCATGGCATTACTCGACAGGGGACCTTGTTCTGTAGTATTTTCGCTATGCACGACGAATGAGGTCGTGGTGGTGCGACCTTGCGGTCGTGGTGCACCATCGATATCTTCGGTTGTCGAGGATAGGGTACTTGCAGCATCCGTCAGAGTGTGCAGAGATTGAGACGTCGAATTTTCAGGTTGCTGCCGTCGTTGCAATTCCACGTAGAGGTCTGGGACAGCCGTTGGACCGCCGCCTCTCGTCTTCATCAGCATCGGACTTCCTATACGACTGCCAGGCTTGGCTGGACTCGACCCCGGTTTGCCTGGACTCGAACCCGGTTTGACTGGACTCGCAGACCGTCCTAGCTTCAGTTGCTGCTGCCCTTTGGTCCTGGCTGCTGTTGCAGGAGCTCCCGCGTCGCCACCACCACCCTGATTGATTTGCACGGCTCTGGTAATAGTGCCATTGGGTAGAACTTTGGACGGGCTCCGTGAACCAGAAGTAGCCGCGTCCTTCTTGCCTGCTGTGAAGATGTTGAGAGCAAGGTTCTGCTTCGACACCGAACGCTGTCGCACAGGTGTCATCCCCATCTTATCCACCAGCACCTCCGTAGTACTGGTACAGCTGTTATCTTTCTGACTACCTCGCACCTCATCTTTTATCTTCGCCGGATACGAATCGACCACGGCGGACGGCGAAGTTGAGTACAAAACTGGTGGCGAGTTGTCCCCGTTTTTCGGTGACCTATCGGTTTCCGCGTACCTACTGTGGCTGAAGTTGCTTTATGAACGAGGACACACGAAGAAGAAATAAGAATTCGGCCACGGAGCGAGGCACCGTGGTACTAGAACTACTGCTCTCTACACATTCACATCAACGGAGAAAGATTACTGCCGTAAAAAGTAATCATGACCCAAGCATAAGTGTCCACTTGGAGATCGATGCCGATCTGCAGCAGTCCCGGTGTTGGGAGAGTTGAGATCGAGTAGCCGTCGACCGACTCGTACACCTCCAGCAGCGTTCTTGTACGGGTTGACGCCGGACATGCTCGCACTCGATGCCTGAAATCCCAATCGTCCTGCTGAATGTTGCAGATTTGCGGGTGGCGAGAACGTGCTGTAGCTGTACATGGGACTCGCGCCCACCGCTGCTGCTGCATCAGGCCCACTGCGCTGCTGAGGCGTTTTCGGGGAAGCGCTGCGGTGTTTGCTCGTGCCGCTTGTCGGTTCTCCACCGAACACGATTGTTGCCATTTTTGGCGACGCCTGGCGTCGCGCACTCGATGCTCGTGGTTTGGGCGCTGGCTGTGATGGTAGCTTGAGGCTGGGACTGACAGCAATACAACTGTTGTTCTCTGCAGAGCCTACTAAACCTTGTTGTACTAGTTGGCTCATGCTCATCATCTTGCTGTTTGCATTTGTGGGTGACATGGGGAGCATCGAGTTTATTGGGTGCCCGCCAGCCATCGCCCGAGTCGGTGACGGCGCGCCACTGCCTGGAAACATCAATTGCAGACTCGTCTGCAAAAAGGAGCCACCGGCTGTGCCGGTTCCCGGATGCAACTGGTTCAATCCCACTGTGCCTCCTGGCGCTGACATGTTGCTCGGACTCGGAACCGCGAATAAGTTGTGCAAGGATATCTGTTTTTCCAGAAACTGCTGTTCTCGCGCAAGCTGCGCTTCGCGAATTAGGCGTTGGAGTCTGGTGGCACGCGAAAAAAAGTCCTGGTACAGTCGCTCATGGATTTTTCGAATCGCCCGGTTGTCGTTTTTACCGTCAATAAAACGGTCCAAGCCGCTATCTGCGAGTAATGCTTGCATCTTGTTCGCGGCCGCCGAGTCGACTTCCGTGGCACCACCTGTCGCGTCGCTGCCGGGTTTCGCATGGTCGGCAATTTTCTTCGCCAGCTCTTGCAGACGTAAGCGCAATTCACCCATAGAAGTCTCCAGGGTGTGGTTAAGCTCCGTCAGCTCAATAATCCTCTCATCGCGCTCTTGTACGTCCTTCTCCAGACTCAGAATCTTCTCTTTCGACAAAGATTTCTGAACAGGAGAAATGATTGCAGTACTTTTTAAGTTAAAGTGTGTCGACTAGGAGAAACACAACCAAGAAGCACCACGACTATTTTAGTCATTCTAGTAGTAGTAGTTGTACCCCAATTTCTTGAAGTTCTGCCTCTACTTTCTGTTTCAATGTTTGCTTCTCTGCTTCAAAATTGGCCAGCGCGTCAGCTTTCTCCTTCACAAGGCTCGCCGCTCTCTCCTCCGCCATACGCAGCTGCCTCTGTAATTCTTATATTAGAAAGCACTTGGAAATTATGCTCAAGTAGTACTTCTGGAAGCAGGAAGCGTAATAAGCTTCAAACAATGAATTACTTTCCTAGTACTGGAAGGATACAACTACCTCCACAACTACGAGAATTTGATTTACATCGATCAAACTTCGTCGAAGAGCAACAACATAACTCAATTTCTATCTGTTTCTGGGCCTCTAGGTCTGCGCCTTCTTCCATTTTGCGCTTGAGCTCTGCTTGTTCCCGTTGTTGTGCTGCGAATTCATCGGCTTGGATCTTCTGTGCCATCTGTTCTAAGCGCAACGCAGCTTCTCGTAATTGCGATCTCAAATCGTTGTTTTCAGCTGACAACGCGCTCACATCGTTCTCCAACATGTCAGCTCGGCTGAAAGCTGCGCGCAGCTCCTCCTCATCCACAGCTTTCAGAGCTGAAAAAATGTTGTAGTCGATGGTGTCGTGAACAATCTAGTTATTCAGTTTCAGTGTCATCTTTCAATAAAAATCTCAGGTCCTCCTCACGACTTTAATAAACAAAGAGCGGTACTAGATCATCATATGATATGTCCGTCAACTCCATTGATCGATTTCTCACCGTGATGAAAGATTATATTGATATTATTCAAAAACAGTAGGTAAAAAATACCCGCGTCACGCAACTGCTGTATTTCATGCTGAAGTTTTTCGATTTCGGTTTCTTGATACGTGATCTTATCCTTCAACTGCTGTTGCGCCTGTTCCAGCACACCCGCTTCTTCAACCCTCACTTGGGCGTCCCAGAGCTGGCGTTGCATTTGCGTCCGAGATTGCTCGGCTTTGTTGTACCTGGTTGTGGTATATATTTCATATAATAAATTAGACTAGTGCTACATAGAACAAGCAACAAGCAGTTTATTTCAATATGCTCGATGGTCATGTCCTCGTTGAACAATAAGATATTGTAAGAAGATAAAGATATTAAATGGTATTTAAAAAGACTACTACTTCTTATGATCCTTATACATAGTATACATAGATAAGTACGTAAAAATTACTTTTCTTTCATATCCTTCATTCTTTCCTCTAGCTCTTCATACTTCAGCTTCCAATCTTCACCGTCGTCGAATTTCGTGGCTGATAAGGATAACTGCAAATAGTTCTGCTTGCACAGACGCTTCTTGTCCTCCACAATCCGGCAGAAGCGTTCGCCGCGTTTGCTTAGATATTCGATCAGTGATACTGCGATGGATTGTAATTACACGGTCACGGGGTACTATGAAGACGATTACGAAGTTCCATGTGTTGAGAATCAGTCAGATAAAAGAAGTTTATAAGGTTTCACAGCTCGCATGGCATGGAGTGCATGGAGCTAAAGGGGGAGCTTCTGGCGCCCCTTAAAGCTCTGCGCTCCATGCACTCCATGCTACTCCATGCACCATGCGTGCTATGAACTACTCTGATGATATGATTCTGATTATATCTATCCCATGATAGAAGCCCTAAATCCAAAGACGCCCAATCGTTGTTGAGCACGAGATTTCTCGTGTCCCGGTCCAACATCGTTTCCAACGCCACTCGAATTGCCGGCTCTCCATATCGTTCCACAGTAAGCCACAGGTCGAGGGCGACCTGGTGATACAGGATGAATCGTGCGGAGATGAAGGAGGAAGATATAATTGCTAGTACAACCACGCTAGCTACAGCAACAAGGCTCAATAAAAACAAAAAGATCTTTTAGATTTAACTGTGATTTGTGTATCTTCTATGTTGTGTATCATGTGTAGTTGGTGTTCTACGTTGTACCGACCCTAATATCGAATGCACAATAACCACCAGCATCATCATCTGTGCTACCTTGTAAACCGTCTCCTCTGGCACATGTTGGAGGTTGCGGCAGAATTTGTCCTCTTTATTCTCCTCCGCCTGCGACCATAATTTTGCAACAACACTAGTCGCACCTCGAGTTTTATTAACAACTGCGCTTTTCAGCTTTACCAGCGCCCCGCCGCCCGCGGGAAGGGCAGAAGCAACCACCATCGTTGGCGCAGAAGCAACTACCACCAAGAAGATGAAGGCATGCTGTTTTGCAAGAGTTTTCGTGCAGGTGAAAACACCTGCAAGTACCTAGTCCTAGTCATCGTCAAATGATAGAAGCTTGGAGAGAGCAGGAGAGAGGAGGACGAGCAGGCGTAGATAAATTTATTGCGATCGATTTTTCATCAAGAATAATTGGAAAAATAGAAAACACGGGGCAAATCCACGGGGAAGTAGATGAGGAGCAACGCGCGGCCACACAGACGCAAGAAGATAAACCGATAGTCATTCATACTTCCGACATCACCTCGCTCGTCAGGGAAGTCGTCTACTCGGAAGCGCAGCCACTCGCACTCGTCGCAGAAAGCAAATAAGCCAGTTGCAGCATATTCATACGTTTCCTACTATAGAAACCGAGTAGAAGAGAAGTACACCGAGCTGTTTGACATGTAACAGTGATCCTTCAGTCAATTTCGTGGAGGCGGATCTGAAATCAAAGCTGCGACAATAAGCGACAATTTCAGATTCTTTTCTTCATCAATCCTCCGAATTCATCACGGGCAGGGGCACGACCGATACAATACAATACAATACATCTCGCTTTTTTTTTTTTGTATCGCGAGCGAGTTCCGTGAAGAACCTGCCTACATATTTTCCGCGTAGCTACCGGCGTAGGGGGGAGTTCTTAATCTCCTTAACAACTACGCTACTGCCCACGTATCTCGCATACAATACAATTCTTGTCATCTTTAAATCCTCACACGTCCTCGTTTGTCATAGTAAGCACGGACAAGCGTGATCAGGAGAACAACAACCAGGCGATGAGGCGCACGTCGTCGACAGGGGCAACCAGAGGGCGAGAGCTATGCTAGAATGAGTCTGATATACTTCTTAATCATTTGATGAAGATGCTCCTCGAGAAGTACAAGCTCATGCATGCGATATAAGGTAAACGACGCCTCCACTTGCACGTCCTCGACGTCACTTTTCGTTCGAATTATCAGCAAGCCTCGCGTAAGCTTGTTATATATCATATGAATGATGTATCAGTATCTTCGTAGTCGCTCATCGTCCCAACCTAGCACACGAACAGCTGTACTAAGCTACCGGAAGATGATGACATAGCTGAGCCTGGGGACGGTCGTCGCTCCCCTGCGTTTACTTTAGTTTGAATAGGGAAAGACAAAGTTGCTTTCGGAATGGCTGCGATCTTGTCGGAATCGGGAGCGACAATCAAACTGCAACTCTTTCATTCTACTCCTTGTTCCCCTACCCCTAGATCGTGGTCATCAACTTAAAAATAGTAATAGAAATAGACACACATCACTAGAGTTTGACCAATTTTTACAACACCAAGAGGACGGAAAAACGGGGGGAGAGCAGCCTCTTGGAACCGACAGTTGTAGAAGCTAGCAGGTTAATCGTGGAGAATAGTGAAGTCTCTTGGAGATTGCTAAAACTGATTTTTGTCATTCAACGACGTTGACGCCTAATACAACAGGAACAACAACAGGAACACACAGTGTCTCTGCTCTACTAGACTGGCAGTCTACTAGTAAGCGTTGGCGTTTATATCTTTACTTGTACTTCATCAGATGGAAGCTAATAGGCCGCTTTCATTTAACACTACATTTACATACTTACAACACGAATGGGCTGCGGCTTCGCTGAAAAGCCATCTTCTTGTTATAATGCAGTTGATCTAGACGATAGTGGAATAGTTAATCTTTATTAGGTCCATAACTAACACAAATCTAATACACCCGAACATTCCTAATTTTGGAGAGAGGGAGAAATGAAACAGAGGACGAGGGGAAGAAGGAGGGTAATGATCGGAGGTAGTAAATGAATGACAAAAGGAGAGACCGATGAGCTTACCCACGACGGGCAGGGAGGGTCAGGGACCTGATCATGAGCACCCCCTGCGATCAGGTCACCCGGCATCTCACGCTCAGAGGCGCCACCCTCTGAAGCGATCACAGATAACCCCAGGACTGGCGGGTCCCAGCTCACCGATTCCCGGAGCAGGGAGACACATGATCACTCGTGAAGACACCACCTACAGCACGTATGATCACTCGTGTAGAGAAAGGGAGTACAGGGTTGTCAGTTGCACGAACACATACCTCGTTGTACTCTCGTAACAGTACCTAAATGTTCAGATTTGTTCTATCGGTCATTCTTCATCAGGACATCTTATACCTTATAGCCGCAGCTTCTTGTTATAAATATCTATCTACTTCTAGTACTAGTACGCAGATGTAGTTAATTGGTGCTCTACTAACTAAATATGAAAAATTCTCGTTGAATTCCGTACTAGGTTTCCAGTTGAGTCGTACTTACGTCAAGCTATCCAGAACAAGCTTCTCGATTTCGGGAGGCAAAGCCCAGTAAGCCTTTTCGTTCAAAGCGTGCTTTGCGCATCTATCGGCGTCCTTGTTGTTATCACGTCGGACCCAACGTAGGAGCATGCGGGCTGCAGCCTCTGGGTTTGTGAAATCGCGTTCCAAACTTAGAACGTCGAAGGGAAATCCATCTTCAGCAGCATCTTGGCGCCCCTTTCTCCTGTAAAAATAAAACGGGAGCAGCAGGATGCCTGGTGTGCAGATGGATTTCCTGTAGAAGCCTTAACAAAGAAGCGCGCTGCTTTTGCAGCAGCTGGACTTGCTTCGCAGCAAGTTTTTTGGTTTTGTTTTCTAGTGCAAACATGGGCACGCGACTGTCAGCGACCAGACAGATTTCGTTACCGCGAACTAGCTCGTCCGTTGTGATTTTTCTGAGGTGGTTACAGGCAGAACTTTCTGAGGCAAGAAGCGACGCTTTCAAGTTTTCCAAGTAGTGACGCAGAACGGATAGGCCAACTGACGCGGCGGCAGCTTCGTGGTCACCTTCGATTTCCTGGCCGCGAAAGAGAAAGCCACCTTGAAACACAGTATGCGTGCCATTGGCTAACATCTCCAGATTGCTGTCGCCAACGTAGACGAAATGTCCGAAACGCAACACAACCCCGACTGCCACCTTATTCAAGAAGACATCTCGGGATCCGTCCACATGCAAAACGAAGCCGCAATGCAGAGTGTCCGAATTGAGGAGCTCCCGTTCCTTTTTCACCACTGGGTTTGTCGGCTTCCAGGCCTCGAGAATGTCTTCCTTGGAGAGCATGCGTTCGAACGCCAGAGGACGTGCGTCAGCAGTGCCAGGGCTCGGAACGGAAGGCACAGGAGATCGTGAAGATGGCAACGAGATCAGGTTCGGATTACTGGGTGCTTGGTTCGATTTCGACGACGCGTATGTGCCTGTGCCACCACCGGAAAAATAAGCATTAGCACCTAGTACACCAGAAGTAGAGGAAGCAGCAGAGCCGTTTCCAATACCATATACGGACCTGTTCCTTGCACCAGGTGCCGGGGTCAGAACCACGGGCGCACGCTGTTGACCGGCAGCGCCTCCTTTTCCAGGCTTGCGCTTTTTTCCCTTTCCACCGCCTGATCCGCGAGTGGTGCGCGCACGTGCGCGTCCTCGACCTTTGTTCGTTGGTGGCGGTGCCCCCAAGGGCGCCATGCTCGGACTGTGATGCTGAGCCAGGATGTTCGATGGAGTTAGGGGCGCTCCGTCTTTTCCTTCCAAAAGCGCAACCTGAGAGTGCTCGAGCCATTGGATGGGCGTAAACTTCTCCTCAGCCGGCGTCAGACTTTCTAGACACTGTTTGTCGTCGCGATCCATAGCCAGAAAGTCGATCTTACAATGGTAGATCGGAATTTTGGGCCGTCCTTCGACTTTGTTGAACTCTTTGTCGTCGCGATCCTTTCGGGTAAATTTATCACAGTACGCCATGCGCAACGAGGCGCCACGGACACAGGATTTGTCAAAGATATCTTCGAAGCTCTGCTGTGTGTCCGGATGGAAGAAACACTTCTTGAACCAGTCGACGCCTCTGTCGTGCGACCTTTCCAGGTCGTTCATCAGTCGCTCTCGAATGCGGACGCTCACCTCCTCTCCAACGCGCAACTCAGGCCAGATGAGATGCAGCGAAATTTTCCACTGTCGATAGCGTACGGCATACCTGAGAATTGCTTGATGGAGAAATAAAGAACGATCAGCATGCTCACCAATAAATCATAGAGATACACTCGACTTATTTCCAAAAAAGTGCTTAAATAGAAGCTCTAATCACTTTCTTATAGATGTTATGAGTGTTAATAGTATTAAGTACCCAGAACTGCTGAAGACTAGGAGTTCCGTGCATGCTTTTCCCATGTTCCGATGGTCCTCATCCCACAAGCCCTTCAGCGACCGAACACGCGCTGGCATCAAGCTTCTTAAAGTCTTCTTTTCAACGGTTCGCATAACTGCGTCAACCTTTGCTGAAATTCCTCTGATCGTCTCCGCGTCGTCCTCTCCATCGTTCTCGGTGCAAAAGTTTTCGAGCTTTTTGATGTCTTGAGCGGTTAGAAATCCCGCTCCTTCGGTGCGAGTTGCTAGCTCCATCAATTGCCCGTCCTTGAGTAGAATGTCGATGTCCTCGATGTACTTGAACAGCCCGCCTGAGGCGCCTCGCACTCCAAACTCCACCAGAGGAAGCGTTTCGCGCGGGTTGCGCTCGTAGATGGCAGCCACGAGTCCCCTCAATGCTGCTCGCTTTTCCGGTGTGTCGAAAGCTAGCATGGGAGGCAATCTAACTGGGTGTCCGCGACTGCCTACGACGAAGGGTAGCGGCATCCCGCCACACATCATCGAATGTGTGGCGTTATTCAATTCTGGGCAACTGCGGTGCTGACACAGAAAATTGATAGCATGCTCCCAAAAGTCGGGACTCTGAGGGAGAGGAAGTTGCACGCTGGAGAAGCAATCAGGACGATTACCACGCGAAGTAGGGCCACCATGTTGAAGTTGGCGCGCATGGCCTTGTTCAAAATGAAATCGTCGTGTAGGATTCTTGTGTTGCTTTACTTTGCGGCTCCTGCTCGAGTGATTATCTGGACCACGCGAAAACTTCTGGTAGACATCTCGCGATTGCAAGGAAGACGTATTATGATCATAGTGGCTCTGTTTTCCATGTCGGTCTGCTCTGGAATCATTGCGGCGGCGACTTTTCGTTTTGCTCGAGTCGCCACGTCGTCTTGACGAGTCTGCCCTTGTGCGCTTAGCACTTTTGTGCGCATGTCTAGAATTGTGATGCGTCGCATATCTCCTTGTCCTTGAGTCCTCGTTGCGGAAGAATTCTTCTTTGCGAGTGAAATGCAAAAAATGGCGCGGCTCACATTCAGACGATGAGTCACCAGACTGACCGAAATAGGAATCTGAATCTGAGTGTCTATGATGTCGAGCACGACGACTTTTTCGTGTGTCAGCTCTAAAGTCTACATCCCGTCTCGACTGACTTTTTGCATAGCGGGAATCCATACGAGGACGTCTAGGACGAGACGTGCATCTCAAGCCAGTGCAGCCCCTTCTGTTCTTTCCAGTAGAAACACTTGTACTAGGCGGACGTCGTGGACGAGTCAGAATCACAGGAACGCCTGTATTGATGGTGGATGATGTTGGTCCTGTAGGAGCTCTATCTGTATGCAGCGCCAGCTTGTGGAGGTTGACCTGACGTGAAGCAGCTTCTGGACGCTGACCTTGACCTTGACGTGAGGTATAATAGCCTGAACTTCCCGATCCCGATTGACCGTGAGAATCGCCTAGCTCGCTGCTTTCCTGCTGCTCACTGTCGTTGCCCTGTTCCCCTCCACTTTCGGGATCGTAACTTTTCAGGGAACCAGTTGTCTCTTTATGCAGCGGATCACCCCCAGCACTAGTTACATGCCTGTGCAACAGGTCATTGTGAAACGGATTGTTTGAAGAACGGAAGTAGAGATCCTCAATGGGACTGGATGAACTGGATGGCAGAGACGATGCTGCTGGCACAGAAGCAGGGTTGACTTGGCAAGACGCCGGACGTTCCTCTGGATAACCGGATAGGTCCTTGAGCAGAGCTTGAGGATCAGAGGATGCAAATGACGCCTGCGGCTGAACATTACTGGAGATTGGAGGCACAACAGGCACCGAAGAAGCCGGAAACATGTTCTTGCCAGCACATTCGTCTACCTCTAGGGGTAGGGCTGCATTTACAATTTCTTTCATCGTCTGAATGCGCTCCATCGTGGTCGTGGAGGAATGGCAGTACCACTATGTTGAAGTGGTTATACTGGCTGAGCCTCTGATAAAGATACACGACGAAGGTGGATCGAAATCAAGTTAATAGGTGAAAGTCTCTTGTTTTTCTTTGATCGATGAGCGACTTTCGACTTCGAGGATATCATGGGGAGGTATATTACGATAGGAAATACCGGGGTCGTTTTCAAAGGAAGGAAAGAAAACTCCAAAGCGCTCCTGCTTGGCGACAATACCTTTTTACTTACATTATATTATGATTATTCACTACGAAGAAAGAGTGAGAGGTAGAGGAGGGCAGAAAAAACGAAGGAAAATCAACATTTTTGAGACTACGCATGGTTGCTGTACTAGCTATTTGCTTTTGATTTTGGGCGCCTGGGGGGTTTTGTTTGTGAATGAGTACTTATTGCAGTCAAGCTCCAAACTCTAACTCTCAAATCTATTCCCGTCTGACATCTGCCTATATATGGATTCCAGAAAAAGAGCAATGCCTCAATGATCGTCGTTATCTCTATCTTTACCAGACGAGTACCAACATCCGCAGGGACCCCTTTGAATTCTATGCCGATCTCTATTTTCTTGCGCCTAATTCGAGCACTTTTCAGGAGGGCGAGCATCATCGTCTTCCCTCAGTAGATCTTATTTATTGCACATGAACCATCATTAGAACTACTAGGACTGACCGAAAAATTGCTTCGCAGATCCACCTTGACCATAAAATGTCCGATTTCCGATTCGGTGTCGGTGACCGACAGACGAAATGTTGTACTTAGACGAAGATGATCGCTGTCGCAGTAGATCATACAAACGCTCTACGCTTATCTCTGGAGATGAGGACCCAAGCCGGACTGCTGGACGACGCCGGAAGGTATTTCCTAAATATAACTGCTGGTGTTGACCTCCTACTTTCAGCGTCGCGATTTAAAGATCGGATTATGAAAAGATAAAGAACCAGAGACGAAGCCGAAGATGGTATCTATCACGTTGTTTGTTTCTCGACTATGTGTAGCGGTTTAACAAATGGGTCTCCTTCTCGGTGTTTGACTCACAAATTCCAATTCTCATCATGCATCATTAGGTGTAGATTGACAAATTCTGGATCTATTGACCGTTAGGAGGTGATCACAACAAGAACCAGTTCTCGTTGTACTACTAGCGCATGTTCGGGGACCGTACTTGCGTGCAAATACAGATCACAACAAGAACCAGTTCTCGTTGTACTACTAGCGCATGTTCGGGGACCGTACTTGCGTGCAACTGCAAATACAGAACGATCACATGAATAAGATAGTGTCCTCCTCATGTTTTGATCTTTTCCAGCATTTTCCCGCTACAACTCGCTCCTCTGTCCACCATCAACAGGCTTGATATCACGAGGATGAAGACCTAGAGTTTTTCGTGCTTCTGAGGAGGCGTAGTCGCGTTCTAGAGCATCGAAGACTTTTTCGTAGTTCAGCAGGTCGGGAGCTGGCTCACCAGTCGGCCGCCGACTTCGATGTTGTTCTTAGAACTTGCAGAAATCCAACTTGGTGAGCATCTTCGCGCCCTTTTTCCCTTCAAAACAGGAGCAAGATAGATGCCGAGGCAGATGGATTTCCTCAGGCCTTAATGTTCGTTGATAGCATCGAGTTCTAGGATGCCGCGTTGAATTGCTGCGCGAGCGTCGTGGATCGTGTTCTCGATCTTCTTGCCCATTCCTCCCTGAGCCTCGTAGTCCGCAATCATGGATGGCGACACACCAGCAAATTTTGCCTGTGTTTGCTGTGACTGGGTGGAAGCCTGAGAAGCAACATTCCGCAAATCAATCAGTTTAGGATGCTGCTGTTGGTCGATGGAGGAAGAGGACTGCTGATGTTGCTGTTGTTGAGGCATTATTCTGATGTTGTTGTTGTTCGGAACACTAGTAGAAGCAGAAGTGCCTACACTCGCGAGGTTCACGGATGGAAAGGGAGGAACACTCGCTCCAGAAGGTCGCTGCCCTGTCCCGAGACCACCAGTTGATAGCATTCCTGCGGACTGTTGTGGTGCAGCAGCAGGAGGAGAGAATGCCACCGTTGTTGTTGTAGGCATTCCGGAAGGCGTGTTCTTGCCGCCTGGTGCTGATACCCAGCCCTCTGTTGTCCCCATCGGAGCATGTTGTCGCGGGAACACGGTCGGAACGGGTGCGTTCAGTATCATTTGTGTGTACTTTTCCCGATCCTTCTGATGCTTCGTCTCCTCTGTCGGCTTCATTTCTTCAGCTTTTGCGCGAATAGACGCAACTTTCTCATAGTACTGGGCTGCTGCTGTCATCTCTGCGCCTCCCGTCTGGTCTACTTGTTCTTCTACTTTATGTACAACTTCTGCAAGATGAAGTAGTTCTCCTTTTTTCCGGAAGAAACTGACAGATTTCTGAATCCATGAAATTTCCGACCGGCTACGAAGTTTCTCCGTCACGTTGGCGTCAAAAAGGAAGTCAGTGCGCGCCTCAATGAAGTCCTTGACGTCCATGTCGAGGCAATTGACGTGTCCCCATCCAAGACCACACAGTTCTTTGCCGGCCCAAGATATCACCATGCCTTTGGTTGCCAGGTAGTTCAGATTCTCGAGAAAAAGAGACGCAGAGGCACCTGCTGGGATGTGTTCGGCCACTTCCAGACAAAATACGTAGTCCGCAGGCGTCATACTCGGCTTTCCGTCACTCCGTTTGGGAATCTCCTTGGCAACGTCGAAGAAGTTCACTTTCCCATGAGTGAACTCAGCTAGCTCCTTGGCCAAATCCACCTCAATCGGAAGCAGATTGACAGTGGCGTCGTACCCCGAAGCTGTCACGAGTCCGGTTTGGTTGAGTGCCGTGGTGTAGTGCCCGCCCCCAGCGCCCAAATCTAGGACGTGAGAGCCCACTGCGCCAGGTTCTCCTGCGATGAAGCGCGCAAATTCTTGTACCAGACCACGATCCAAATACCAACGCTTGAAAATGTTCCGGTAGAGGATCTCGAACGACGTAAACTTGCCCTCGGAGTCTATGTTATCGCCGTATTTCTCCAGCTCGTTCACCGCTATCAGATTAATCGCTGGATCTGTTATCTCTCCGCTCGCGACAAAATACTTCACCGCGTCGAAGCTCACCTGCAGGTCTCTCTCCAGCATCGCTTGCGTCTGGGACAGCATCGAGCCCATGTACGCAATGTCGGCCTCCGCGGGCCGAGCGGGATGGTCCAGGAGGTAGGAGTGCGAATGGTAGTGAAAGCTCCAGAAATATTGCTGCATCAAACCGGAATGGTGCAAACTGTCCTCCTCTTAGAGTCGAGAAAAAATTTTTGGAGTCCTTCTTCACCTTCAACTACCTGTTGATTACGTTACCCTTACTCGGAAAGTCCACCTGTATCGGTCATATTGGAAAGCATGTCTCGGCATATTGGAAAGCATGTCTCGGTGTATCTCCGCTACTTGGAAATCATGTCTCGGCAACATATTGGAAATCTTCATCATACGACAACTACTCATCAGCCTCTCCTGGCCGTAACAGTTATACAACAGAAGCAGCATCTGATCTTTGAAGACCCTGGGCACACACTCCGGCCGCAGGTGAAACAAGGCGGACACGAACGCGACCACGCCCCCCATCAGGGATGACACCCGATTTGTCACGACGCCTGGCACCCAGTACATGTTCAGCGCTGGCGCGTTCGCCGGCCACTGCTCCACCAGTGCCTCGAATTCCTCACGAATCAGCATCAGCTGCCCAAGCGCCTGTCTTCGGATTTCGTAGGCCAATTGAATCACGTCTTGGCACTTCCACTCAATCATATTCCCAGACGACGTCATTAAGACCTCTGATGGCGGAAACCATGCCTGGAACTCAGGGGAAAAGGCGCTCTCCACAATGTTCCGGAAATAATTTAGCAAATGCTCGCTGTGTTTGGCGAGGGAAGCTCCATCCAACGGATCAACAGCGTTCGCAATCGGTTGTTGCGGTTGCGCTGATGTTTTGCTTGAAGTAGTTGCTGATGACGACGTACTAAAAAATTGTGAGGACGTGGCGGGATGATGATGAATTACTCCACCAGATCCAGCACTAGACGTAGCCGTAGGTGATCCTAGAATTCCTCCTCCACCTGGCGCCGCAGCTGATCCCATATTTGAAGGCGGCACGAAACCGTGTAATTTTTGGCCTATGAGCTCATTTACACGAGCCCCAATCTTAGGATTTGGTGCAGTAGATCCTGCAAAACCTGCGGAAGGTAGTGTTCCCCCGATAGCTCCACTTCCAAAATTGCCAGTTCCAGTTGTACTCCCTATTCCACCTCCAAGCGCACTAGCCAATGGACCTTGCGGTATTGCGCCTGCTACGCCCGCGAGGTTGATCGGCGGTAACTGCTGACTTGGTATTGTGGCCGCTTGTAACGGTATTGCACTCGGTTGCCCTGGTGTTCCGGTATTACTTCCACCTCCCTGTGCTATCGATGAAGGCAACGCTGATCCAAGAACCGAAGAGGGTCGGTACGTCGAAGGCCCACTAAATCCTTGGAAGCCCTGCTCCCGTGGCGTTCCCACTGCATTTGGTATAGAAGCCGAGCCTAGCAGTATCCCAAGAACAGAAGGAGAAGGTCTTTGGAGTTGTGCCCGGCCCAGTCCTGATCCTGAACAAGCAAGAACTCCCAGTAAGAGAGAGAGAAGAGAGAGAAACACACCCGTCGTCATGGTGGCCCGTACTGTCCCATGACTCTTTGTCGCGCCAGACCGGCGCTTTACTCGTCCCATCTTGACCTGGAGCTGGAGGACAAGGGCACTAATTCTAGGAATAGAAACCATCCCAGACCTCCTCACGAAACGGCTGAACATACAGGGACGAGGATAGAACCTTACGATGCCTGGTCTTCCTCGTGTGAGCAGCACGTGAAAATGTTACCTTTCCTCATTTTTTCTTTAACATCAGAAGTTTCGCTCCGGGACCTGAAACACAAGAGATGCGCATGCGCTCAGGTACATTTATATTAGTCGTGAGTAGTACCAGCGTGGTCTTGCCATTCCCTCTACATCAACCGCTACTCTTCATCATCAATAAAGCGTCGTGGCATGCGCAGTTTCTCTCGAAGAACACACAAGCAACAACCATGCTTCAAGGACCCATCCATCCGGAGGTACCACCCCTCGCACATGAGTGGACGAGACAGAAGAAAAGTAAGCGGATGAATGTTATCAAGCATTGAGAAGAGATGCTTGTGGTTGTACATGATCTTCTTCGCTATGTATTATAAAGTAGATAACTGTTTTGCATTTTGTCCCACTAGCACCTCGTGACTATTTAGTCGCATGGGATTGTGCCCATTTGGCTTCGTCGTGCATATCGATTGGAGACGCATTTTGGTTCTTCGAGTTCGCAATTTTGTCACCCCCCCACTCAGATAATCTGAATCAACGTATCCATACTGTTGGATGCAATCATTTGAAAATCATGGAAAACATCTCAACTCATGAAATCGCAACTCACGCGGCGATTACGAAATAGATACAGCATCCATCAGACGTCGATCAAGCTTGCACCATACTAGGTAAAGTAACTTGCAGTTGCGCTACTTTGAGAAGTTCTTTCATGTTTACATCACTTAACAAAGTAAACATAAATAGTTCTTCCTCTTCGGTACATAATTCAAACACATACTTAGATCAATCCTATAAAAAAAGAAAGTGGTCTGAGACAGAATTATTACCATTTTCAAACTCGTCTATTTTCATGTTTTCAAGTTTTTCTCATATATTGTCTGATTGATTTCAACTTACAGTTGATATATTTCTTTGATATTGATTGTTTGGAATCCGAAAATTGGACCAGTGGAAACAAGGATGAGAAAAAATCAAGTCGATTTTGCTTGAACAAAATGCTCATTTTTGTATTTCTGTAATGTAAAGAACGTGTATGGGGTGGAAGGGTATTGTAGCTTAATAAAGTGAACATGCTGGCTCACGATGAAGCTGAAAGAAGGGTGGCAAGAACTTCACATTCACTGGAAACCCTCCATAAAACAGTCGAGCTCAAATATCAATATCGCGCGTAAACTGTGTGCGATCTGCTTCATAAATCGGGACAGGGTTTGGCTGATTCACAGCCTGGTGACTGTGACGACCAGCATTAAATCTCATCTGATTAATTGTTCTTCACTAGACCATGAGAAATTGAAAAACTAAAACTCTACAATAGCTGCATTACTCGTCCCGGAAAAGAATTTGAGAGAGACGGAAGCGGAAAAAACTCCGACTCGTTACCATTTTTCTTGGACAGTAACCCTCTTTAGCGTAAACTTTCCATGATTTGCTTCTGTACGTGATCCGGCAGTGCCGAGACGTGTTTTTCACTGAGCGCGTTTTTTGCGAAGCGGTCAGCATCTTTATTATTTTCCCTCCGGACCCAGCGCAACTGAATGCGTTGCGCCTCCTGTGTAGCCGCCTCGTCTATGAAATCCCGCTCCAAAGCTGCGCGCTGACTTTGCAGTAGCTGCACTTGCTTCGCAGCGAGCTTTTTCGCCTTGTTTTCCAGCGCGTAGATGGGTACGCGACTGTCTGCCGCGAGGCAAATCTCGCTTCCCCGCACCAGCTCGTCGGCTGTGGAACCCGCATGGTACAATCGATTGGCTTTTCGAGCCTGTGCCTTGCTATTCTTTTTGCCTTTCTTGCCTTTCCCTTTATTCTTCTTATTTGATGTTGCATCTTCTTCGCCGAGCTCGTAGCGCAAGGCCGTCTTGAGCTGTTCCAAGTAGCTCTGCAAGACGAAGAATCCAACGGACGCCGCAGCCGCCTCATGGTCGCCCTCGAGGTCTTCTCCCTTGAAGAGAAAGCCACCTTGAAACAAAGTGTGCGAACTACCAGGAAGAAACTGGAGATCGCTGTCGCCCACGTAAGCATAGTGACCAAACCTCAGCACAACGCCTACAGCCATCTTACCGAGAAAAGCGTCACGAGCGCCATCCACGTGGAGCACGAACCCGTGGTGAACGTTCTTGATGCCTCCGTACTGCGCGACAATATCCTTATTCGCAGCACCCGGTGGGGGCAAATAAACCTTCCACACACTAAGAATGTCTTGTTCGCAGAGCATGTGATCAAACTCGAGCGGATGAGCGCTACCAGGAGAGGTTCGGGAGGAGGTCTTCGGGTCGAATACATTTTCACCGTGCGGGAAACGGGAGGCCGAAGATGCTCCCACGATGTGTCTGGATGTAGACGAGCTTGCGCGTTGTTTCAACTGGGTTGTGCCTGAGAACGAGTGGGCGCGAACCGGTTTCTTTTGACCACCGCGCGAGCCCTGTTGAGTGCGGGTACGTGCAAGCGCCCGGCGCGGTGAATTCCATCGTGCTGTGGCCTCAAGAACGCTGCGATTTTGTAGTATATTCGAGAGCCGCTGCGGATCGGCGTCTTTTCCGGTTAGGAACGCCACCTGCGAACGCTCGAGCCACTCGATGGGCTTGAAGGCATCTTTGGCTGGTGTAAATTTTGCAATATCTTCCGAGGACTGTTGATCCGTCTGACATCCATGAGCCAGAAAATCAACTTTACAATGAAAGATCGGCACTTTCGGTCGTCCTTCCACCCGGTAGCACTCCTTGCCATCGATGTCTTTGCGTGTGAACTTGTCACAATAAACCATCCGCAGCGACGCTCCGCGGACACAAGACTGGTCGAAAACATCGTCGAACTCTTCTTGCGTCTGCTCACTGAAAAAATTTCTCTCGAACCACGAAACGTCGGGATCCCGCGACCGTTTCAGATCACTCAACAAACGTTCGCGAATCTGAATACTCATTTCCTCGTCAACGCGTAGCTCAGGCCACACCAGATGTAGCGAAATTTTCCACTTGCAGTATCGAAGAGCATACCTGCAAAGATTTTCAAGAAAAACTCAAAATCGCAGAAGCAAAAACTCCGCGCTTGCATCCTCGTACCATACTAGTTGTACTACGTGAATTTTACAAATGTTGATGATATGTACAAATCTGCGTATTAATGGAAGAGATTACTCGCGATATTAATACCTACTATCTGTCCAGGAAAGGCCTCCGATGTTCCGAGTAGTAAACTCATCTGTGTGAAGAAACTGAATATGCGGGACGAGGCCTCAGGAGCAGATGAGGCCACTTACTAAAAGTATGTGCTTGAGGTAATGGCTAAGTATACCCTGAACTGCTGAAAACGAGGAGTTCAGTGTTGGCTTTGCACACGTTATCTGTATCCTCGTCCCACAGACGGCCGAGCGAGCGAATGCGGCTGGGCAACATTCTCCGTAGAATTAAGCCCTCAATCTCCCGCAACACCTTGAGGACTTGAGCCGAAGACATCTCGTCTTGCCGCGCAGCCTTTGCCAGCACCTCGGGGGTGAGCGAGACGTCGGTTAACAGCTTTGCATAGCCTTTGACTTGCTCGGCCTTCAACAAAATGTCAATGTCCTCGGAGTAGGTGAAGAGCCCGTTCTTGTTGACCCGCGCGCCAAACTCGACCAAAGGTAGGGTCTCGCGCGGATTGCGTGCGTAGATTTCCGCAACCAGCCCGTAAAGCACTTTCCGTTTTTCGGGTGTGTCGAAACAGTACATACACGGCAAATTTACTGGCTTTCCAGACTTCTTGCCGATGACAAAGGGCAGTGGACTACTGCCACACATGAGAGAATGCGCTGCGTTCTCCACCTCAGGGTTACTTCGATGATCCACCAACGTATCAATGACGCGTTTCCAAAACTCTCTTCTGCTTTTGTTGTGAACATCCGTAACCACGAAGTCCTGTGTCTCTTCCGTTTTGTCTTTCTGCTGAGAGTCGGGGCCTTGCTTGTTCTTTCCTTTATTCTTCGCACGCTTTCCCTTACCTTTGCCCTTCATCGTGTTGTAATTACCATGGTTGGTGCTGTCGAAGTCAGATGTGGGACCGGGAGACAACAGCCTCTCGCGCGACTGGCTTTTTTTCTTTGACTTCCCTTTTTTTTTGCTCTCATGCGGACCGGATTCGACGTGCTGACTCGACGACCTAAGTACTTCTGTGAGTTAACTCCTCTGGTTCTGCCGCTCGTCCCTTCGCCATTTCACTCCTTGTTTTCGGCTTCTTCCATCCTCCTTTTCCTTTTCGCTTAGCCCTGCCGTCTCTGCTGGTCTCATTTGAATCCCCGAGTCGAGCTTCTGCTCCTACAGTAGTAGCGCGTGCGTCCCCTTTTTTCTTTCCTTTTCCACGATTGCGCCGTCTTCCGGAGCCGCCGGTCCAAGTAGGAACGGATGCGTCTGCTTGCGCGCCATGCGCATGCGACATAGAGCTGGAAGATGAAGACATGATGCCGACAGGGTTACTTAGTACTCTGATGTTGAATCGTTCTACTTTGAATCAATGAAACACAACACGAGTACCGACGCAAACTACACTGACGTTCTGAAGCACCTTGTTGTTCTAACCCAAGAAGAAGTCCCCCGAATGCAACTCGCTATTGAGTAAATGGACAGCTTCATCAATCATGTGTTGCGAAGATCTCAGTTGTGACCTTATGCTAAAGACACTAAGGCACAATATTGTTGTTTGTTCGCTCCTTTAGTTTGAGCTTTCGCCCTCGTGTTCAGACACCTTTACTATAGCTACCTCCGTCCTGTAGTTGGAAAATGGTCAACATCGCAATCATTCTGACTCGGCAACTAAAGCGACAGCGGTGACGTCTCGTCGACTGATCTTAATATGGAGCATGGTTTCATTACGCAATCTTCTCCTGAGGCACATTTTCGCATTGAACCACGACGGGACCACTCATCATTTTGACCACCCTCTTCTGTCATTTTTTGTGATCACCAAGCTTGTACAACCCATACGCAGAGCTTGATGGATCGAAATGAAATTGGATTCAGCAAGCTAGAACAAAGTGCTTCTCGACGATCATTCAGTCACAGGTAGATCGTGACTCCCATACTAGTTGTTCGTACAATTCCATGTTTAACTGACGCGAAACAATCATGTTGGTGCATCTGTTTTGCGCCTACGCACAATAGTATAGCATGTGATTGCTGTTTGAGTTTTCTTTGCAAGTCGGAGCAAGGATCGATTTTTGCATATTTCACAGCTTGGAATTGCATTAGCAGAAAAATGGGAAACTACGTATGATGTTTAGATTTAGTGTTGCAATGAAACTGAAAGCCTGTCATGTCTTCTTCGAAAATCAATAAAATAGATATACGGCGCAAAACGGGCAATGTGAATAGACTAAACGAAGTCGTGGAATGTGAATGTTGTTTGACATGAACCAATGACTATAATTTTCTTCGTCTTCCTGAACAAGCTTACTGCTTTCCCTTCCCCTTACGCTTACCCTTGCCCTTCTTACTGCGACCTTTGCTTCTGGTTCTGGGCTCCACTTCCCCAGCTGCGGTGGAGTTGCTCGGCAACATGGTTGAAGCGACTTCCTCGGTAGCCACCGGATTGGTCTTGTTCAGCGTACCAGCGAACAACGGGTCCCTCATTTGCACGTTGGGGTCGCCGGAGAGTGGAACAATATTACCGCATTCATCCTTTACTGGCCCGTGCTTGACGAGCCACGAAGCGCGCTTGATACTCTTGACGAAACCACGAGGAATGTTCTTGTCTTTGCCAACGCGATTCGCAAATCGCACCTCGTCAAACATCGCATCTTTCAGATGCTTCTTCACTATTGCCAATCCGCATCCCGGAATATGCGCGCCATTGTAGTCGTTGCCGGTCAACAGCACAGCCAAAGCGACTTCGCGCTGATACGGAAAAATCTCCCGCACTCCCGGTCGATTTCCCTCTGCCTCATATTTTGGAACATCTTTTCCGCCGATTCCCGTCACACGGACGCCAACAAAGGGACTGTCACGCTTGCTCTGCAATGTTTTTATATATTGTACATGTACAACAGTGAAAATTCAAATTTTCAATCGATGATATTATCTTCTACCTCCACATCATCTGGCTTAGATTCATTCTGTTGACAATTTCAATTACGAAGGTTTCCCGGATCAGGAACAAAACCAATGAATAAATTTCCTCAAAGCAACATGCCGTAAAGTGGTCTAAGTCATCTCTTCACTCCAGTTTTTATTACATAGGAGTACCCGAAGCACCCGGTTGGTTCGTTCCAAGACAAATTCGACTGCTGCACCCTTGCGGCAATTCTTGAACCCACCTTGCTTGACGTTGGACGCATGAAAAAAAAGTGTCTTTCCACGGGCCTCCGGTGGGAGCTGCTTATGCGTCTCTGTGCACTTAATGAACCCGAAGCCCCCGTTCTGCCTACTCTCGGCTGACGAATACTTCCAGAACGTAATTTCACCTTGCAAAACTTCTGATGCATTGGAGCAGAATTTTTAGCAGTCTTCGCACATCGAAATTACAACTCATATAATATCTATAATTGTGAACGGACTAGATTTTTGACTAATTTTTAAAAAGGGCAGTGCATTGCCCCACAACTCACGTACAGGTAAAGGTAAACGTAAATGCAACAAGAGTATCTTATGCGTTACCTTGATAAACGTCAGCGTCCATTGTCGGCAAGAAAAACTTGAACAGATCCGGACATTTCTCATAGTCTTTCTTCAAATCGATAAGCGTTGCCGAAATATCGTCTTTGTTGTCGGGGTTCTTTAGACCCTGAACCTTTCGAAGAAGTGGAATCTGCCACCATAGAAAATCGGTGTCGTCAGCAAGAACGGCGTCTATGCGTCTTCGGTTGTACAAATAGGCCAATTGATGATCCGCTTCGTAGGCCGCAATGATTGACGAGTTGGGTGTAACCTGCACGAAAAAAAAATTGCATGAAACAAAGGTGGTACCTATGTATTAGATGTCTGAGTTTTAGTTGCAATCTTCCTCGTCTGATATAATTGCAGTACTCACAACCGCATCGCTAAGAATAACGACTTCACAATATCAGTTTAGATTTCCTACACAGCACCTATTAAGTTCCTTCTAGTCGCGGTCAGACTTAATCTTCATGGTACTTCGTTCAGCGCTTTGTTGCATTCTTCCACGATAGCCTTGTCACAGTGGAAAGCTTGATCAAACCTTCGTTCGTCGAAGGCTTTATTCCGCGCCTCTTCTCGATGTCGGTGACACTCCGACTTCTCGGGCAAGGCCTCACCGTCAAACACCGTCACAACAGTGTCCAACGTCTTGGGCGCTATGCGTTCGACGACTTGCCTGAAGCGAGCTGCAATCGCGCGACTCACTTGCTGCGCTTTCGCTGCGTTCGGTGATTCTCGTGTGGCCTTAACATACTCTTCCTTCAGTTTCTTCGGTATGGCCCTGTGAATAAGCGCATTTCCATCGATACCGACACGATGGATTCCATGACGACTGAGTCCCTCGCTGTTGATCGTTACCTGTTTCTCACAAGGGTGCACGACCTTAAAAAAGTCGGATTTGGTTCCGCGGCCCATTTTCTTCTTCTTTCTTAAGTATTTGTGCCTATTTTTCCTATTAATTTCTTTCTTTTCTGTGGAGAGGAAAAGACCCGCCCCAACTGTCTCTCTACTTGTACATGTAGCTTGGCTTGAAACTCGGGTGATGGAAAAGTCTTACTTTGAATAGAAGTTTTCTAGTGTGTCACCTTTTCCCGCGTTTACCCTTCGTACTGTGGGGGCGATATCATCATCATTATCTATCATCATATCAGGTGTCGTCAATAAAGCGTCGTGCTTCGGCCAATCATCTATTCTTCTAGTTGTTTCTCGAACACACAAACCACAGTGACAGATGTCTAGACAAGAATCTCTTACAGTATAAAGTTTTTCCCTCGTTTTGATTTTGATTTCATATTTTGAGTTTTGATTTTGAATTTTGATTTTGAATTTTGATTCTGAATTTTGAATTTTGATTTTGATTTTGAATTTTGAATTTTGAATTTTGATTTTTGAATTTTGAATTTTGAATTTTGAATTTTGATTTTGAATTTTGAATTTTGAATTTTGATTTTGAATTTTGATTTTGAGTTTTGATTTTGAATTTTGATTTTGAATTTTGAGTTTTGAATTTTGATTTTGAGTTTTAAATATCAAAGTTTTGAAATTTGGACCAAAGTTTTGAAATTTGGGCCAAAGTTTTGAAATTTGGATCAAAGTGTTGAAATTTGGATCAAAGTGTTGAAACTTGGAGCAAAGTTCTCAACACTGGATCAAGGTTTGGAAATTTGGACCAGAGTCTTGAAGTTCTACGTTTTGATTTTGAGTTGTGATTTTAGATTTTGGTCTTCAGTTTTGATTTTGAGTTTTGATTTTGAATTTTGATTTTGAATTTTGAGTTTTGAATTTTGATTTTGAACCTTGATTTTGAGTTTTGAACTTGAGTTCTGAGTTTTGATCTTGAATTTTGATTGTTCTAGCAAATTCTTTGGAATTCCGTTGACGCCTGCCCCTGGGGGACCACTCCAGAGAGCTAGTCTTAGACGATGATTCCCATTATATTACTTTTACTTCCTTCTTTGTACAATTAAATCGCTTACTGGATGCAACCCATTGCAACCTTTGCGTTTGCTTGATGGACGAAGACGAAGTTTCGATTTTTCAGATACTTATCCTTTCTCATACATCGACAGAATGAAGATTCTGATCAGCTGCGGCAAACTCTTTTTATCAGTGCGATTTGACCTTGAAGTAGGTGGCGATGCGAAGTTGGTTTATATAACGTGTCATCATGATGATGCTTCCATGTGCAATTGTGTCAGCATGTAATCGTACGTCCCGCGAGGGAGAAGTAAACCAAGTCTCCAACTTACACCTATGGCATGTGGTGTACGCTCGGTTTCGTCTGCGATTTTCGTGCCGCTACAACAACTCGCAGCACCCTAAGAACGTTAGGTTAGGTTAGGTTGGGGCCTTCTACCATCCGATGTGGCAGACTAGTAACGTGCGTTCTTCTCCATCATGAGTATGTTCAGCTTCAGTGTCTCCGAAAATCGTGAAATAATAGGTAATGATCCATGTATGTTGATATGATAGGTTATCCCCTTTTGATTACTATGCTTACTGGTGTTTGCGTAGACAAGATCCGCTGTCCTTCTTTATTATGTTTGTCCAAAAATCTATAGTACAACATCTGTTGTGTGCTCAAGTTTTTGCCATTTCGATTTTACAAAGGTGCTGATGGTAGTTTTGATTCTAGTCGTAGTTAAACTAAATAACGCGAGATTAACTAAGTATGTATTTCGTTAATTTCATCTACTTATGATTCTGAAGTTAAGCATGTCAATTGAATTCGAAAACGAAATGTAGTACCCAGTATGTTGACTGGTACGACAAAGGCATTCGTATTCGCAACTAGATAATTCACATATAAGTAATTTACTAGGACAGTGTGATATGAAAATCATTGTGTTTCCATGTGACAAAAATCCTTTTAGTATTGAGATGCCACCTTTCTTCTTGAGTCTTACTTTTCTTATCAGTTGGTGCTCTTTGAGTTTGGTTGGTATCAGTTGATTATCGTCTGGTCTATTTGTCTTACACTTACGAAAAGGTTTCAATATCATTGGTGATTGTCCTGCAGACAGAGAGCTCTCATAGTAGGGCTCTGCTCCATTATCCTCTTTAACGCATTATCTTGATTACCCATTAGCATTATCGTCACTACAAATTCGTGACCCCCGTCCAGGGAGGTTCTACAAAACTACCATCATCTATGAGAGAGTGTTTTATTATTTTCGTGCTCTCGCGAGCGCCTCCTCCATGACATTTGAGGGGTTGATAATGTGTTCCGAGCCCATGAAGATGTCCGCGTTGTATTTTGCGCTCAGATCGAAGACGGATCTCGTTTCGCTGTAGGTCACGCCGCCAATGAAGTATATCAAAACGCGCGGTCGCTTTCCGTTCTGACGTCCCAGACTGATAAGCGGACTGTTGTGCTGCTCGTCGGACTTCACGAACGGAAACGCATTATTGTCCAGCGTGTTGGTGCAGATCCGCTGCGCGAGCATTCGGATGCGAGGCTGAAACCGGAACAGTTCGTGTTTAAAAGCCTTCGTAGGATTCAGGCCCTGCTTTCGGTCGTGCTGGATCATCTCCGAGTAGCACAGCTGCTCTTCCACTGGCGTTCGTGTCTCGTGAATCTGCAGCTTTGGAGGGTCCTCCAGGTCTGTTGAACAAAATTTGTATTGAGGGTGTTGAAAAAGAATTTCTAGTACTGAGTCTTGAATCCAGAATAGAACTAGTATTAAGTTGATGTGATACAGTGATCAAGTTCAAGAACATGAAGATTTTTTAACAATAACACGTAAGTAGTACTAGTACCATCTACTAGACCGGAAGAGAGTATTGACTGGAAGACGTGTCGGTGCGCGCCGTTGAATCCTGCGGTGGAAAGCATCTTTTCTCTGTGTGCCGGACTAACGCCTCGCATGTTGAGCACGTATACCAATAGCAGCCGCATCTTCAACATTGAGGGCACTTTCGTGTCCATCAAGGTCTGGGCAAGCGTCACCATTAGGTTCTGGACGTTGACTGGTTCTCCGGTGTTCATGATCGCGCACGCGATGTCCTGCTCTAAGCGACCTATCTTGTTCAACCCCAGTTCTTGGATCAGCTTCATGGTCCTCGTGATCAGAGTTAACTGCGACCCATATTTCCCGACTTTCTCCTGGTACGCTGGAAGCTGTCGTAATATCTTTGCTGTCGCCTCCTGTTCAATACCTGTGATGCAGTGGTAGTGGAGGAGATATAATATTTGGTTCTTTTGCCGGAGCAGAAAAATAAAAATGTAAGAAGTAGTGTGAGACATTAAAGAAGACAAGCACTCAGTTGAATAGAAAGACGCTCCTGGCCGCCTAATGAATCGAAAGCAAAATGCTACAGGTCGCAGAGACACGACTGTTCGTTACAACAAAAGTAAAACATCAACAACAATGTTGATCATGAACAACAGCAGAGGACCAGGTGGTTTCATTATGTGAGAGTGAGTGAAAAAAAATATACTTAAGCGCTTTGTTATTGTTTACCATCTTCTTCCGCCTGCATGAATTTTGCGATGTCGTTGTTTTCTTTGAGGTCTACCATCTGCATCATCACGATGTCTTTTGCTTGCAGCATGCTCTTGTGCCTGAGACCTCGCCAAAGGTCGTCATTCTTAGAGGTAATTTTTCACTACCCCTGGTCGATTGAGTTCCACTGTTTCATCCCTCTTGGTCGTTTCCCCTTTGAAACAACATGATGAGGGACTCCACTTACTAGTATCGTATAGATACTGCTCCAACTACATGCTGGTCATGGGATAGTGATAAACTAGCCTTAACATTCAGCACAATAGATTTGTGCAAGTTGGACCCATCTTCGGTCACCGTATCGTAGCTAAACGTATCGTTTCTAGTGTTGATTTCCTTTTTTGGATCATCCATGCCGCCGAGCAAATCCATACAGAGCGCCTCATAACCGAAATCGTGGATAAACGGAGCTATAGCGTCAATGCTACGGTCTACTATCAGACAGACACCTGCCATGTAGAAGTTGTACGAAGGTGTTCTGGGACAAAGAAAGATCCAATTCCAAACACTCCTGTATCAATGATAATGAAGCGTCCCAGCATCTTTAAACACCACGAGCAGAACTACGTTTCAAGAATTCAATTTCAAAGCAAAATACTTCATCAATATGAAATAAATAAGCTTTGAACTTGGCTGAAGCGCATCAGTCTAAAGATAAAATATATGTGAATACATGGCTGGACATTTGGCGGCTTATCGGACTGCGCCCAGTACTCGTCTACCTTCTTACTAAGCGCCGTTGCGAAGAGACTGCAATAGCTATCGATGCTATCCTTCTGAAACCGAATAATCGGTTTGTCGTGCATGCAAGCGCAGACGGATAACTGTGCGGTAAATTTGTTCGAATTGAGAAGTGAATCTACAACAATGAAGAGAAACCACCAACCCCAACCCCTAGTTCTTGAAGTGAATGGAGTGAAAAAAGAGTTATTAAGCAGAGGAAGATGATAGCGACAGCACGACCGAAAGCAGATCTAGTTTAAAACAAAAGATGTTGTAGAAATTGCAATTCATCAGTTCGTAGAACGTACCTGTAATATTTGAAAATAGGTGATGAGGAACTCTTTCCTAGGCGTCCGCCATGAGTCCTATTAGATGAAATGGTAACAATCAGGCTGAGGCAGAGAACAGAGCCAGAGGACTCGTCTCTTATAATTCGACATACTTATAATAAATCACGGGTGGAGCCAAACTAACTAGGAAAAGAAAAAGGTGGAAGGAATGTAGGTCATCGTGGTCTCTTATAATTCTAAAAAAATTTATATGAAAAAAACAAGAAACTAAATGTTACCAGTTTCGTGACGTTTTCTTCTATCGCTTGATCGATTCGCTTTGGAAAAAGGCTGAGCATTGTCGCCGTTGGCGAGTTGAAGTGGAAGACGCGGTCGTCCCTTGAAACAAAATCCAGGTTCAATTCTACGAAGGAAGACATCGCTTTCACCATGTCTTTCCGGGGAGTGAGAATTGCCATCACGTCGTCGGGACAGGTGGAGTTCAAGAAGACGTGCTGTTTTCGGTACTTGGGCTTGAATTTGCTCAAATCGGGGAAATCTTCGGTCAGCTTCTGGATGTTCGCGGCAGTCGGACAAAGGAAGTAGATCGCATCCATATTCATCAACGGCTCCCGATTCTTCTCCAGTTTCTGAAGTTGTTGTTGTTGTTGTTCTTGTTGTTGTTGATGTAGAGACGAGTGCAGGGTTCAAAGGGCAGGGCTAAAAGTGGTTGATGTTGTTGTTGATGTGGGGACGCTAAAAAGAAAGTTTGATGATCATAGAGGATCATATTTAGCCCCCAAGGAGAAGATAGTGTGTGCTCCTAGATCAGTAGCTCTTGTAAAATTCGGCATATTCAGAGTTTTTATATATTTATGTTTATCAAAGTACGTCTACGACCGCGACTCGGTTTGCGACAAGATCTGCACTGCTGAGCACAGATGAAACCAGATGCAACGTCGTGTTGTCGCAAACTAGTGCGACGAAAAGCAGCGGGTTATTGCCGTTCACTTGTTTTATCATGCCATCCACGATCCTCCGCCGGCACATCTCCCTCAGGGAGGTCGTCTTACTCTCTTGCAAACTGACCCCCATCTTGTTGTTCTTGAAACCGAAACGGCTGTACTAGTCGGCAAACGGGGTCGTCGAAGATGAGGGGAGTTTGCAACAGCTGGCACAATACTGAGATGACGTCGTCGTACTACAGGAAAGCTTTCTATTAGAACTGTCCGTGATTCATCTCCCAAGTGCGTCTTTGAAAAGTGTGGGGGAGTATTCTCTTGCGATACTCCCCCATACGTCTCGGAGATGCTTCCAAAGATGGATTAGATACAGCCTTAATTCTACCTCGGCAGGACGAGCAGGAGGACAGTCGTCGTTCCTCTCCTCACAGCAAAGAAATTCAAAGGATTACCACAATGCACGCAAATCAAGAGGCCACCACGAGGAATAGTTCATTTTGTGTCATCAGAAATCAAATGATCAAATTGACACTGCAAGACAAAACAAATACAAGTCAATTCTTGATCAGAATATGATGAGCGGCGAAAAGATATGAAGCGCACCCATGTATCACTTCTCAATTTCCACGAGGAGAGACAGAGAGGATATGTTGAAGACGAGAACAGAGTACTTACAAATTATACACGTATTATGTGGATATCAAACTCTTTCTTGACAACAAACTAAGAAGATCTACTTGCTCTACTTCTAGCTCTTCTATATTCGGACGACCGAGTAGAACATTAGTTTGTCTACAATGTTGAGGAGAGAGGTGGGAACTTTGAAGTTTATTGGGAACCTGCATGCAGTGTGGCAGAAGGTTGAGATGATGATGATCATATTGCGATGTAGAATGCCGAAGATATCATAACTGGAAATTCATGTGTCGACCTCGACACGTCATCTCTGGTGACATAGATCACATTGATGATCCTTGATAGAATGACCTCACATAGATGACCTTCACTCGACGACAGAAAATTTCGCTCATGACAGAGGCTTTGGAGGTAGCATCAGCATCATTCTGATGTGCGACTAACTCTCTCATCAAGCTCAAGGGCAGAATAGCATGATCTTCTAGAATACGATACAAATAAGTAATCTCGCACAGAATTCAGTGTAGTCTGACTCAAATGCAGAATGTCTCGGCTTGATCTATCAATCTGATCGTTAGAACCTCAATTCATCAAGCGAGGAAGAGGGAACAACTCATCTGTAATCTTCTTGTCGTACGTCGCTCGACGAACTTGTTTTTCTTATGCGATGCTGACTGCAGTAGATGACCATAAACACTAGTATACAACCTACAACGGTCATTTTTATACCAGCATATAATCAGTGCGCCACAAGCAGAAGAACACTTCTCATAACTGCGGCTGTCACACCATCTTGGTGGATCAAAGAGGTTTATTTCACGCTGTCGCTGAAATTCTCAGACAGATAGTAGCATTATTCATGGACATATGAAGACAAACAAGGTACCTCCTTTGAATCGCGTGGCTTGCACGAAGGCACAACCTTCGTCATGTTGTTTACAAGCTCGAAACTATTTAAATTCAGAGTCTACACTGCTATCAGCAAGGCAAGAACTACAATGCAAGATCCATATGGAGTGTTTTACCGCCAGATCTGCTGTTGACGGTCGTCCTGCCTCAGAATCTGCTCGTGTAGAAATAGGAAAAGAATCATGGTGAATCTGAATGCAAGTAGTTGTGTTTAAGGTCATAGACATGTGATAAATTCAACCATCTATTGAACTTGATGTAGAATTGCAAATATTTTTGGGTCTGTAGGAGTGTGCAGTATGCAGCTGTCTGCTGCGGATGCTGAACAGGGCAGAAGGATTCGGTTAGATTAGGTTATGAATCCTGGTGCACATCGAGCACCCCCCGCACCTGCACAGAAGCAATTTCCTCGTAAATTAGTACTATTATGGAGTCGTAAATAATAACATGATCAATCATGTTGTCTTTTTGATACTTAGATTGGTGGAGTTTGGCAAGAAATGAGAAAAGGAGACGCCAAATGCAAGACGGATTCCGCCGAGACGGAGCGCACATGACAGTCGGGGTGTCTGTGTGTGGCTAGCTTGCTAGTTGCTACAACTAACTTGTGATGGGATAGTGAGATCTCACATCAACTACTAACTTGTTATCAGTAAGAAATGAATCCATACGATAAATAAATCGGTGTCTGCTGTAGCTCCTGTAGGTGGACATCTGGTGTTGAAGTTCTACAAATCTTGGTGAAAACATGTTTGATGACAGCGAATCATTCTTCAACGTCTTGAAGGAGGAACTTAAGCTTTCTTCATAAATCAAATAAAAAAACAGTACCAAGAGAAACATTGACACTCATTATCTTCATAGAACTAAAAGCACGAGAGCAAGACGAAAAAATCGGCCTCTATAAGGAAACAGTCAGCGACTGCAACGTTGGCCTACTTTCAGACAAAAGCAGGATAGATAGTTTGACCTGCTCAACATTGTTATTTGAGCAAGACGAATGTATAATTCGAAATTCCATGAGAAAAAGGGGATGTCACCCTATGATGAAGAAGACATATCTAAAAATCTTGATGTTCTGTTAGGTATCTCAAATCTACTACTTCTGCTACTACAGCGTGCTCCTGCTCTGTGATTCACGCCATGTTAGCTTTGCTTCTGCGGCATTCGCAGATCCTCTTCACCTGAGAGACATTGGTAATCACGACGAGGAGTTCAGTCGAAGTTTGTGAGAAAGTCGTAGTATTGCAGATAAGGCGCACGGTTGTGGATATCCTGATGATCGGGAGCTCGTCGAGCTGGTCTCTCTGCCTCTGCTTCTCCTTCAAGATCTTCGGGATGTTGTTGCTCAACAAATAGGTTACGATGATTACTAGCAGTTGGAGACAACTCACGCGGAAAAACGTCACCTACATCATGATGTCCGTCGCGATGAAACGTCAGCAAATCTGGTGCGCTCGCTGTACGCGGAAACGTCACAACTTCTCTGCTGGCGTCGGAGGTGATGTCCTCGCCATTGATGATAGCATTGGCATCTACTTCATCTATCTGCTCTTGATCTGGCTCTAATTCTCGATCACGTTGTCGTACTAGTCTTCCTTCGTTCCTGCCTTCTTCTACCGTCCCCTTCTCTGGTCGCGCAACATCATCGACATGGAATTGGATGTCTCCCTCTTGTGATGCTCCTCTTGAGGTAGTTCTAGTTGTTGCTCCATCATGAAGATCTCCGTAAAGGTAAACACCGTGACCATTTTTAATGATTGAAAATTTTGGAATTTTTTCCAGCATCTCAGGTGGTATTGTCGGTGCGAAATCTGGAGGCGGAGGCGTCACACGGCCCGTCTTCAAGGACATCACTGTTGACGAGTCCAATGTTGGGCACGACACAGTATGATGACTATCATGACAGTCCTGCATATGCGTGCGATCCGAAGAAACGAATTGAGGTGCAACATAAGAAGGCGGAGGCTCAACCAGAACTAGAGGAGGCCGATAGTGGGGAATCTCTAGTCGTCGAAGCGTTCCTGCAAGAACGCTAGCTCTTGGTGCCGAAAGGGGGGAAGAAGATGATGGGCACACCTCTACAACTGGTTCGGCAACGTTGCAGTCTTTTTGTTCTGTCACGACCGCCTTGTTACCTCGTTCTACTCCTGAAGTAGGCACGGCCATGGGTGTAGTCGTTGAAGGACAAGAAGATCGCAATGAAGAAGAAGATGACATGTAGTTGTACTCGTTCATCATTGCCGTCGGTGCTTTCAACTGGTCGCACAAACTGCTGTAGCTCTGTACATTTGCGTGTGTTCTCCCTGGCACAGGCGTTGACAGATTTTTATGAGCTCGACAACTATCAGTATCAACAGGCGCAGTGAATTCTCGACAGGAGTTATCTTCAAGAACTGGCGATGAAGTCAATGATGAGGGTGGGCCCATTAGAAGTTGTGAACTACTCGCAGTGCTGCTGTCAGGCACAGGCAACAAATCTTGAAAGGACAAATACGCCTGCTGCTCAGTACTAGGTGGGAAATTATAGTGCTGCCCTTGAAGTAGCTGGTGACCACCAGCACCTCCTTCACATGATGCTCCAACAATTGGAGGACTGCGTAGTAGTCCTCTCTGGGTGTAATCACCAGCGCTAGAAGTAGCAGTATGCTCCTCCTCGCAGGAGACAAAAGGAGTACTGTTTTCCTCTGATTCTGCTCCCTCGCTGCACAAGAACCGCCTATCATGTTGACCACTCGACATGAACGTAGCATCATGAAGATCAGGGCCACAACTTCTAGATGCGGGTGTTGGAGTTGCGACAGGATAGAGAGAAATAACTCCAGATGTTGATATTTCTGTACAGTAAGAAGGTTCTTCAGTAGATGACGCTACACAACTGCCTTCATCTTGTGACACAGGTGCGGTGAGCAGAGTTGGACCTAGGGGAATTTTGCTCAGAAACGCCGCTTTGCTCTGCTTGCCCAATGGCAGCGAAGGCCTCCACCTGCCTACCTCGCGAAGAACCTCTGGTGTAGAAGATGAATCTTTATTTGAGTTCGCGCGAATCCATCGAAACGCACACCCCGGGGCTCTTTTTCCCTTGGAGGGCCCTTCCAGGATGCTTCTGAAGATGGATAAGGGGAAGCCGTAACTCTAGTTGTACCGGGAAGGCGCACTTGCTGCCGCTCACTTATCTGTTCCTCTGATGGTCTTGGGCGCTCGTCCTTCTCATCGTCCCACGACGTCCGAAAGTCGTCTAGTCTTGCTTGCGACGACGATGGTGGACGAGGTTCGAATGGAGGAAATCTTAGAAAAGGAAATCTCGACGATCTTTTTTCATTTTCATTCATCAATAAATTTTTACAAATGATTCATCATCTCCTTCATCTCGACGAGTCATCATCACTAGACCCTAAACCCAGCCCCCGAACAAAACAAGTTCTGAACTTCTACTCGTCTCTCAACCTCTTCATCCACCTACCTTATAAGCATAGTGGCGGAGCAGCTGGATTCCTGGGGGCTTGTCGTCCAGGCAGTGTTGACAAGAACGTGGGAGGAGGATGACGAATAGGAGCAGCCACAGGATGACGAGTAGAACCTGCCAGAGGTGACGTTCCTAGAAAATATAAATGCGGCGCAACTGGCGAGACCATGCTAGATACCTCAGGACCGACCAAAGGTGTAGAGGCGACGCTGGACGGGGCGACTGTGCTTCTTCATGAAAGAGCAGCAGGTGGACACAAAAAATATTTCAAGTATAGAAACTCTTTGTCCTGCTCTAGATTCACTATGCAGTGGACGCCTGGATCCTTTCTTTCATCGCTGTAGTAACATTAACAACAACAAGTAGACGTATGCAAGCACTAAAAAGTGAAAGGATGAAATTGAAAAATAACCAGCATTGCTTTCATATGCTTGCATCATCTGGTAACGGACTCTGCGGGACGTCTTTGGCGTTGTCTCTGAGGAACTCGAAGGTCATTGCAGCTCCGACGTTGGCAGCTTCTCCTGCAGGTTGGTTTGATTCAACACGGTGATCCTTGGTTGTAGTGCTACTAGCATACCCATCACGGCCTGAGGCGTCCGTACCATCAGCACTCCTATTTTTGCGCTGATACCGCTGACTTCTAAACAATCCATGCCGGGCTCTACTTTGCCGTTTAGGCGTGGAGCCTTTGCCTTCATCAAGACCTAGTAGACTAGATTCAAGTCGTTCGTTTTGCTGTCCCTGGTGTAGCCTTGTTTTAGAAGCAGTAGATAATCCACCCGCGGTAGGAGTACCATCTTTTTCGTTTGTCGTCCATGTCAATCCGCGAGCCTTAGCAGTAGTCCTCTGGTAAAATTTTTTCGATTTCGAGCGAGGCCCACGAGCTGGCCACCAATCCCAAGCTCCGGATGCCATCACAACAGATATGTTGGCAACCATCTGAACAAGCCAGATCAGCCGAGGAGTTGCTCTGTTAACTCCAGGCGGGCGAACCCTTGAAGACCAGAAAAGCACCATCATTTTTTTTAACAAGTTATGGTCCACAATTTGGACTTTTGCTATACTTGTTTTTTCATCTGGAAATACTTTTACCTACTTACACACTTCGTCGTTTTTTTAGTTGTACGCAATTTCTGAGACAAACATGGTCCAACTCAAAGTGATCAGGTACTCTAGCTTTTTTTAGAAGTCATAGACCTAGTTGTAGGCAATTTCTTACTTTGCTTACAACTCCGTATCCTCTACGGCTGTGAGCAATTACCTCGAACAACATCATAGTTTTAGAGAACAACAATACCACAAATACTACATGAAACACATGAAACTCTTGTTCTATAATAGGATTCAAGTCTTCATCTTTGTCCACATCTCTAGTTGTAAATAACTGTGCCCCTGCCCCGCTTTTCTGTGATGATATAGAAAAAATATTGCAACCATTTCAGGACGCGTTGTTTTCTCATTAAGCAGCATGTGGTGCAAGTTCATCCAGACGCTGCATCAAGAACATCAAAATACCGATAAAGACGATTTGAGATGACAGGCGATTTCACTTGAAAAACCATGAATCTGCCCATCAAACGCGGCTAGGACCGGTGCACCGTAAGCAACACCTGCACTACACAAAGAACAAGTAGAATGAGTGCAGGGCCTGCGACAATGAAAGCGACTTTATCATACGAAAAGTAAAACGGATCACAGACAGGTCCTCCGTAGATGAATTCTGACCTAGTCGTTTAACTCAGTTAAAGAAAGTTGTCCTCCTTGAACCACCCATCACCACGAGTCTCCTCTGCAGCAACATCTGGTGGTACTTATCCTTATCATGGAGGCCCTCGTGGTCCCGAAATGCATGCGACACGCATCCCCTCGTCGACGCCCCGACAAATTGGCGCACCGTATTGCCAGGGACCAACTCCATTTGCTGAATGTGCATCTTCAACATTGTCCTCAACGTGTTCCGTGTAAAGGTAGTTGTGCCCGCGCCCGAAGCAGAGCCAGTGTCTACTTCAACTTCCGAAGCGTAGTTCTCAAATCCCTTACTAGTACTGGCTCCACTTGGCTGCGCTCGTCCCATAGGCGGCTCTACCGTTCCACAACGAAGGAAGTACGTAGGGTAGAATAGACGATCCTTCACCTTCCGCAAGCAGCTGTTGTCGAAACGTCAATTGGGCAAAAAAATTCAGCATTTTGGCATTTTTCACCCTCCACTGCAGAAAAACTGCAAACTAAAGTCGTGTCCACGTCGTGTATCCATTGCTGCTTCATAAAATTGTAGCTGCATTCGTCATTGAATTGCGGAGAAAGCAAAAGCGTAGCGCCAGTAACTCGTAATCTGCTGCCTTCGTGCTTCCCTTCGTCCAACGCTTTCTGGGCCCAGCTGCTACGCTTAAGTTCCTCTAGGCTGGGAAAACGAAGACACATTTTCTTTGCTCAAAATCTATCATAATATCCGCTCTGCTTAAAAGAACTCTGTGAATACCGATGAAAGATCTTTCGACATGAGCATCGTGCATCCAGCAATCAATACAAGCGAACTGTGTAAATGCGAAAAACTCGATCTCATTCTTGTGTCATCCGTCGATGGGTGGAATCAACACAGTGTCAATCATAAACGTCCTCTTTCACGCAGTCGAAGGAGGCAGGTCGTCGTCACGACAACGTAAAAAGACTTAGTCTAATTCTTCACAGCACTCTGCATACTAGAAAGTTTTTCCTGTAGGAGACGCTTTACATCTTGTGTCCTGTAGGTGGTAATGCCGTTCTTGTTCCTGTACAAGTTCAAGTGCAAGTCCAACACCACTCCTACTTGTTGTTGGTAAAAGTATCTACAGGCACATTGTAGTTGATGCCCCTATTATGAATTTCCTGTGCAAGATAAAGTAGTCGCGGTGTGGTGTTTTCTGCAGATTTCTTGATAACTTTATTTTTCCGACAACTGTCACTTTTTACAACTACAACAGATCATCAATCGAACGCTGAAGGATGTATCTCTACCTTGAACATTCCGAAGATATTGACTGGTAAGCGTGAGAGAAGAGCCGGGAAATACGGCTACGAGAGGTGACTGAATCCTACTTGCTAGAGTGATCACGTTGTGCTATGCTGTGTTACAGCTCGCAGCTGTATGATACCACATAAGCCTAGAGTAATTACACGAAAACAATAAGTTAGCCTAAATCAATGTTTGATTTTTCTTCGACGTCTTATTCCACCCTTTCATGTAGTCGTCATAGTCAATGGAGTCCTATTCTGCGAGTCACAGTGTCGAATAAGCACGCTCTGCATCAACCGCCTCCCTCCATGCTCGCATCCGAGATTTTCCTCTTGCAACGCGCAAGCAAAATGCGCTTCGTGTGCTCCTGAGAACAGTGGACTCTGGTCCTGCAGTCCAATTTCAGTGCTGTTATCAGAATCAGGCTCCCTCCAAGACAGCAGTTTGTCCGTCAAGTCTCTTAGGCCTGCGCCCACCGCAAAGTCCAAGCAAGAACGGTGCCGGATATCCACTATCAATCTGTTCAAGACGCGCAGCACTACTAGTCGTAGGCAAGCAACTACGCAACAAAATGCTTAAACAAACGAACCAAAGTTCTGCTTCAGTCCAAAAGAGGGGGTTCATTTCAACACCAATTCCTCCGTACGACGGGCGCGCTCCTTCGCATCTTCCTGCGGCGCCAAGCATATTATCCGAACTCATCATCGCTTCGGATATAGTATATGCCATTCGCACGCTTTCCATCGCCTTGTCGAGTTCGCCGCTTACGTCCTCTCGGTTGAGCCACATGCGCGTGCTCTGTCGGATGCTCTTTCGCACAGCCTCCTCCCACGTCCGACATAGACGCAAAGTTTTTCTCTCGGCTGTCAAAAAATCCCCTTGATGTTGGTCTCTCTCACTCTCTGCTCTCATTTCACGATAATATTGTTGATCCCCTCCTTCTTCACGAAGTGGCTGTTGTAGCGCTACATTCGGCAGCCTCATCCGCACAAGTAGGCGCACTTGTTTTGGTACAAGCTCCAGCAAGGTAGCCAACTCTAGTCCGGTGGCTTCGTCGAGAAAAACCGAAGTTGGATTTGGTCCATAGACTTTGCTACGCACAAGACCGATCAATTCTACTACTTCCGTATGATCGATAACAATAGAATCCGCCAAACTATTTTTCGGACCACTGCTCCCCGAATCCTCTTCTGCATCTCCATGATGATCGCTGTTTCCCATCGGAGGAGGAGGAGGAGGAGGAGGAGGAGGACTAGAAGTAGTTGGCGGTAAAGGTTGTACGGGTTCGGGTACTACAACAGATGGAGCCGCAGAAGCAGAACCAGTCGGGGTCCCTTTGTTATTCGCAGCATTATTTTTGCCGCCTGGAATTTTCGGAGGCTTTTTAGTCTTCTTGGCCAGAGCAGAGGCGACTGCGCCAGTAACCGCAGCCGTTGGATTTGGAGCTCCAGTGTCTTCATTAACCTTTGTTCTTTTCTGGTCTTTTTTTGCTTCAGGGTATTGATTCGCGACTAAAAATTTGGTGGATTTTTGCAAGACTTCTGAGTCCTTGGGTCCTTGAATGTAACTTTCGCGCTCTTCTTCTGTAACGGTCTGGGCAAAGCGGCTTCCACCAAGGCCTGTCTCACCCATCAAAAGGCGCTCGAGATGGTCACTTGCGGGCTCAGCAATACGCACTCGCATCCTTTCATTCTCAAGAAATAACCCTCCTGGACCACCTGTAGCAGTTCTTGTAGTTGTAGAAGTCGTGGCTCGACCGGCAATTCGTAGAGGCACCAAACCTTTCTGAAGACGCATTGCGCACTCTCGTTCTCTTGGACCGATACCTGAAAGGACACCCGCCAGTGAGTGATTTGTGTCGGTGTCAGCACCACTTAAAGCATTGAGTTGCTCCGCAAGGTCAGCTAGTGTAGGGAGCTGTTCGGACTCCCTGCTTGATACAAAGCCATCGTCCTTTTTGTTTTTATCTTCAAAACTCTGCATCATGAGCTTCTTCTCCAGATCCTCATGACCAGAAACAAGCTCATTATCTTCTATCCCCATCGTGGTCGATACTGAAAGGCTTTCGAAAAAGCTCAGATTCGGATCGGATTTCTCAGTCAGAGCAAAGCCCTCTCGATTAGCGACCCACCGTCGGACTTTCTTTTCCAACCTTACCTGTATTTGAAAGGCCAGCTCGCAACAAGCTGCCCAAGCTCTCCGGGCTTCTAGCATATCATCCTTCAATCGAGCAGCACGATTCGGCAACAAAGTTCCACAGTAGTCAATGGCTTCTCGCACTTCCTCCCCACTGTCCGCATCTATGATCTCAATAAACCTTGGAGTTGGAAAACCTTGGCTCTGGTGGTGCTCAAGAACGTCTTTTTGCTCAAGATCTTCTCTTTTGTTCTCCTGTTTCACTCTACTTGTAGAAGCCGTTGTTCCTCCTGCTCTTGGCGGGCGCAGAAACTCCATCGCGCTATTAGCAATTCGCAATACTCTTGCAAGCTCTTCTTGTTCGTCCTCTGAAGAGATTCTGCGACCATGATCTACTGCTCCGGCAGCATCCCGACTGTTACCTCGTCCCCGTTGTAACAGTTCCGGTTCGCAGAGGCTTAAGAGCTGGCTGTATATGTTGTTGATAATTTCTGGCTCAGGCACGTTCACATCGCGAAGTTCCTCATCATCGTTCGAGTAGATCCCAAGTTCATTTGGAGGATCTAAACCCAATGAATGTCCCGTCAACTACATGCGGCGCCACGTCTAGACGTATATCGTCAGCCAGAGCATGGTCACCGAGTATAGCAAACCCGGTGCCGCCATCTTGATTTTCTGATTCAGAAGTTGAGCTACAGGTAGAGGTCCACCATTGCTGAGCGAAGATAATAGTCGCTGCTCGTAACTGGTCGCTTGCAGAGAGGCGTCGAGCAACGTTGCCTACGCCCTTAAGCTCATGTTCTTCTTGAGAAAGAAATAACAATCTTTCGACGCTATGTCTCACTGCAGGGGATGAGAAGGAAAACTTTGTTGATACTCTAGCTCCTGCAGTAGCGCCAAGACCGTCAGATGCTGATAAAGCTCTTCGGAAAGGATCTGCTTCCCGGAAGAGGACAACGGGTGCTGCCGGAGGGGCCTCTACGTAATCGTCATCCGATGCTTTTTCCACTGGCGAACCGTGGTCCGCTAGATTGTCGGTAGAGATGCCCATCTTGATATTTAAGTTTTGGAGTTTTTTTAGGTAACAGATGGCAAAAACGGTAGATCAATAACAGATAGAATAGGAGTGGGCTCACTTGTGACGGAGTGAGCGTATAGGCTAGAACGGTAGATCAGGATGTCTAGCTGTATTTAATGCAGCACTGTAATTCATACTTCAAGGCGCAAAAGGAGGGACGAGGGGGAGCAGGAGGTGGGGATATGAAAATCTTTTTCGCGACGAATCGCAGAACCATGGAAAACTAGGTCTTCTGAAGTAAAAAGCACTGCAATAGATTTGAGGTTCACATGTCGTCAAGCCACTTCTTTCGTCAAAGCACCACAAATAGGAAAAACACACCGATATCTTTGATGTTGAGTAAAAACGTACTAACACTATGCCCGCTCGTGCTTCAACATTTTGTGATTGAACACCAAACAATTACTGAATCGGCTAACAGACACATGCTAAAATATGTGCTCGATTTTGGTGCCTCGTCTTGTTCTTTACGATAAAGTATTAAGTACATGATCGCTGCTCTTCGATCGATGCACCAGCACTCAGCTATTTCTTATCAGTAGTAACGAGGTGATCGACTGCTGTTGAATCCAAACCATAACCATCAACTGCAACTAGAAGACCAAAAATCTTGGATGTAGTACTATTAGATGCGATCGCATGATAGTGATACGCATGATGTATGAATGTAAGATTTGATGAAGGTGTTGACTATTCCATTAATTATGCGGTCGTTATATTTAGCGGTCGTGAATACGTTTAGGATTAGGTTGCATACAAAGTGTGGTTCTGGATCGACGACAGCAGACTGGAGGATGCTTTCAAAATGAATACAATGACTACCTACGTGGAGGTAATAAATAAGAGAAGAAGAGCAGACCAAAAATATAACTATTACTTTACAGAAGCTGCTACTCGACACAAAAATCGTGATCTTCATCACAGTGAGTCACTTCTGTTACTCTACTAGTATGTAAGTATATCGTCCTAGCTTAGAGATGAGAGTCCTAGCTTAGAGGTGAGAGGCTAAGTTGTAGACGGGAGCCATGCAGTCCACCTACTCGTACTAGACGACCTAGTATATTAGAGACCTGCGTCGTAAGAAGCTTATCTCGTCATGACTATCACCTACGTACTGGCCCTCAGCCTCACCAATTGGCTCTTCTCCATGGTTCTTTTCTAAGCCGCTCCATGCTAAATCTTAGGACTCTTAATCGAGTTACACCCCAGGTGAAGAGTCCACAGCTCCATGTCCATAAGAGGCGCCAGCTGGTTATTATTACTTACAAGGTTACCACAGAAAGATGCACCTAAAGGACCGATCCTCCAGGTCAAGATGAAATCAGATGAGACAGGTCATGAAGGAAGCCTATGCTCAATCATTCAAGAGCACTCAAGACTTACTTTACTTGACTTCAACTTCAACACTGAACAATAGGAAATAAAATCAATGTAAGCCGCAAGGCCCTTAATTGGCTCTATTATTGCTTACATATCTCTCGCTTTTCTCTCATCTTACCCTTCAGAGAGCTCTGTCGTGGAGAGTAAGGCACCATAGCAGACCGATTCATCATCATGGAGTCTGTCACTGATTAGCATATCAGCCCCCAGACCGATTCATCTGCTGTACTATACAGAAACTACATCGCTACACAATGAAATTCTGACTCACTCAATTTCACTGGCGTACGATGACTACCGACGACTGACCGACTCTGAAAAATCACACCGATGACAAAAATGAACTGCAAATACATACACCGACAGCCTTGGAGGCCTAAAAGTTGGGCTCGTGCAACAGCGAAGAAGCTTCTGGCTGCCACAGCGGAGACTTGAAGATGACGCGGCTGGCACAACAAAGGCAGCACGCGTTAAGGTGCCTGTCCTTATTTTTGCAATTTTTAACGAGCACTTTTGTTTTCATAATACATTGGTCGTAGGCTGGATGCTCATAAAACAAGAGAACAAGTCAACTTGAGCACTCCAAGGTCTGCCTTCGATCTTTCGTTTTTCATACCACCCCGCTAATAAATTGATGCGTGGGATCCAAAAGAATATCACGCAGCATCAGAGGACGAGTAGTCAAACATGGGCCCTTAACTGTGTGCCCCTCGTGCGAGAATGCACCTCTTTTGTTAGGGTACAACTCAAACACTTCCACTTGGAGGAAGTGCCGATATTAACGTTGCCTATCGGACGAGAAAACCGTGATGCCGCCGGCGCAATCCACAACAACCATACACGATCGCCCCCTAGGCGAAGTAAATCAATTTATGTGTATTTCCGACCTGGATTCACATAATCACGTCAACGATATTGACCCTTATGCTTGTTCTGGTTTGGCGCAGTCGTGTTCTATAAGTAGAAGCAACCGCGCAAAGGCGCCACTTCTTCCGGCAACGGCTGGATGAGAGGCCATCTCTTTCGGCGTAGGAGCGCGATGATAAGCTCCATCGTACCCGCTATGAAAAAGTGTGCCAGCGATTGTTCCCTCTGTTGTCGCCTTGTTCGAAGACGACATGAATTGTTCTGCGTCATCCTCCAGACGGACACGGGCCTCCGGGTTTCTCTCGATTGCCTTCCCGTCTATACGGTCCTTAATATCTTTCGTGTAGGACAAACCGGATGGCCTAGCTTTCACAACCACAGTCGGTGGACCGAACAAAGGGACGCTGAATCGCGGACATTGGATATGGTCGGCCTTTTCACGAAAACGTTCAATATCGCCCTCCGCAACACGAGGATTATCGAGATGCCAGTCTTGAGTTGGCTCGTCTGCCGATTCAGCCTTGAGATCCTCATCGCCGACTTGCGTCATTCGAAGGGTGAGGTAAAATTTGTCCTTGAGTCCTCGCCCTGCGCAATCATTCCGCCGCCACAGTCCATCATTCTCCGAAAGCAAGCGCTGATACTGCGCTACGATCCGGCTCAGCATCGGCCACAACTGGTGACGGAAAATCTTCAGCGCGGTGACCTTTGTCATTGCCATTTCATTTAGTGTCTCCTTCATCTTCTTCGCCCGGTTGCTCCGAAGCAGAATAAGTCGACGCGCCGAAATCTTTTTGTGGCGGGGTCGTTGCACCGTCTTTGCAAAGCTCTTATCATCCGATACACTACTCTCATCCGCGCGAACGTTGATTTTTCTATCTGCATCAAGTCGCTTTCTCTTGCTAAAACCATGAACATGCTTTCTCTTTTCCCCGCCGAAAACTTCGCCTCCGTCTCCATTTTGAAGTGGAGAGGGAATTTCCGTCCGATTTCTCTCGCCCGCGTCGAGGCCAAGAGCACGAACCAGCTGGACTACACTCTCCGAACCTTCCCGCCCTTTTTTGCTCTTCAGACGCCTTTCCACATGTCGCCAGGACGCTGCCGGGTCATTGAAAACCGAATCTGGCTCAAACGTTTCGACAACGAGGCTGGCCTCAACAACTTTAAGTCTTCGTGGAAGAAGGCCCCTTAACTCCGCTGACAGGCCTTTGTCTTCGTCCGGAAGGACAGTGACCAGGTCCACCACGCGGTCCCTTTGCCAAGACCGCAATGTCCTCACATCTTCAACAGTTAAGCCACTTGGAACGATCTTTGCCGCATCCTTGGACCTTCGAATCTGTCCGCTCGACGCCACTCCTGCTCCTTCAACACTCTGGACACCGCCTAGCGATGCACTTTTTCCGCCCAAAAAACACAGAGCCTTAAGAAACAAGGAGATCATGATGTTCACACGACCGCCCATCATTCCGTCTAGCCCTACTTCTCTGTCCGAGATCTAGGTGAATAATTCTGGAAGAATATCGATTACGAGAAGAAAAGATCAAAACCTCCACGTTCGTACCAAAAAATATCTGTTATCTCAGAAATGACTTAGTCGTTTTTTATGCCGTAATCCCACATTAATCATGATAGGTATGACTACGGTACTAGCCCTGTTCTTGAAGTTGGAGGAAAAAACTCGTCTTCAGCGAGGAAGGAGGGGATCTACTTGAGCAACCCTTCAGCTTGTAGTCATCTGCGAGCTGTAATCCTTTTATGATCATCATCATTTTTTTTGTCGAAAACGAACGACCAAATGATTCTTCAAAGAAATACGTGCCTGCTGTTTTTTACAAGTGGTGTGTGGTGTATTTTGACTTCTTTGCAGCTTTTCTGATTCATATTCAACTTGGGTCGCATCAGTGGAGTGGGTACACGTAAACGTTCACTCAAACTCTTTACTCATTCGGGTATGCCCTTGCTAGAGATCATATGTATGAGTAGCCTTCCAATTAGCAAGCTCAACATCGTGATGATTCATATTGGAACTTCTGACCTCCACTATAATTCCGTGAATTTGAAGAGTGAAAACCAATAGAAAAGGGAGATCGAGGGCTCATTCAGTCCTGCAATAAACTTGACTCATCGTTCAACGATGGATGGGTACGTAAGGGCTTGGGCCTGGGCTTACGCTTAGGGTTTACCATCATAATAAATTGGGATGAGTGTCAGTATGTAGCTAGATGTATGGATATCAAGAATATGAGTTTTGATCTGTGGGCATAAAAAAAATTTGCTTGGCGCCTTGTGGTCTTACCTCCTCGGGAGCCGCATTCAAACAGACAAATCCGAGGACCGCTGGAACCATGTTAGATGGAGAGAGAGAAGATCAGAAGGAAAAATGAGTCCTCTAGAAAGATGCAAGACTGAGCATATAATCATTAGAAAAATCTCTTATCATCACAAAAGACTGGTCTGATCATCACAATAGATGCCTTGATTGGAGGGACTAACCTAAGATGAGAATAAGGGAAAACTAACCGGCTGCTTTTCTTTATGTGCTTTAAGCGTCGCTGGACCTAAGCCCATATAGAAAATTCTTATCAACACAGTACCAATAATTTTGGATTCACCTTCTCTCAACTTCTAAAAAGCAAAGAAGGAATTCCGACAAGAACAACACCCCACAATAATCGATGTCTGCTTTCGGTGTTAGCTGGAGGCACGATGCCCCACTGCAGAAACACCCCGCAGCTTAAAGCTGGTGCTGGAAGCTGGTGATCCAAAGCACAACTACCACATAAGTTAGATAGAATAATATGGGCACTCACTCTGATGAAGATAATATGTAATTTAATAGTGCCAAGCAGGAAGATACAACTAGTGGAGAAGAATAATCCTCAACCTCATCTGGAAGATGAAGTGGAGGACTAAAGAATTGAATTGAGATAAAGTTACTAGTAACCCTGCTCGTTGGGATGGGGACAGCAGGAGAATGCTGAAAGATCTAGTTGTGCGACTGGAGGACCAAAAATCTCATTGGCCTTAGAATTCAAGAAACTATTTTACTCAACAAGAGAATGAAACTAAATGCTTCCGCGCAGAGGAGTACTCCGCCACTGTCTCCTTCTGGGAGGCCATTGCTCTTAACGGGAGGACAGCAAGCTTGGTTGCCACGGAATCGCCATGCGTCTCTTCGCCCGCATTTGTCCTAGCGTCTTCCGTGGTTTTTGAGTGCGTATGCTTCACTTCTTCATGCACGAAAAGCACCCAGTAGATCCATATCAGCACAAAAAAGGAAGTCCACAGTGAGGCAGAACATCCCGGTAAGAGACAAACCAGTACGAACCGGAGTCCAGCTTATCAAGGCCCCTGGATTTGATGACGTATCCATCTTTATTTTCATCGAGTGGAAACTTGTTCACGAATAGAGCATGAACTAGGACTTATATTCTAAATGGCAGAACTACTTTTGCCTGCTCATATTTCGACGCCATTGCATACCTTAAAAACGGGGTTAAGGGGAAAAACGGTATGGACTTTTTAATACAGATGACTACAAGTATAATGGGAATCGATCGGTGAGGGCAAGAACGCTTACCCAGAATGAGTAAGACCGACGCTTCTGTTGTAGTCAGAGATGGGTGATCCCCCAGGCTTTGATCACCGATTTCACCGCTGCAACCACTACATTAGCTTCACCGACACCCGATGTCACGCTCACGGCGACGACAATAAAATAAGAGATCTGCTCCGTTCTCACTCATGATTGCACATTACATTATAATATAACAGATCATAGCATATGTATCTGTATCTACTTCTCATTCACATCGTCCTCGACGCCAGAATAAAAAGACTACCTGTGAGTTGTTATAGAAGTGGAAATAACACCAGATGTTCAGATCTAGCAGAAACAACAAGTCTGCACTCTCATGGTGGCGGTACTACGAAGATGCAGACAGTTTCTAATCGCATCTATAGATATGAATTCTGTTGCACAGCTTGCTGTTGTTCATTCCGCGGATATAGAAGTTCTCGAGTGCGTAGTCATAAAGACATCGCGACCTTTGTCTTGACATGCGGGCATGACGCCTCATCCTGAACATGATCACTACAGCAGCAGTCAGTATTTCCAGCATGTTTTGAAAAAACTCCTATCTATTAGCATGTTTAGGAGGGTTATATAGTTTATTACACGCTGCAGAAGTAGAACAGGAATTATCGTAGAATTATCAATTGTATTCACTTTTTGTGAAGAGACACATACTAGGAGATAGAGCTATTCTATCAGTCGAGGTGCCCCTTCCCATTGAGCCTGTAGCTGTACTTAAGTTGTACCTAAGTAGTTATAGCTCTCACCTTATAACAAACTCCAAGAGTAAGTATGTACTTAGAGTCACTCTCTCCTGATATCTACAAAAATCAAAGGCAGCATCTTCCCCGATCACTTTTTGATTTGCTTGCCTTAAAAGATCCTTCCGCATCTAGCTTTTCCCACAGAAACATCCATTCTAATGTTTTCATGAATGCTCTCTGCTTATTATCTGCGGCGCCGCTGTGACCACCCTCGATGTTTTCGTAGTAGCGAACATCGGATGAGCTTTCTGCCAGATCTAGAAGTTTCTTCACCACTCGTTAGAATCATTTATACCCCCATTCCTTTTCGACGAGTGCATCTTTGGAGTCTTTTTCCTTTGAAAGCACTCCGGAGAAAGATCATGCCGTCGATGCCTCATATTTATAAGACGAATAAAATGTGGGAGAAAGAAGTCCAAAATGATGCCTCTCTCTTAGCAGCATGAAAGAATATGGGTAATAAGGCTTAAATTTTGCGTGCATGACCCGGATGAACTCTGTCGTCTTTCGTACTTGTGGTAAAAAGCACTGCCGGGTACTTCGGAGTGTCTGACGCAATCATTAGAGAAGTTCTCGCTTCCATTCATTTTCGGAAGAACACAAGAAAAATGAGCAACTTGAAGTTGAAAATTAGTCTCAATGGTCGTGCATTTGCAGTCTGGTAGAAGTAGCCTCTGCTCATAAGATCATGTGGTACGGCGAGTACTTTTGAATCGTGGTCCAGGCACCCTCGCGATCAGGATCGTCATATTCCGCCATCCAGCTCGCGCCAGCTAGCAGTGTGTGAAAACGCCGCATGTGCAACTTAGAAGCAGTTAATCATGTTGATCCTTGAAGAAAGATTAATAAGACAGGTATTCCAGAGGAAAAAAGGCAAGAGGAAGAAAGACAAGAACCTCTTCTGCTGCTGTAAGTAGACAGCCACTTCATGTGAACAAACACAGCTACGACGGTACGAGATTGGCTATTATTCAGCCCGCCCTCCTTATTCTCATGCTAAAAGCGTACAGGTCTTAACTAACAGGGGACACTGAGAAACTATTGCGCTCCAAATCGGATCTTCTCCGCTGCGGACAAGCATATTACCGGTCAGAAGTCCGCCGTTGGAGCCACCCATGCAACCTCAGTGTTAAGGGTCAAAGAAGCTTGAACTTCATGAAATAAGATTGACCTCTACCGGTGCCTTAACATCGTTTTTCTATCTTGCTTGTTCAAAGTTATATACGCCTCTCTACTCCCGGTGACCAATGCGGAACAATATAAAAATCGAGACAAAGGTTGATCCACTTCGAGTCATCAGCAGCAATTCTTATAAGTGATTTGCAATGAGTAAGTACCTAGCATCCCTTTTCCCGCAATGCCGCTGCTGAGCAAGTCTTTACCTACGGCTTCGAAGTCCTCATAAGCACGCGGACGATTTTCCTTTTAGAGCTTCCCCTAGTTCATCCCTGTGGGCTGGGGATCCCTCAAGCGTATGCGTCACTATTTTCCTTGTATTGGGGCGCATGCGTGCCTGCGGTTGAGGGATCCCTATGTAAATCGAGATGAATTAGGGTAAGCCTTAATCTTTGAGTGCAGCTTGATGCCACTTCGGACCAAACTCACCGCCGCCGCGGATGTTCGCTAGAGCAAAAACGCCTCCTTTCTCGATCCATTGGAACCCGGCAATCGCCATCTAATATGGAGGATGTTCCTTTTTCCATCTACTAGGCAGACTGACTATGGAGGCTCCCCCCTTTGCCTTTTCCCCTCAAAAACGTATCTATAACCCAAAGGGCGGGGGCGCAGTCGTCTGAAAGAAGATACAAAAAAAAACATCCATATGTAAGACGGCGTCAACGAAATCTCAAAGCCTCCGTAACCATACAATGTTGTCGGACGTGGAGCTGTGCAGACGAGAGGTCGTTGTTTGTCGTGCGTCACTCTTGGGGTGTCGTGTAGTAAGTGATTTGATTTTTACATGATTCATTGTTTGTTCTCTGATGTGATTGCTGGTCCCCTATTGACTTAAAGGCAGAACGACAGAAAATTCTGAGACACTCGGCATAGCCTTGAGCTTGTGCTTGTTGGTCAAGAAAACTAAGTAAGTACCTCCCTTCCCGCTAAGGTCGAGATCCTTTCCAACGAGGAAGTAGGGCACCCTTGTTCCATCCTTTGACGTGGCCCACTTCTGCACCGTAGTAACTCCAACGTCGTCAAAGAAAATCGGCGCACTCTTCAAAGCAGGTGCTGTGCCGGCGCTCCCCATGCCTATCAGTTCTTGGGCGGACAGCTCTCTTAGAAGGGCAAGCTGTGGAAATATAGAAGGGAAACCGATTTGTCAGAGCAGAGGAAGAGCGAGATTCTTGATGCGCTATAGTACAGAAACTGAAATCAGATCAAGGATTGAAGACAGACTCCCTTGATGACCCACAAGCACGTCCATCAAGATCAAGGATCACGAAAGATTGCTAGTACTAAGTCACTTTGTGGTTGTTCTTGCATCTCGAAGAGGAGACTCAAATTTATCGATACTAGGCACCGTAATTTATAGAGTTTCTCTGGACTCGAAAAGGTTTCACTCGTAAACCACAAGTCGTCACCGGACATATCCCAGTCGACTGCGCGCAAGGACACGGACTCGAACTTCCCGGTTACTAGAGAGCTTAGAAAACTAGATAAACATAAAAAATACTTAGTTACCTACTAAGAATGGTCATAGCCAAAGGAGGTGCCTGTCGGGCAAAGCAAGGTGAAAACGGCAGCAGATATTGTTCAATAAACGTGGTTTATTCACTTTAGGAAACCGTATCAAGAACTCCATGATAGTGTTGTCGTACTATAGGTAGAAGCAATGTTACAGTGAATACATCAACTGATGTATGGTACAAAAATAAAGTCAAAGTAACAAATGTCAATTGATGTGGCATAAGTCACCTGTTGACGCTCCATTTGCTGACGTTTCTGCCTCTGGATTTGCTAGTGACCACTTGGTTTCGCTTTTGCCTGGTTTACGCCAGAAGAGAAGCTCCGGCTTCAGATTGATCGTTTTGTGAACCACGACGAAGGACTTCGTCTCGCAACTTCCCTGCAAACTCTCCCCTTCTCTCCCACCTTCGAAATTAGAACAAGAACGCATACTTAGTGCCTCATCTATATTAGTCGCTCCTCCACCTCCCGAGTCAGTGTGCTGCAGGGAGAAATATTGTAGCTCCTGTTAGGCCTAGTACAAAATGAAAACTACCAGTGTACGTAGGCATAAAAGCAATACTATGTCTGTCGGTTCATCTTGCTTCTCACGACAAGTTGTAAAAAAAACGCTATAGATACATGTATACTATAGTAAGTTGTTCCAAAAACACTACATATTTATTAAATAGATATAGTCTTCAGCAGCACTAAAATATATTCAGCAGCAGGACCAGCTGTGTGAGCAGTGTCATAAGAAACAGGACTTGGCACAACCCGCGGATTTTTTCTGCATCGAACTTACTATCGTCTGCTGGAGGCAAGGAGTCTGCTCTCTGAGTTGGCAGCGGCTCCCCAGCTGCCTGGACTAGATCTACCAGCGGCGCCACCAAGAGGCTTCCACCAGGAAATTTGTCGCCCCAGTCCTTGCGGAGAGAAATCATCGCCCAATCCTGAGAATCTTAGATGACCTGGCCTATAAAATCATGAAGCATGATGAAGAAAGCCGTGGAGGGGTCGTCCTTCACCTCGTCGTGCTTCACCTCCTAGTAAAGCATAGCATTTGTTCATTGATTTTTTTGCCTTTGTCTATAAGTAGAATTACTTTTAGTTTTACTACGACGAAGATCTTCTACTAAGTGTTGATTGTGTCTGTACAAATATCAACTACTCATTCCCGCGTGCAGCCATATTAGACGTCTATATCAGCAGAGTCAGGAATCCCGGTCAAGCGGATTAGCTGTTCACCATGTGCGTTGTCGAAAAAGAGCTTCGACGATTCGCGGACAGTCTCAAGCGACGGACGGGAGGTACTAGCATAGGTCTTTTCGAAATAGGCATTCCGTACGTAGTGATCCCGTGTGTAGAAGGTTTTACTCTGTCCAACGATGTCGTACACGGTTGTAGTGTACTCTCCCTGCCCTGTTTCGCGGGTCCACTCGTAGCTTTGTCCTCCGGAGGCCACGTCCGTTTGCAAGCCTTCGAACACTGTGACTGCGTCTTCCAACTTAGTACCACGAGACCACTGCTTCACCATACGTTAGAGGTTAGTAGTACGCAATGAAAAATAAGTGCCTACCTACATACACAGGAATTTAGGACATCCTTGACGTTGATCTATGGTATAAAAATGTTCTATTTTCTTAAAAAGAGTCAAGAATGGTTGTGAGGGATTAATATACAATGGCATATTATAAGTAACCCATAAATACGTGGGTAGCCACTGTCTGTGAGACCGCCGTTTGGCTCGTTCTCGAACTTAGCCCCCACAAAAACCGCATTCTCATGGACGAAACTGATTCGCGTCTTGCCCTCTGGCACAGTGAAGCTGCTACCGTCTACAAACGCTTTCTTCGTCAGCGAATATTCGCGCACGACGATGGCATCCGAACCACCGGGAGAGAGCTTCACTAGTGCCCGCACATCGACTCCATTGTCTTCTTAGGGGTTGCAAGCTGACCCCCATCTAGTAGTTCTTCGCATCTATATATAGCTTTCCTACGAAAGACTTCTTGAGAAAGTCTTAGAGTGACATCATGCTCATAGAAACAAGGCCAACTACTTACTTTCAACCCTTAATCTTCCTCCTTATCCTCGTTCACGCCGATTTCTTTCAGCAAAGTGTAGCCTCCCCAGACCCACGATTTGTCTTCGGCTTTCCCCAGAGCATCCAGATCTAGCACGGTCTCCCAAGAGATGTCATCGGGATTAGGTTTCGCGTATTCTGCCCAACGACATCGCCGCCATATGCCGCGAACATGCTTATCATCGCGCCAGAGTTAGACCTTCTCTCTATTTATCTTTCTTGAAGCTCATCTTTGAGCGCTTTTTCCCTTGAAACCGTTTCAAAGATGCTTCTTAATAAGATGAATTTGGGGAAGCCTTAACAGAAATTGTAGTAAAATCCGCCAATGCGACTCGCATACGCAATTTTCTCTTTACTATCGAGAATCGCCAACGAACGGGTATACCTGCATCAATGAAATTGACATCAACTTATAATTGGTTGATGTGAGTGTTCTTGACATCATTCAACTTATTAAGTAGTGGTCAGTGTTGTTGAAGTTGTGCTGCAACATGATATGATAAGTTCGAGGAAGATCATGCAAGTGCAACTAGTAGTGCAATGTATTTGGTATGTTGCTGCCTTACTAGTACACGAGCTCATGTTTACACAAACTCCTTGCCACATCTACGTTCTTGAGACAGTCTCCTTGAGTATGTATGTTTAAGATACTCTTCCGATTTTTCGATTTCTTTGCCCTCTAAGGTCTTCTTGTTCTGGTCTTTGACCCAAGTCATCGCATCATCGCTATGTACTTCCTCCAACCAGGTGTACTTGTCGCGTCCGGGCTCATAGCTTCCCGAGTCCGGCATTTTGGACGATGTATTGATAGAGGTCGAAAAGGTTCGTGTAGGAAAATCCACCTGATTATGATTCTTCCTGGTGTAGTTGCTTGAGAAACTATCGCTGCTTGATGAAGAGAAATTGTATTTTTTACAGGCCGCAAAGTAATTTGTCTTGTTTCCAATCGCGAAGCTGGTGGTTCTTGAGCACGTTGCACTTTCTTGGTCCGTCGACGTCGTGCTGTTAGTACAGAGTCCTGCTTTGCTGGACGATGAGCAAGTCGCGTTACTAAGACCACGACTTCCGCAGGCAAAAGGCAGGTAAACTCGGAGACGAGAAACTTGCAGGTACTTTCTTCTCCGAAAAGGCACCAGATGAAGACCACGGCTGCTCAACATTCGAAGGCTCAACAAGATTGAAGCTTGTACTTGTTCTTCGTTATCGACTAGTTGGATATTCTTTTCAATCGTCAAAGCCTGTGCTTGTATGTCATCACGATGAACTCATTTATATAGCAGGACAGCAAAATGTACAACACCTTCACGCTCACCTACTTCGACTAAACAATGACACATTTCAACGAATAGGAGATACTAGTAGAACTAGATGAGTCTGAGTGAAGATCATGAGCACGCTAACCTCCAACAAAAGAGCGAGGCAAGGTAGCATCGATGTCCTTGTCCATCAAAACGAATGAATGTGTGCAACTATTTAGTTGTCGCAGGTGTAGGTGTGCCTCTCAAGCTCAACATCTACCTCAGTCGTCCTCGGATTTTCACATCGTTGTAGTTCAATGATCTACATCTTCTACATAAATCCTCTTGTGGTTCACAGATAATTTGATCGTGATCTTTTGCTCACGGACATCGTGCTGGTCAACATGCTACAACACCAGTTATATTATACTACAAGTATGTATAATCCGTTTCCGTATCCGTGTCTCATCAACACATAAAAGTTGAGGTAGCATCAACTTCTTCCACCGCTTCATCTAAAGAGAGACGGGATTGCCACGATGGAAATCATTCTTGTGTGCGAAGAATGTTAAATGAATTCTTGTGATGGAAGCGAGCAGCAGTCGACTGAATTCTTGTAATTATCGGGAGTTGTTCTTTGGGAGAACAGAAGTGGCGACAATAACAATGGGGGCAACAAGGAATATAGTGGGGGATTACTACAACAAGCGTTGTATCGATTTGGGAGTACAAGGAATCGCATCTTCACCGCCTTCCCCCGTACCCTTTGCGGTCACGGCTGCGGCGATCTCGAGTCGCTCCCCGGTCTCTATCACCCCCGCCTCGATCTCTATCACCCCCGCCTCGATCGCGATCAGCCCCGCCTCGATCTCTATCACCCCCGCCTCGATCACGATCAGCCCTATCTCTATCACCACCCCCACCGCCTCTATCTCGATTCCGTGACCGCCTACTGCGCTCATCTCGGTCCCGCGTTCTGCTCGTCTCCCCTCCAACATGTCCACTCTTGGTTGCACGGTTATCACGACTGCGTGACTCTCTTTCTCGCTTCTGCAGCTTGTCGATGTCCTCTATAGGGACTAGCGGTTTTGCCTCAAACATGTCGAGCTCCACTATTAGAGAGAGCTTCACCAAATATTGCTGGAAGGGCTAAGACTCTAGAGGTAAGAACTAACCGGTTGTTTTATTTTAGTGCTTTGAGAGCTTCACTAAAACTAAATAATCCAACACCCTTTTAGAGTTGTGCATCTTCCCTTTTCTAGGTAGTCCTTTTCGTAAAATACTATGCTTATGTAGTTCTTTATCACTATTCTGCTTCGAAAGAAAACATAGAAATCATAGGGGGTTGTCCCAGGATGCTCTTGAGGAAAATGGGGGATCTACTGTGGAAGCCTTAACACTAGTTCTGACAGGTTGCCCAGATCCTTGGCCATCTGCTTCGTGATATTTGGGTCCTCTTCCGTCGGACCAACGTTGTCCTTTGCAGCAGGCACAAAAAGGAGCGGATCAACAATCGCTATCTCTTCTGCCTGAACAAAAAATTTTTTTTCAGTTATGACAGAAATCCAGATTTGCAAAAACGGTACTAAATAAACATCGTGTAGTAGAAGTACGTGTGGCTTCTTTTCCGAATTCACTGTTAGGACGAACGAGACGATCTTCCCAGGTGCAAGACCGCACTGCAGCCAGTCGTTTCCGGTCACGCATATATCCGAGCCGGACACTGAAGTATTCGAGTCAAATTGAAATTGTTCTTTTCCATCTTCTACTTTCAGTACGGATTTATAAGGCTCAGTACGGAATTTGATGCAGTATTAACGGTAAGTACTACTTATAAATATACTTAAACCACAGTTGGCTATTATTTCATGTAATGTAGTAACAAAATTGAGTTGATGAACGAAATTGCTCAAGGACGAGAAAGCACACAAGAGGGAAGCGGAATCATAAACTTAAACCAGTTGATCAAGAGTACGTACTACTTATAAAAAAAGTCCTGAACAACAACCATGACTACACGCAGTAGACAAGTACCAAATCGTTCGGAAATAATTTCTGCTGCGATGTATCCTTGGCTCGTCAGACTGTCGAATGCTTTGGCTTTTCCGATGTAGCGTTGGGGACCGCAGCTGACGTTTCCCTGTGGCGTTACCTTGAGAGCCGGTGCGACGATCCCGACATTGCCTCCGGTGAGCTGCGCGTTGTGTCCGGTCTGCACTAGCAGTGACTCGGGCCGTGGTCCGAGCGTGCCCACTGTGGGCATGGCCGCCGTGGTGCTCGTGATGCCAGTGGCCGCGAGAGTCGTCGTGCCTCCGATAGGCGGCATCGCGGTTGAGGTGCCGTGCAGCGACGGGGCTGCGGTTCCCATGGCCGCGAGGCCACTGCTCATCGCAGCTAGACTATTCAGTGTGCTCAGAGTCGACGTGGGCACGTTTGCTGCTGTTGCTCCACCTGGCGGCAATGAAGATGGAACATGTGAAGATGTGCTAGACAACTGTCCTTAGATCTTCCGGGAACCTATCTTGAGAGTCATCTTGGGTCTGTTTTTCCCTTTGAGGGGTGCACCAAGATGCGTCTGAAGATGGATTCCCGGAAGCCTTAATGTCCGGATAAGGAGCCGGCTAGTGGCAGACCGTTACTGCCCATGGTCGTGTTGTAACGCACACCGGAAGCCTGGCCTGTAGCATCGTTGGCATGTGAGTCAAGAGGTAAAATCGATTAAGCGCATTGTTAGAAAGTAGTAGAGACCACGACAAGGGAAAGAATTAGAAATCAAATATGCGGGTAAACCTTAGAATTCAAATATATAAGAATGTCCATGTCCTAGACGTCATGTTGTCAGGCTCAATTCTTCTTTTACTTCCAATTAATTTCACAGCCCTCGTACATCTTTCACAGCTGTATCACTCTTGTATTACTGTAATACCTGCGCTCCCTTGATTCGGCAACTGCGTGACGCCAGTGGCATGATTCACGTTTGGTATAAAGGTTGGCGTCGGACGACCTATCGCGGGGTTGTGTAGCATCGTCGAAGACGACGAGCTCGTTGCCGTACGTAAATCCGGGTAATTCATCCTTCCGCAGCAATACTGGAATCCCGCAGGTCCTGGTGTGGTTCTTCTCCTAGTACAACAGCTGGCTCGCGGGAAGCCTCAATCTCACACAACTTCTCGGTCCTTCAAAACGGTTGTGTTCAAAACGGTTCTTGTGTCGAAAACAGTTGTTGTTGTAAAACAGTTCTCGTTTTTCAATATCGTGTCGACGTAAGGAAATTTGTGCCAAAGTTTACGGGAACAAGGCGCAGGCAGAGGAATTTTCTAGCGTACAGAGAGACAGCATTTCACGAAGCAGGCATGTTATTCTTATTGTTAATATTGCTGTTGCTCAAACAAACTGCGCTGGTACCTTTACAAAGTGGAGAATGTAAGGAAAATCGAAAACTTCAATTAAGTATTGAATTCTTCACGAGTACATACTTCGACGAAATACACCAAATTATATATTCTAATTAGCAAAGACAAAACCTAGCTCGAACCTCAGCGAAACGCAGCCACCTCCTGCATGAAGTTTGATTCGATTATTGTCGACGCTGTCGATGTAACTATTAGCTCACACAGAAGTATGAGTAGGCTCATGAGATTTTTCATGAGATGTGATTGGATCCACATTTAAAACCCAACATGCTTCAGAACTCATTCAAGCTTGCCAGTAGGGGTAAAAGGCGAAAGGATCATCGACCCGCACTGGAGTCTTGGTAACTGCTTTCATCCTTGTCCATTCGGCCACGACAGATACATAACTCTTGGGACCGACCCACTAGAACTAGTTATTGAAGATTCCAATTTCGGAGTTTTCGTGTCCTCGGTCCGCTGTCTCTACGGACCATCTATGAGAAGGAGAAGAACCAGCTGTGGAACCCATCTGATGCATATTCCATATATCCTGAAAGTAGAACTCAGGAGGACCCAGAGAGCAGGAGCGTCATCGAGATGAAGACCACCATGTTGGAATACGATTCAGTACCATTCTCCCATCTACAACGCGCCCAAAGTCTCGCTTCATGAAACTCTTAAACATTATAACATATTTACTGACAAATTTAAGAATTCAGAGAGATGCATTTTTACTCGGTGCTCATTGAAGATGAGTTGTAATGAATTCGACAACGATCGAAAAACGGCTCTGCAACAGGAGAAGTAGCGGTACTAGACCCCTGTAGCACTTCTTTGGTGCTGTCAGTAAAATCGCTTTTAGTCACTGATGAAATACAACGACGTGAGGAACAATGAAGATTTATAGTACGTATTTTGAATCGTAACGAGCATGACGATGACTGTACTAATGTGATGTAAACAACGCGACGTGTTTGATGATAGATATGAACATTAAACTCTTCAAAATTTTTGTTCATCTACTAAATCTAGATATTAGAAGTGATACATACAACTAGTGTAAAATAAATGACACATCAACATCATGAGGCAAATAATGAACGGAAATTAGAACGTCCAGCGAAGATGTAGGAACTCACAGTGTAAGGATTCATCTATTTCAGGAGATGCCACTCAACTAACAATATCTTCACATGAGACCATGTTCTAGAGGAAGTAGTCAGGCGTCTTGTCCCCGAAGTGAAACAAGCTGCCGGTCATTTGGCCACGTCGTGGCGCGGGATCGAACTGCAAGAATGAGGCCCAATGTGGCCCTTTTGCCTCCCCACTCTCCCCATCCTCCTCCGCTCCTTCACCTGACTTGCTCTCACCGTCTACTTTGACGGTCGTATTAGACTGAGATGTTGTTGTGCAGTGGATTCAAATTCAGGAATTTAAAATAGTCTCCCTTCTAGTAGAAGAAATAATAATAAAAGCCTGAGGAAGGAGTAGACGGATTAGATTCGAACATGTTTAACAGTAGTAGAAGAAAATCCACAAGTAGAATTCTAGCATCAAAATAAATATGCTTTCTAGAAAGGAAAGGTATAACCGTGAATTGGTGATAGACAGACTCAGAGGCAGAGCAATGTAAGTACACGATAAGATGTGATATGACTGCAACTACTGAAAGTCCTCTTATCAGTCTTCATAACACTTCCGGCTCCAGATGCGTTCGCTGCGCCACCACCTCCTGCTGATGAAGTCGCATCGGGTGGCGGTGTAAGGATCGTCGAGCTCACCTCCATTATGGCTGCTTGATTTCCACAACGATAGCAATAATTTGGCGCGGAAAATATTGTTACTACCTGGTGGTCGTGCTGTACGCGATCCAGATTGTAGTGCCAACTAGGACTGAACAAGATCAATACTAGAACTCCTAGTTCTACGAAACACACGACTCGGCAAAAGATGATAGTGGTTCTCTGTACTGATCTTGGAAACAGGACCCAGTGGCAGTGAGTAAAAAAAGGAACAAGCATACTTATATAAATATTTATTATTATGAGTAGAAGAAGTGGAATGAGTCAATGTTATACAAGAACAAGACGAAGGGAGTATAAAATCCAAATGCCAAAGTAGAACGAAAGATAGAGTAAGGAAAAGGAGGGGAGGTAAAAAAGGTAACAATCCCGTGTCAATGACCTGAAAAATCAAATGAAATCTTATGTGGAATAGTAAAAATAAGCAAGATTGAATGTCGCTGTGCAATAGATACTTAGGATAGCATAGCATAGGATAGGATAGGAGTTGGCTCACCTCTTTGTTGTGGCTCCAGTTGAATCCCTCCATGACAAGTTGATGGGCGCGTGCGATAAGGTAAAGTCCATTGGTGTGGTTCCATTTCCGCGAAACGTCTTCTCTAGAGTTAGAGCTAGAGGTGCGTACCGAATCAATTCATCTCGGTCCCTGCTTATTATTGTTTTTCAAGAATGGAAAACGGTATCAAGAAAGGGAAACGGTACTAGTTGTAACGAGAGGCTCTACTTCTGGAGGATGAAAAATAAATGGTGCTAGTACGTGAGTGACCGTCCTCTGGAAAATGAACAAATGCAATCTGAGTTAGTAACTGACCATAACAAAAGTATGTCCCGCGCCTCGGGGTGACATACCCCATCCAACTCTATCGTCCGGATCCGACCACAAAAGATCACACATAGCGCCTTCATGTGGTACTTCCTGGAAACGGTGTTGCATATGAAAGCTTAAGCAAGTAACCCTATAATTTTTTTTCTGATGAGTTGAAAGCTAACATAATATGTTTCTTCTAGTGAGGATGTTAATGTTGACTACTTCTAAGTAGACAGGTGAAAAACAAAAATTGGGCCTCACTATTCAAGGAACCGCTTGTTCTTATGAAGAGAGCGGGTAAACTAGAACCTCAATATTTGAATAGTAACTTTCTATCTCAACTTTGAAAGTAACCTAAATCTCCTTATTCTTCTAGTTCATCTTTTCATAAATGCTCGTCTGGATCTCGTCTATTGTGCTAATCTGGGGAGAAAGACCTCCATGTTGCGCAAATATCTTCTCCTCTATCAGTGCTACAAGCGGTAGGGCGTCAAAGAGCGACGTGAATAATTTCCAGACTCGTGGTGACCCGTTATATTTCCGCAAACACTCATCGTAGAATCCATATACCTGGAGTAGATCGCTGTGGAGCACACACTACACCCTTAATGTAAGAACTGCAAATACCTGTTCTTGTTTGTCATTATCGATGCAAGTAAGTACTTCATTCCCGAAGGGGGCTGAGGTGCCTTTACAGAAACACAATGCATCCGGTACTACATTAATTCCAGGCAGAAAAAAAATGACATGTAAACAACATCAGAAAGGCATTAGGAACCCGTAATATCCCTTTAAAATGCTAGTAGCCTGATTAAGTTGTCTGCTGCAGTGTACTTATCCTCCAAAAAAGGCGTAACACCTGAGTAATTTGCCTGCTTTCGTGATTGCCACGTAATATCGTTACTCTCTGTGGATACCGTATCTTGAAACACAAGAGCAGCGAAAAACACTCGACCGAAAAATAACCCCTGTCCACGTAGTCGCCCAAGAAAAGGTAATTCGTATCTGGCGGCGATCCCCCCAGTTATGAAGAAACACTTTGGCTATCATGTATGGTTGTAACGAAAGGAGGATGCAACATGAAGAGGAAGGTGGAGTTAAAATATTTATAGTTACGTAGTACGATAGAGAGGATTCGCGTAATCGTTGAACGAACTCGAACAAGAATAGTGATATCAATTTAGATTTTCTTGAAGAATACTCCTAGTAAGTACTATTTAATATAAGACAAGATTTTCATCAAGACCCTGTATTCATATCATGCGAAACATTTCGAGTAGGTCATGGTATTGCCCGTGCACGTCCCCCGCGACCGTTACTGGACACCTTATTGTCGCGCAATTTGGTTCCTGGTGTAAAACGTCTTTAGCATGCGCACAAAGTGCTTCTACAGCTGACTCCGGCAAGTGCTGATTCTTGTCCTTCAAATGTGCTATCCAGCCATCTAAATCGTTCAACGATGGCTGTGTTGAAGAAGACGATGATCGGGATTAGAGGAGGACCTTACAAATATGTAGGTGTTGGATTGGGAATAAATTTTTTCAGTGATGTACGTATTCGCCGATATGTAACTCGAACTTGTTCTGTATCTGATCCGGTCATCCAACAACCAAAATGAAAAATGAGTCGCTACATGATTCTTCTTTGTCTTTCCGGAAGCGGTACATCAGGATTCACAGCGGGAGCATCATAACATCATCTTATATATGAGTAAGTACTTTCTTCATTGGACTTCTACAAGATAAAGCTTCTACTCAATGTAAATAGCATAAGCGTGGCCTTGCTTCCGCAGAGAGGTTGCATCATTTTCCGACGCGGCTCGGTCGCTCGTCGAAGATGACGACGGCGATGCATTCGGGAAACGTTCATCCATGTCGTCGTCAACAGCTCCCTCACGGGAGTATCCGCCTAGCGGGAGTTGTCCAGTGTACAGTCTTCGCCTAAAAATAGAAGAAGATGGTCTCGCCAGTCGTAGCAATCTGACGCACCTACGATCAAGCAAGACACGACTCACGCACCATTCTTCAACAGCTTATAGATGCGAGTTTTCAAGTACAACTTGTAGCATTCTTGTAGGACTTTCGCGTAAATATCCACATCCGAGGCTCCGTTGGGGGCTAAGGGAATTATGATAGCTAAACAAAGTTGTGTGACAAAGACTTCCGGCCTCCTTGAATTTCTTTCAACTTAAGGTAATCTTAATCACGATTAGAATTCCAACACTAATCTAGCTCCTTCTTGCCATCTTTTCTCATTCTCTATGCGTCAAGACTTCTACTTATGACGTCGGATCATCAACATGCCTTCTCGAGGCATAAACCTCCTCGCGGAGAAGTAGAACAGCACACAGGCATAAACCTCCGCTACAAGTACAGCTTGACAGCTAGCCACTGTCTTGAATGAAATTTCTTTAGTTTTTTCCAGTAGAAGAGATATTGGTCATCAAGATTTTGTTCATTAAAAATTGTGGGAGACATCATGATCAACATGCTTTTCGCAAGGAAGCTCGCAACAAAGCCTCCATTACAACAACTGGAATCCAGCACGAAAGAGATCCCCGAGGCAACATCATCCAGCTCGAAAGAGGTCAGCGAGGTCATCAGATTCGTCACCGACCTCTGAGAGTCGATCTTCGTTCAACACATCCTCCAGTGCGTCGGTTTGGGCGACATCAGCATAATTCTTAGAAAGTCTAGCGGATAATGAAGATGGTCGAATATGCGAAATGGACGAGATCGTGCAGATTTATCAAATAACCTCGTTAACCTGAAGCTTACTAGACACTTTCTTAGTAATCAAAAAAAAAACGCTCATTTCAGAAGTTCAGAAGTTATCCTCTTCCTCTTGTTTTTGTATTTAGTTCAGTTGTCCTTGTCTTCCTCTTCGTTTGTAACAAGTTCTTCATAAGATTGAATTCATCTTCGTCGAAAGCGCCTGCTGTGCCTAGGATTTCAGTGGGAAAGAGGGGACCCCTATCTGCCGATTCGGCTGGAACGGCGTGCTCCGTATCAAGAGGCGTAGCCCAGTGGACGCGACGTTTTGCCTCCTTCTTCACACCGGGTAGACTCCTCTCTTGATCCTGCGAAGGTCTGGCGGCAGCAGAAGCTGCGGCTCCTGGGTGTAACGATGATGCAGCATCGGGAGGCACGATAGAAAGCGGCGATGTAGCAGCCGCGGCAGACCTCGATGAAGAAGCGCCAGCCGCCGAAGACGATGATGCAGCAGGCACTGCAGACGATATTGTAAGGGACGCAGCAGCCGACGCAGCGGCAGCCGACGCTCTAGGAACCTCGCTCGAAGACGACAACGACGTGGCGTTCTCCGCGTTGAGTGCAGACGATGCGTTCACTGCACCAACTGGCGCAAGCTGAGCCTTCGTCCCGCCCAAAGAATCCGCTGGAGCCTGCTGGAGTGTCGAACCTGAAGCTGCAGCCTGCCCTTTTCCTGTCAAGACTGCTGAAGTCGAGGCTGGCTCGATGATCCGCACAAGACGCGTAGCTCCCAAAGCGCGTCCAAGCCGGTCGTCTGGACGTACCTCATACCTCACATTTACTTCAGCATACTGAAAAGAAGAACTTCTGGTTTCTTCTACTTGCTCTGCTGGACCAGGACTGCTGCTGCTGTTATCATCATCTTCGTCACCCCCTACAAGCTTCTTTTGGCCTTTTTTCAGGTTTTTTGGACTCCAAGTCGGGTTTTTCTTGCCATCCACGGCTACTTTTGTCATTGGTTTCACCTCTCGTTCTACTTGTTCTCCCTCAAGGTCCTTCTCCTTGGACATAAAGAAGATGCTCTCCATAGAACTTCCAGCTGTGAAAAGTGCATCCATATCAACATCCTCCTGCTCTCCACTGCCAACAGCAACTCCTGCTGACGCGCTCGATGCGGCAGCAGCCCTCTCCTGTTGTTTAGAAGGGACAGTGTTAATACTTTGTTAGGTCCTCGTATAAATATACAAAAACAATGTATAATGAGGTCTACTAAACTAATAATACATAATAACCGCCATCACCGGACGCATTTATTCGAAATCGAAATGAGAAAAGAAAACTCTATTCCACCAACATAATTCTTCTTCGTTTCCTCTTCGTGCTTTTCGGGATGATGCGTATTCTTTTGCGACCTGTTGTCTGTAACTCCGGATTGTAAAAATCAAAAGGCGTCTCTGTCTCTCCTCCTCTCCCGGCAAACTCAGAAAAAGCTGGCGACAAACCGTTCTCTACTTCTTGACCGTCAACGGCCTCGTCAACATCCACTCCTGAGCGAAGACGAGGACGCGAAGACGAACTGCTAGTGCTAGCATTGAGGTTTTGCTGTGCAGCCCAGTGTGACCGAACGGCAGTAGCCTTTGTATTCAGTTCTTTCACTCGAGGTTCTGCCGCAGCAGCGAAGTTCAGATCCGAAAAGGCAACATGCTGGTTGCCTCGGATTTTTGCATCCAAATCAATATTCTTAGCCGCAGCCCCAATGGTTGAGCCTCCTGGCGGCTGGACGAGACTCTCGAGAGCGACCCGCTCGACACCTTGCTGCAGCAGAGGATGGACCTCATAGATAGTGGGAAGTGATGACAAACTTCTACTAGGCGTCTAAGAATACTTCAAGAAGTTCAATTTGACTTCTTTTCTCCGCTATCCACTGCTCTCGGGTTTCTGAAAACGAATACCAAAGTGGTGTACTAGAACGCCAACGCTATAGGAATTCCGCATCTTCTTGAGTAGTTGTAAAACTAATAGATACGTAAAGCTAAGTAGTACCCTTTTCTTTCTCGCTTTCTCGACATCAGCCTTGAATTCGTCGAGCCGCGCCGCAGGGTCATCTCCGGTGATACAAGCAGCATTCTTTTGCAGTCGTGTGCTTGACGTAGTAGTTTGTGGCTCTTGTGCGTCAGCGTTTCGCTGCAACGTACTGCGATGCTTCTGGAAAATGTCGCTGTATATTTCTTCATGGATTTTTTCGGCTTTCAATTCGCTCCTCAAAAATTGCTCAAGAGTGCGAAGTCTGGTGAACGAAAGCCGACCGAGGAGGTCATCCCGCTTTTTCGGAAAACGTACCAGCATGGAGAGAATTGTGCGCAACGGAATATTGTTCTCGCGATGGCCGATTTTCGGGTCTGCCATGCCTTGCTTAGTGCGATACATGTCGCGGCTTCTGTGCCCGCTGGCGACAAAGGCTGGCACCTCGAACCTCGGATCAGTAACACTCACCTCTATCCCGGACAATTATGACAGGAAAAAAGGGTACCCATACTCAATAAAAAAGTAGCTAGGATTTATAAGTGGGAAAGTAGCTAGTTTTCTGAATTTGAGTATTAAGTACTCTTTCTCCTGTCATAACAATGAGCGGTAGTTCACAACCCAGTGCCGCACGCATGCCACCACCTCGTCTCGCGTGTTCCCTGGTGGGAGCAGCTCCGCAACTGCGCTCGCAGTTGCCCGGTATTGCGCACTAGGCGCCACGATTGCGGCGCCACCAGCAGTACTAACTGTTGGAACCACTATCGCGGAAGATCTCGAAGCCCCACTCTCAGTTTTTGCACGTCCAGGAGGCGCAGGCCCAGAGGACGAACCTAACGACGACGATTTTGTTCCCTTAGCCGTGCCTTTACTAGTGTGACCCTTACCTGCTTTTTTGCCTACTTGACCGGCCTCCAGAAGCTGTTTGTGCTCATCCGAGAGGACAACACAGGAAATTTGAGTCGCTTTCGCCCGACCGGGATGAAAGCCTAGCGAGGACGTAGTCACGCAGCTGGTGTTGCTGCCAGGCACCACTGCGCTGTTCGCATACGGAATAAGTGCCAATAACTTCTTGGATGAAGTAGTATTTTTCATTTGCAGCGCCTCAGACAATGGCTTTGGCGGTGGAAGTGGAGCAGATGGACGAGGGTCCTGGGAAGGTTCATCTTCTGGCTGGTGCGCCGTGCCAACAGGAGCACTTCTAGAAGACGTCGTGCTGTTTCCACTTATTACTATTTGTTCCTGCTCCTTTGGTCCTCGTGCCTTTTGGCTCAACTGGGTGGACCGTTCGTGTCGAGACCCGAGCGACGCGACCTCAATTTGCAGCTGTCCTGTTTCTTCAGATATCAACCCTGTGTTAGAATTCGACGATATCAAACCCGACGATGCCGGTGCAGCCTTCATCATTGCAGTTCCCGTCATCGGAGGTGGTACATCGATGGGAGGTTCCTCCCGAGCAATTCGCGCAGCGGGAGGTGAAAGCTGCATGTTCGCCTCCCCCAGAAGTCCTCTTGCGGCTTCCCCCGGAAAGCGAATTCTAGCTCCTCTCGGCTCCTCTTCAGACTGTTGGCTTCCGCTACTTTTGCTATGAGGTTTACTGTTCCCAGCATTTTTGCTATGACGACCCAACAACTGAACATAGCCACCAGTTACGTCTAAACTCCGCCGTCGCCGAGGCTCCTCCTGCGACATGTCTCAAGAAAAGCTTTTTGATCCATCAAGCTTTTGTTCGGGGGCGCTAGTCAGTAGCCATGGACTTCTCGTTATCGCACGTTATTACAGCATCATCACTACGGCTTGTTGGACTTCCCTGATATGCTGATATCAGCAAAACTAGTAGTGCTACATCAAAAGTAGATACTCATCTAATATAAACTTCCTACAACTTCTAGGACACGCGGGGCTAGGGGACACTGGACCAAAGTAGCTAAAGCTAAATCTTCCTGTTGTTTCAAGCCATTTGTTATGAAGTGCCGCTTTTATTTCATGTGCAAGAGGGCTACTGAATTCGTATTTTCGTTTTCCTCAAGTCCTCCGTAGCTAAATTCCCAGCACCTCACTCTTCACAAATCTTTAGACATGCAAAAAAATTGACTTCACCAAGACCAAGGTCCTTGAAGACATAGACATTACTTATAACACTCGCTGCAGAACCGATGATGCAGTATGAATGTACTTAAACGTACTACAGCTGAGGAATTTCAATTTTTAGGGAAGGAACCATGTGGGAGCAAGCTCGCAGCCCCGAAAGGTCACAGAAGCCCGAATAAAATGTGCAGAGCAGCCGCGGGCCATGTCGTGACTTGTTGCGACAAAGCGCGAACTTGACATGCCGAAGTGGACGAAGTCAAAATATTAAGCTGAAGCAGCTGCACACAAATTAATACCAGTATCGGCCACGACGTTTCGTGGCTGAGTATTTTCACGCAGTAGAGCACTTCGTAGTAAAATACCATCGCCCTCACGATGTAGTTGTGTAGGACCTGCGCAGACTAAAAAAGCTGGCAACAAGTCGATTGTAGTTTCTAAAAATGACTTGTTTTCTAGTCGTCATGACTTCTCATTTTTTGTTTTTACACAAATCAAATCGGGGATATTTAAGTATTTTTTAGTTGGGGCCTGATCGTATGTATTGCTACGATCGCGTAGGTTGTACTTTCATCTCTGAATCATTGTTCGGGCATCATCACGAGTAGATATGCGCTAGTCAACCGGGCCTTGGCCACGACGTCGAAAGGCCACCATGAGTTATAGATACCATAAGCAAGGTAAAAATCGCGCACGACGATGTGCCTGTAGTCAGAGACAGGGAGGTAGGCACTCGGTAAAATTGATGAATGAAATCAAAGTAAGTGGAGCTGCTTCTCCCGATTCGCTTTCGCTTGCTTTGATTTTTTTGTAGGCAAAGGCATAAGTCTCGAGCAGTCTTATGCTTACTACCATGGAGACTAAGCAATACTTTACCCTTATCCCGAGCGTCTCAGACTGGGACAGTCGTTTTCGAAAAACAATCAATTTATTCTTGTGTGATTCGCCATCTTTTTTGCGTAACCACTTGAGCGCATCTCTTGGAGGTGTCTCCTGCAGATCGAACTACGAGGAATAGCCTTTTTGTTCTTGTTCGTGATGATAAATTATTTTAAGTAATCAGTATGGCTCCTACGGGCGGTTAACTACTTCGGTAAGAAGATGATGCTCAAAATACCAGTTGTCGTTCTTTGATGGATGGACGTAGTCTTATTATGTTGTGTAACCACTCCACGTAGTAAAATGTGAATACCACTGGATATTCTTGCTCATACAAAAAATAAAAAAATCCTTCGTCTCACGCTGAAAGTAGACACGAAAGTGTCGCGGCGGCTGCAGCTGCTTTCGTTATAATCTATGGTCCAATGTAAAGTAACAGCACTGTATTGTTTTATGTATTTCTTGTGTTAACAAAGACTAAGATTTGTAAGTACAATACAACATGAACAACAAGTGGAAAAAAAGTACGACGTAATTGTGACAGTTCTTTCGCTTTGACAATCTGATTCTATTTTCTTACATTCAGGTTTCTACTAACTATAACTATTCTTGAAGATGAAGATGATATTTAGTTTAATCATTTATCGATAAAAAACCACGACATCAAGCATCACGGTCAATCCCGCTCGGCTTCTAAAAATTAGCATGACTTTGGGAAATGCATGCATTTTCAGCGGAAAACCTTCAGTAAGGAATACTGAGGCAGATGGGCTAACTACAGCTGTAGACGCAGAGCACCGCAACCCCGCGGCCCAGAGGGCCATCAAGCTAGGCGAGCCCCCCTTAGTTTCAAATCGATAAACTCCCGAGCTTGGACCCGTTACCCCTCTCGCAATCAGGACAAAATTCGCGCTGCCCTGACCACGCAGAGACGCCAGACAGTCCGGCCGCACAGGCAAACAACGACAAGCCCCATCAGCACACCAACTGTGACTCCAACGAGAAGGCACGGCCAGACACCCCGGAGAGCAAGAGGCCGAAGAGCTGCCACGCGAGCCTGCCAGGTGAACTTCACCCCCAGAGTCAAAAGCACGGCTGCAGGGCCCGCCGGCCGATGCGTCCAACTACGGACCTGTAGACGAAGCTACAGATAGCGCCACGACAGGCGCCGCAGTGCGTAGTCGCAGTTTCATCGTGCCCCCGAGAGCTTAGCTGTGCGGCAAGCGCTCGGACTTTCGCGCCACGCCTCACAACTTCGTTCTGAGACTTGGCAAAGGTCTGGCGTCTGCGTCAGACGCCAGGTGTTTTACGGGTACGGGCACCGGCCCAGTGGGGTGCACTGGGTCGGTAGCCGTACCGGGAAAGTCCTGGCGTCTGACGCAGACGCCAGACTTTTGCCAGGTCTCAGAAATTCTTAGGCGCTCGAGAATCCTGGCGTCTGACGCAGACGCCAGCCTTTTCCGGGTCCTGAGACTGGCAAATGCCTGAGGCCCTCTGCAGCTCCAACCACTCTCCTGCCCCACAAGCAGGAAAAGCGCATGCGCGAGGGCGCTCGCAATGGCATAACAATTGCCACACCCATCGCATCAGCCAAGGAGTCCAGGCCTGGGCGCCCCAGCGCGACTCGCTTTCTCTCCGCGGACCTAGGTCCGGGAGCAGTGCCTGAACCTGAGCGCCCAAGGGAGACGCGAGAAACTGGAGAGGGCCAGCGACACGCCTCTGGCCGCAACGGAAGTCGCCGACGCTACAAACACACACACACCACGCGCAAGGTGCTCCGGTGCTATGCGGCACATCCTCGCGCCAGGATTCACGTGGAAGGGCAGAGGCGCTGCGGCATCGACCACCAGGGGCGCAAGCCCCTTCAGCGGTGCGATCCATATGGGCACGATTCTCCCAGTGCATCCTACTGAAGATTTTCCGCTGAGAGTCTATACTAGAAACGCAAGTCATGAAAATTAGTTGCTGACCAATATTTCTATTTTCAGAAGTACACGTACAAGAACGGGCTCAGAGTCTATCCTTCTCGTAATAATGATAATTGGTAAGGTGAAGAAATTTTAGTTTGGGGCTATTCCACCACCAGGTTTATCATGCGCCGATCCCCTACTCCGGATCTCGTCTAGGCGGCACAGACAGCATCGACAAGTCAATACTACTTCTCGTTCTGGTGCTATATTCTTTTTATTAGATAGAGGTACCGACAACCCACCTCTTGGAACATCTTTTAGCACTTTCCAAACTGAAATTGGCTAAAAGATGGCGTAAGAGATGGGTTGACGGTACCCATAATTCTAAGCATGATGTCCTGCTTCTTCAATATTCCCGTCTCTAATGTTCTTCCTCTCTGAAACAAACCTCTGGATCCGTGTTGTCTTCATCTGCTTGTCCTCAGTCTATTCCTATCCCTACGGACATAGTTCACCGGACCGCGTTCACCGGTAGCTCCCTCGATAGCTCCTCGCACTGCTCTGCGCTCGTGCACGGGACACGCCTCTCGTGTCTCTGCTTCTATTAGCCCTCAAAACACAGTTCATTTCTTGCCTGCACTTCTCCCCATCCTGAGAAGGAACGAAACAGGGAGAAATGAATTGCAGAAGATAGGAATCAATTGTATTGATGCGCCTTAATTCGATGTGGATCTCGGTCTCGCCCGCCCCTACTCGGTGCCGCAGACATATTACGAGCTTCTCGCGCTGTCTGCCGTTCTTCACGTTCTTTTTCCTCTTTGATTTTCGCTTCCTCCCGCTTCAGGTGTGTGAGTTTAGCACGCGTCTCTTGCAATATTAGAAATGGTCATAACAACTTATAACATATCTCCATAAGGAACAAAATTATCCGTTATCTGGAAACCCTTAGGTGGAGAAAAATTACTCCTGTGGTACTCATCTTGCTGATCTTGTGAGCAGGAAAAATGGTTTGCGGAAAGAACCAAGAAAACGGTACAACTACTTTCTACCTAGTGGTGGTAGGAGCTAACCCCATCCCCGTCGCGGGGTAGTTAACTACTTCACTTGTTTCCTGTTTCTTCTTGTTCCTGACGTAGTAGTTGCTTGGCAAGACCTCTACTTATTTTCAATAAGATGCATTGTTTTATTCCAATTTCAAGAAACACCGATCATAATAGTAACTTCTCTATGTGTTGTTTACTTTGAGGGTCGACGGCTGCTGCTTGCTCTGCTTGTTGATTCGTCGCCTGAGGAGCAGAACCCTGATGGTTCACCAGATGACTCGGCTCTTTTTCTCGCTGTGGTGCGTGTTGTTGTTGACGTCGAAGACTTCTTAGAGTTGATAGTACTGTGTTTTCCCCGCCGTGATAATGAGAATGAGTTGCACCCTTAAATATGATGAGCGGACTAGATTCCTGCGATCAATTATAAGGACAACAAGGGATAGACTTGCCAGTAGAATGACAGCCAAAACCAACTATGTAACTCACGACCATATCTCGTATCCATAAATATTACTTGGTTTTCCACTACCTGTCACGTCATAATACCTCTGCACCCCTCCTATCTAACGAAATTGAGGCCGTTCAACGACCTTGTACCTGCTTCATAAAGAAGAACACATCATAGTAACAACTTTAATTTTCGAGATGCCAACTTATTTACGACCACGAAGTTCATAAATATTGCCCGCTAGAAAGCTCTGGCTCTTGCGGACGCGTATTATTCACGGCAGAAGCCAAAGGAGGTTCCTGAAACGGAATGCCTCTCACACGAGAATTCTCCAGCATGACCTCTTGTTTAGAAGTGTAAATCAGGAATGCTTATCATCATTATATGTCTTAGATGGTCGTTATCTACCATCATCAAGGCAAAACGGTTCCTGAAACGATGAATGCCCTACTTCTACTCCTCATCTCCTGAATAGAAAGACGATAGAGTTCTTGAAGTGGATGGTCTCATGAAAGTTATCATATCCTGAATGAGTAAAGAACTAACTACTTACGCGGTCGAGGTGTACAATCATTGAGCTACTTTCAAGTTGTGCTGTACTGTAGAAGTAAACAGCGCCCCTGCTGAGCTCTGCAAAAAAATTTGTGAGACTCGGATTTGCCCCTATCATACATAGTCTAGGGTCAGCCATATTGTGCCATTAAACAATGAACAACTAAATTTATTTTACTTTAAATATTTACAAGCACACGACATATCGCATAACTTGCTCACGCGTTCTTGCAGGTAGTCGCGCATCAGAGATGTAGCGTCTCGCAGCCGACTCGCGGCGACGAGGCGATAGCCCAGTAGCAAGTCCCCTCGCACATAAAGGAAACGAACCATTTCACGTTAGACGAGGTAAAAAAAGTCTTCCCATGGTATCTGAAGTCTAGACGAGTTCCTGTTCCCCATTTTTCCAACCTGCAGCTGTACTACACCTATCTATAGTCGCTCACAGCAATGGATTACCATTATCAATCTTGTTATTATAATATCAGAGCCTCCTTCTTGCGTAAATTTCGCATCAAACCAGGATCCTCCATGCCGATTCCCCTCATCATGGACGGCCGTGGCTGTGTCCTGCGTGGTGCTCCATTATTGATGCTGCCATTAGAGATAGAAGATAATCTTCTCATTCTCGTCTTGAGTAAGTAAACTGTCAGTGCTCTGACAGCTTCTTTCCTGAAATCCAAGGATGGATTTCCTTCCCACCTCCCAGGGAGCGAGGTGCTCCTTGGCAAAGGAACAGGATAAAACCTGGACCTTCGTCTATTGCTCAAGGTGATGCTTCGTTCAAATAACAAGGCACGATGAATAATTAATATGTTAGGATTCTAGATCGAAGCAAAGCTAATGCAATCACCCCTGCTACTGTCAGTCCTAATCATTAAACGCACACAAAGGGGAAAGATATGGAGGCACGAGGGGACGAGTGTTTTTAGAGGTAAAAGGTTAACCCGATGAGTTTGAGGGATGTGGTCAGGGCTCAAGTAAAACTGCTGTAGAATGTGGATAAGAACTACACGACGATGTCATGTGTGTTTCCCTGAAGATATCACCTTGCCTGATGACCGTAGGTTTTTTTTTGAGTTAGGACTATATGCTGCCGCCCTTTTAATCACTTATAAACATGTCTGTTACATAAGTAAACATTTTACATGATCACGACTAACAGCAACCTCTAGTTCATGACGAAAAAGAAAAACTCAAGCAGACTTCCCAGTTCCACCACATTGCCAGGATTAGGAAGATGAAAAACTCGTCTTAATGCCAGGGGATCTCTCCACGTGCTGGTTCATCGGGTGACGGGGGTGAGGCTCTCTCTGATGTAGTTGCTCCCGCACTCCTCGTAGCTCCTCATGCCTGTCGAGAGGCGTCCTAGATCTTAGAAAAAGGAAGATTGAAAATGTGAAGAAATGTACGAGCACTGCTGGTCCTGGTACCACAAGGTCTCATGGACCATCGATACCAAGCTCCCGTGCGAATGTTGAGACGAAATCAAGTCAAGCCGAACGGGAACGACTAATAGTGCAAGAAGGGTAAGTACTTGTACTATAATCAGGTTAGGGCACTATGAAACGAAAATCTGTTATCATTATCAAATTTCTTAAGTAGAAAAGTACGATAATGATAAGAGATTTTGGTTCCATAGGCACTTAAGTACTTGTTCTAAGTATACTATAATTAGAACTTCCAACGAACTACAAAGCTATCATGAACGTCAATGTCTCCTTTTGTCCTTAAGGATAGATCAGCGCTTGGCGGTCCTCCTCCTGTAGCAGGATTCGCTTCAGCTCGCTGCAAAAATCTTCTTTGTTCTTCGAGTCTCTTCTTTCTGATTTCATCCAGCAACATTTTGAATGTTTCCTGTGCGTTCTCGGCGGATATTTGCCCTAAAGCCACGAACGTGCGCACTTTGGTTCGGATTTTGTCAACCGTGTCCTCAGGCAAGGTGATAGAGTCCCCTTTTTAGCGCAGAAAGAGTCCTTCCACCTAACATGTACTTATTCTAATACAGGATGTCCCGTGGTATTATTCTATTATGTACTTATTCTAATACAAAGACGCTCCCCTCTCACAGAGCCTCTTTCTCTGTGGATTCTTTTTTTCTCGTCTCTGACTTTTATCACCAAGACTTCAGCTGCGAGAGGACCACCTCAGTATTCTAAATAACAGTATGCACTACTTGAGGTACGTGAACCGCAACAGAAAAGCAGGGAACTTCTTAGTGACCAACTACAGTATTGTTGTATTATCAATAAAATATGGATAAAAAAATGTAGTTATTGAGTAGAGTATTCACCATCTTCAACCCACGTGGACGTGAAGAGTTCTTTCACCACGCACTCCTGTGGCGTAGTATGATGTGGATGAAATTTTTGGAGGCTTAAAATTCATGCTGAGAATCCGGCAGCGACCGGCGATCCACCTCTGCGATCGTTTCACGACGGCGCTCCTCCATAGTTTGTGGAAAGTCTCTACTTCCGTGGTCCTGATGGACATTGGCATTGCGAGGAAGATGATGTAGTGCACTCGAGGCCATACTATTCGTATTTGCAGATGCGCCGAATGAATGCACACCGGGAGAGCGCGGTGCTGGTCCGCGCTCGTCTCGACGCATTAAATGGCCAGGATGATCGCGCGGTGCTGGTCCGCGCTCGTCTCGACGCATTAAATGGTCAAAATGATCCTGAGCTCCTCTGCCATCTCGATCAACATTCCTGCTGAGATGAATATCTCTTTCCCCCGCTTGTTCCATCATACTTGTATTTTGAGGATGTTGTTGATGTTGCAGCTGCGCTGCTCTAGATCGCTCTCTAGACGACTGCCTAGCACCTACTGCTCCAAGTGGAGCCACTGGTGGACCATGATCATTCGGTTGTCCACCTTGTCGACCAAGTCCTCCAATGTTGGATGTATCAGCGCTATGAAGATCATGACCACGAGGAAGATACTTATTCTGGTGATGCAAGCTGTGGTTGTGGTTGTTGAGATTGTGCTGATGATCATTGCGAATGTGAGAATTTTCAGGAGGAACTCTTGGAAGATCAAGTTGCGGCTGATTACTACGAGGGGTCTCCACGCGGTGATCGTGTTGCGGATCAACGCTTCGTGACTCTAGTACTTGTTCAACAGGACCATTTGGATTTGTGTTGGTGCGTTGTGAGCCGCGTCCTCTATTTTGGACCTCGCCTGCTGATTTCTCACAGTTGCGCACAAGAGACGCAAGATGAGGCGGTAGCGCGCGCGGAGTGGATCTCTCTCTCGTAGTTCTATTATTCGCAGTATCAACATCACCACGGTCATGATCAGTTTCAGTGCGGCGTCGCTTTGACCCTCCATCGGCCCCCCTGCTATCTTCTTAGGGGTTGCAAGTTGACCGCTCTAGCTTGCATATCCATGACCTTCCTCCTTGAAAAGGTCATGGCTATGCTCATAGACAAGTCACCTGCCAACCCGTAACTACCTTCGTCTCGATTCATCTCTGCTGATTCTCTGCTGCTCCTGCGTTCAACTCGGGGTGCTGCAGCGGGGTCAAAAACAGCAGTATTTGTATTGCGCAGCGACGCGGCAGCCCCGAGACGAGACGGTGCCATTGACTTGCCGATAGGGCGTCGCCGACGCGGCGAACCACGCGATCGAGACCGGCTTCTTCCATCCTTAGAGGACGTAAAACCGGAGTGGTTATTATTGTCTATACTTCATACGTCAGACACCGCGAACTTCAAGGGAAGCCACGTGCTGCCTACACTCTGGGGAGGGCGGTTGTAGAGAAATATAATATCTCCAAATAAAAGCACATCAAACAATTACAATGAATAACAACCCATAATTGACCAACCAGTGCAATTTCTCTAGTTAAAAAGATAATGTACTTAATGAAAAGGTAGCCGTAATGCGTGGCGACTCAACTTTTTTGGAAAATCCAGCAGCACCGCTTATGGAGGTAGCGTGTGGAATGCCCATTCCCTTGCCAGTCACGCTTCCCTTACTCTGAGCTACGGCAGTCAAGGCCGTGTCTTTACCAGAACTGGTGGCCGCTGAAGAACCGCCTTTGGTATTCGACCCACTCTTGGAATTCTTAGATTTGGCTCCTTTCCGATTCTCACCCTCACGGTCACGCCTATCACAGCATAATATCCCCGGGGAAACGACCTAACTAATGTATGATTATCAGCTGTAGAATAATTATTTACAAGTCCAGAGTGCCTAGGCTCTGTCTCAGCGATGGATCACACTATGCACCATGGGCCCCCCCCGTCTGCAAACAAAAAACAAGCAAAAAATAACGTACAGCAATCATCTTACTAAGAAGGCTATTCTGAGGAAGTCAAGCGCCTTGACTTTGGGTTCTCATTTGGGATCCGCTTTCTGCGTTCAAAATTTGCACCAAACTTATAAATTTTGCATTTTTCTACAACTTTCGACGCCGTTCTGAGCCCGATGGCATCACGTGTGGCCTTAAGCTCAGAATCGGCAGACGCCACTTGGGAGTGACGCTGTGTGCCTCTTTCAGCGCGTCCGCTGCTGGGCCCGATGATGCTCCAACAGAACCGGACACGGGCGTGCGGACGCACTCACCCAATCGGAAACACTGCAACGTAGCGTCCAGGCGCGTAAAAGGCGCGAGGAGCGCGCAGCGCGAGGACACAAAAGAAAAGGCGCAAAAAAGAGCAGGGACGGGGGGGCAGGCTTGGGGGGCAACCGGCTTGCGCCTTGCGCGGCAGTTCTCACGTTGCCCAGGGGTTGAACTACGGCAGAGCCCGTGGACCTGCGTCCATGTGTCATGTGTGCCCATAGTGCTGCCACTCGTGACAACCGTAGAGTTGGGGTCTGACAATGCTACCGACCAGAGGCCAAGGCAAATGCCAGGTTCAACCAGAGCTGTTGTTGCCGACGTTCTAGATAACAACAACAACCCATTCTGATGGCCGTAGCATATCTAGAACTAGTCCATCTAGTCTACTCACACGAGAATCACAAAAACAGCAACTAACAAGCTGCACTCGTTTTTTAGAGAGAAGATCAAGTAGGTATTCCTGTTCCTCGTAGCTGCTTGACTGCTTTTCGGCGGGGACGAGTCGGACGAGGAACGCGATCTGCCACGACCGCGAAGAGGGCCTTTTCTGGCTCGCGACGACCTCGAGCGCGCGCGGCTTCGAGACCTTTGCGGTGAGATTGAGAAAAAAAAAGAGTTCTTTTACCAAACAGCAGAAGACTTCAGCGACTAAATAGGGCGAGATGGAGTAGATCGTGAGCAAGTATAATAAGCTTTGAAGCAGAGGAGAACTCACAAGTGCTTGAATCTCTTCGACAGTATCCACCAATGCATCACGTTACATGCTCGAGGCCCTCCTTTGCACCTTGACGCCCCGTGGTCTTTGCGCCCCCCCACGCCCGCCCCTTACGGCCGCCGGCGTTCCTCATGACCCCACAAGACCCGAAAGAAACGCACCCCCTCGGAGGACGAGCATCATCATCACTAATATCATCGTCATGCGGCTCCGGTGGCCAGTCTCTACCAGCTCTAGCGAGAGAAGCTAGTCTCCAAACAATGCGGCACAGAGACGGGCGCGGAACTATTCACCCTAGTGCGTTATGGGATGAATCAGTATCAGACTTAGATCGTAGGCGTCCTTCTAATCTTCAAGGGCGGCCGTTTATTATCTCTACAACTCAAATAGATCTATCTGGACTTAGGAATCTGATCTACTTCTGCATCTTCTGAATTTACTATCTCTTTCTCTCTGTACTTATTTGGAAATAGATACCTCTGCTCTTTACTTTCCTTCCGCCTCGATCTAGGATCCACGTCCTTTTTTTTCCAATCAATCCTGGAGAGAGAGAGATTATAATTCAGTGTTGGAGGAGGATCGATCATCGAGACACGACCGCTTGAGCCAAGGCCAACGAATCATATGTCATACAAGAAAAGATAAAGCAAAAACAACAAAAAACTATAGTAAAAATGTACTTGACAAGCAGGTCTTGTGCCAGCGAAATATTTTTTTCTGTGGTTGCCTTCACGGCGTCCGTCGCAAGTTTGGGGGTGCACGTAGTCGAGCCATCCAGGCTGATTGAATTGGCATGCCCGTCCGTGCTGCTAGAACTGGTTCCGCCAACAATTGGTTGGTCCCGCTTGTTGTAGCTCTCTGAAAATTGTTCATATCAATGAGAAGCTCATTGTTGAGTACATTATCATAGTGTTGGTGGAGCAGGCCTAACTAGAAAATGGTAGTCATGATTTTGCTGAATGCTTACTTTGACTGTGCATGATCCGAATAATCAACTTTGATCACTTCTCACACACTCAGAAAAATGAAATTGTTTGTTCACGTGTGCCGACGCCAGTTGTGTAGAGGAGATGAATCGCCTCACAAGAGCATCGGTTTACACGGAGCCCTACTTCCTGCGCGCGCCAAAAACTGTCGCCAAAACTGAACGCATCGATTGCCGAAGCAGCAGAGTAGTGTACTTAAGTAAAACGTTTGGGCCACTGCCCTCTACAGCAGGGATCGATTCGTCATTTTCGGCGACAAAAATTGTAAAGCCGCTGCCTAGTCGTCGACGACTTTGGAGTCAACTGTCCTGCGTCTCCCTCTAGAATTTGAATACTAGAAGGAGAAAACAGAAGTACAGCAAAAAGTATAGGTACCACAGAAAGCTCTGTTCTTGATTAGTTACTTAGTTGTCTTGTTCTTCGACATGTATTCAAAAAAATTCAACAATTCCTTGTGTATAAGCAGTACCTGGTGCATTGCTGCGCGTACGTGAACGCCTTCTCGGTGAGCCTCTTTTTGAATCGCTGTTCTTCTCCCTCCTTCTGTGCTCAGCAAGAGCCTTTTTGTTGAAGTCAGACTCTGCAGGCTGCTTCGTGTCATAGCCCCACATTGTGCAAGCCCACGCCAGAGCTTTTCGATTAGGTCTGAATTAAGAAATCAATCAATCAATCAATAATATGCGGCCGTCTAACGAGCGGCGGTGCTGGATAACGGAGGAACAAACAGACCCAGGGCCAACTCTGGACTGTGCGAGCACGACTGTGTTCCCGCTGACCTAGCCCACAAAAGATCATCCATAGCAAAAGACCAGAGGCTAGTCACCTAACGATCAATCAGAAGACCAAGCAGGTTATATATTAGTATTTGCAAGCTTGAAGATTGCAGTAAACTGTGTATTACAGTAAGAGTCAGCGACAAAATTTTTCGAGGCGAAGACGTCGGGAAAGCAAGGCTAATGCAAAAAGAATGGCGAGTATCTGCGTCAACAAGAACCAGCTGGAGCTTCCTTTATTTAAATCTTTTACGCGCACTTTTATGGATGAAGGTGGTGGTGGTGGTGGTGGTGGTGGTGGTGGTGGTGAGGGTGGCATACATATTTATTGGGTGACGAAGGTGGTGGCGGTGGTGATGAAGATGGTGGTGGTGGTGGTGGCGGCGAGGTGGTGGCGGCGCAGTCGAACGCCAGGGAGGTGGTAGTATTACTACTACTCATGCCAGCGCGGGCGATACTGGTGGCGCTAGTTCATGTACTATTAGCTAGTATTGGGCCGGTACTTCTAGCATCAGTCCGCAAAAAATTCAGTTCGCTCTATTTAAGTTAACAAAGTGGGCAACATTTCCCCGAAGACAAACAAAAGGACTAGCTCAATACCGAGGCGCAAGCATTTTTTGTTTGTCTTCTGACAGTTCAGGAGTTCACCTCTGAGATACATTAATTACTGAAAAGCAACTCTTCAAATCATCAGCCAACGCGAACGATGTACTACGAAAGTAAGCAACTGGTGTACAATTGCCGCAGCAGCTTCTCCACTGGCGTACGCAGCTCATTCCTGCGAGTGAAGCCGTTCTTAGAGTTTGTATTTTCATCTACAATTCATTTTTTAAAGACTGACGCTTCCGGACTTGGACATCAACTGAAGATGAAAAGCAGAACCCTGAAAGGAAGAACCTTTAAGCAAAACAAGGAAAACTGATGAAATGACACTCGAGATGCCGCTTATCATGCCCCTTGAGATCACACTTGGAATGCCACTAATTCTAATCCAATCAGTCTCTATCTCTATGTGAGACCAGTGCCTTAATGTTGAGGTAGTCTAAGTTTCGCAAGTACAGCGTTTGCGCTTCATCGATGGTACTGAGTTTCGTCTGATCCATTTCCTTCTCAGCCTCCATTCCTGGAGGAAGGTTCACTCCGATCGATGGTCGTGGCGCTCGCTCTCGGCGCCTCAGCGGACTTGCTGTACCGCGACCCCTCGACGGACTTACTCCGCACCTCAGCGGACTTGCTGTACCGCGACCCCTCGACGGACTTGCTCCGCGCCTCGGCGGACTTGCTCCTGCACCAGCAGTACTACCAATCTTATTTGCCACGGCTGTCTTTGCAGCAGATTCCCATAAGCTGCTGTCGTCTCCAGAAGACGACCGAGGAGCAAACGGAGCCGACGCTTTCGATTGGCTTAGCGGAAAAGACGCGTACGGATTCGCTGTCGCAGGCAGCGACACCACTCCCGCTCCTGCTCCGCTTGACGAAGAGGCGGGTGATGAAGAGGCGGGTGAGGATCAGGAATGATCTTGTGATGCGAAAAAGGAGAGAAAGAGATGAAACAAGGAAACCAAATAAGTAAAATCCAGAATAGGATGAAAAGGAGATCGGAGACCCTCTTGTTCTATCTTCCTAGTTCTTGTTGTACTACATACTGTCAATGGTTCTTGGTAGATTGTGCGAAATGGTGATCACTACTTAGGAAAACAAGAAATCAAGGAAGAAGCATTCGATCAACTGAAGTAAGCAAGTAACAGACGAGAATAACCGAGATACTGAAGGAAGCAAGAGTAGCCTCTAAAAGCTACGTCCCATATTTCAGTCAGTAACTCGCTTATTTTCACTTTTCGAATACAACGAAGTGGCTCCCTGATACCTTCTACGCCTTCCAGGATGAAACTACGTAGTCGAAGATGCGAATGTAATCCACCAATTTTGTCTACCTAGGAATATAACTATTCGAAAAACTGAAATAACCGAGTAACTATTGAAAATAAGGGAGATACTGAAAGAAGAGAAATGTCGTCAAGACTCTCTTATTTCAGTCAGTAGCTCGCGTATTTTGAGTTTTCGAATACGTAGCTCTTGATAAGATTGTCATACAGGTGGTTGTGCACGCGTCGGTCGACCACAATCCTCCTTTCTGCACTTTGGGGAGTTTGGGGAGCGGTTCGGCGAGTCGGATCTTTTTCTCCGCGATTTCCCATCTCCTCCACCCGACTTATCAGATGCGGCTGCACGCTCTCCTGCTTTCTCAAACTTAGCGGTCATCCTAGACCTAGGGATATCAGGACTTGGAAAAGGAGAAGGAGATGAGAAAACATCTTATACATGGCGCTGTATGTTGTTTTTATGAGGACGCGTTCGGTGCGATGTATCCTTGAAAATGAAACCCTTACATTTGAGAGAAAATCAAAATCCTTGCCATACTCTTTTTCGCAGTGTCTGAACCAACGCCGAGATCTTTGTACAGATCGACCTCCTCCCTGTCGGCGCCTGACTTCTTATCGGAAGATTCTTTGCTTGTGTTTCCCCGCCGGGTACTGGAAGCGCCGGGTACTGGAAGCACGCTGTTCGAGGATCCTGTTCTGTCACGGGGGGTGTCCTCGACCCCGTCGGGTCCACCTTCCTTCACAAACAACGCCTTCAAACTCGACGAAGCCGCCGCCTTTGGAGGAGGGGCTTCCGACATTGCTGACATCGCCTTTGGTCGAGGAGCGACGAAACATTAGAAGAAAGATGCCGAGTTCCCATATCATTATCTTATCAATCCTCAGCTCGCATATATTTGTCCCGACAAAAAAACAACACTAGCAACGAAACTATCCTATACACAGGTAAAAGAAGTCTGCTATTGACGCTGACGTTGAGTAAGACAGAGCATGAGTGGTCACTAGATGAAGTAGATAATGAATGATGAGAGGTCTAGATCATAATATCCATGTTCGTAGTATATTACATGAAGGGATAGTAGACCTAGTTGATAAGAAGAGGAAAAACGAACCGGCTGTAGTACGTTGTAGTATATTATTAAGAAAGCGGATAAATAATAAATATCCGTGTACTTACGCCCTAGAAGTATCTATCTAGAAGTGGCAAAAACAAAAGTGCCGTAATTTTCTTTGTTGTTGAATAGTTGGTGGCACGCACGCTGAGCTCGGACCGCAAAGGACTCGGCGCCGCCGTCAGGGCCAGCGTTAGGGTGGATCGGTACAGGTCCAGGTGGCGAAGGTTGACCAGTGAGATTAGAAATAGAGGACGCCTGCTTCCTCTTCTTGTTATTCTTTTCCATCAGCATAGTTCTTCTTGTTCTTTTTTGTTTGTAATTACTTTCTTCGACATCCCCTTCTTCCTCTTCTCATTCGACTTCGTACATTTGTGCTTCGTTCTTCTTCTTCTTCAGCATAATTATCAGTCGTGAACAATATCTAAGAAAAAGAAGCAGTTGTATCAACATCATGTTGATCATCCAATATTTATCGGATCAAGTGAGTACTATCAGGAACAAAGTAGTCCCAGGAAGGTGGTTCAGAATCGGCATATTGAGTACTGCAAGATGCGGCATCATGATCTTCATCTGAAACTGAATATATCACAACAACATCAACAAGTATGACTTCAAGCCTTAACAACAGACGACGGCGCAGGCGAAATCATCGGACAAGCCTGTGAATAGAATTGTGGGTGCGGGGCCATAGCTTGCTGCTGCGCGTAAGCTCAAACTTAGACAGTGAGTACATCTTCAAGCATATATTTTGATAGTTGGCAGGGTCAATACAACATGCAGTCTTCTGCGTGAGAAATGGCAACTAGTGACATAAAGTTGGGTACCCATCGATTGGGTTACTCATTATCATCAATATCATGGCGTCTCATTAAGCAGCACTACAACTAGTAGTCTATTGGCATGCGTGTGCCCCTGTTGTACCCATTTGCGACCACCGTAGTCTATTGTTCTATTCATCTCCCTAAGTCTGATACTAAGTGTGATGATGAGTGGAATTCTAGATCTAGATGGTGATTAACAAGGAGACCAGCAAACTACTAATTTAGGTACATATTAAATCGAAAAGTCAATTCCTTCTCAAGAATAGACACGAGCACCCCTGTGTCTGTTATGAAGTATGAATTTCTATCGTAAAACTGTTGCTGTTGCTGGTAGTGAACAAACGCCTGTTGTTGTTGCAGATTGTAACACCAATTCGCTGCGTCGTTCCAATTAGGCTGGACGGGCGGTGGCGGGCCCATTGGCGGACCTCCTGCTCCACCCACTGTAAACTTAGAAGCGGAGGATGCTCTTAAGTGGGGCCGGTTCGGGCGTCGTTAGGCCTTTGGTGCTGGAACAAGCAAACTACTAGTGAAAAAGTATAAAAGCTGTGGACAGGTGGGCCCCATTGTGGTAGGTGGGTAGATGGGTCGCCAGAAAGACTAGAGGCAGATGAGTTCTAGGCTCCGCTCTGTAGTGCCTCTCCTTCCCGCAGTTTGGTTCCGCGGGAAAGGAGAGGCACTACAGAGCGGAATAATCTCAATTATAATACCTATATGGGGCCGGCTCAAGAACGACTGTCAACATTGATACTCTTTGTTCCTGACGGACTTGTTCTCGGATTAGACGTACTAGCTGCAAAAATGTTATCCTTCCAAACCTTAGACCAATAAACCTGAGCATCTGTAGGAGTTCTAGCAATATTCGTCATATTTCATCTACATTACTTATCGGATTAGACAATCTTACTGTTCGGATTGACATCATTACTACCTTAAGAAGTAGATTAAACTCAATCTTTACTTTTCGGAGGGAAGTTGAAGTTAAGAACCGGCTTATGTCGATCAATCAGTGGCCTTAAGGGGTGGAATCTGTCTAGCCAGGGTGAAGGTACCCCAATGAAGCGAGCCGTTTGTCCCGAGCTCCCGCTTTCTCGGTATCGCTGGATTCACTTGAAACTCTGTCACCACAGAATCGAAGTTCTCATTATGCTCCCCAAAACGCATAAACGAGTACTGGTACACCTTTCCAGACTCATCTGAACATTTCATTGAAGAGGTGAACTCATACATTTTCTTTCCAGACTCAACTGATTCAACACGAGCACGAGGGTTTTGGTTTCATTGAATCATGTTTGAAGATAGAGATAATTTTTAGTACTTACACTACATTAGAACGGACTTTAGTACTTACTACATTAGAACGGACTCCATCGAGATCGAATAAGTAGACTCGTACTGATATCAACATCGCCAACTCAGAAGCATCGATGTGGATGTATTCTGATAACAAGCAAGTACTATGAAAAATTCTAAACAAATTTTTGGATCAATATCGAGATGAAGATCAAAATCGCTAACTCAGATCGATGTAGAGAGAATAGTACTGATCTCATCAGGTGGCAGCGTTCCGTGGAAGGCTGGCTCATACTCTGGATATATGCACGTGGCTTTTTTTTTGATATTCCCAGAGGGCCCGCCGCCTTTCGTGTGCTCTCGCAGATCAGTTTAGAGTAAGATAATTCAATATTTTCAACCTCCAAAGTACTATTGAATGAAACTACCACAAACTCTGGCAAAAGATAGAATGTCCCCAGTTACTAGGAATGGTAAATTAAAGGAAAAGACCAGGTAAAATAACGGTGTAAGTACGATGTTTCCGATCCTTGTAAGTATTTAGCTGCCGGTACTACTTGCAGAATAAAACGCGGCTTACCTTCACATTTATTCACTTACCAAGCCTTAATGGAAAGACACCAATTGTCCTGATTCGACGGTTCCACCACATCGTTCTAAAAGCAGAAAAAATTCTTCCCAGTGCATGATCGCATCCTCTCGTTCCACTTGCTGGAGGACATGAATTATGTGGAGAATATTGGTTTTAGATCACGTCTTGTTCTTCTTCTTGTTCGACTAAGCTCTTCTTTCTGCTTATTATGTAGATCCTCTTGTTCTTGTCCTCATTCGACTACTACTCAACGTGGTGTGGTGCTAGATGAGAAGCTGCCGCGTATAGATTTAAGTGTATAAATAAGTACCTGCTCCTCTGGTCCACCACGGGGTATGATTGTCACAAACCCAAACTTCTGATGCTGTTTTGCCCGTTTGTCGCCTAGAGATCCGAGATATTGGCGTAGCCGTCCAAGATAACGCTCATCTTCTGCACCGCCGCCTCCTCCCTTTCCATCTCCACCTCGGCCGCGTCCCCCACGAGTCATTTTTATTGTTGTTGGAACACTAACAAGAACTACTCCTTATTCGTTGTGTTGTTCCGAATCCGACTTATTATTTGGTATGATGACGATGATTGTACCTATACTAGAGGTGGTTGTAGTTTTTAAGGAGTCTATCCTGTGTATTTTCAACAAGAAGAAGAAGCAACGCCGTCTGTTAATCCGGTTCGACTGTTCCGTGAATCACTAAATAGGACCTTTGGTTAGGTTGATTTGAGGTCCGCCTTTCAACAACAAATAAATTATCGTCACTTCTTGTTATCAAGTTCAAGGTCAGGGGCCTCGATCAATGATAAAAGGGCATCTTTTTCTTTTTCCATAGGTTTTTTTTTTTTTCATAGGACTACATGCTGCCTCCCATTCAACTACATAAATAACCCCATTTACAAACTTACATACCGGGGGAGCAAGAAAACCGTATCACAACGGCCAAAACCTACAACTATCGGAGAGGACTATATTGCAATAGCCTCTGAAGAACAACTAAGGCACAACCTAACAGTAACGATGTAGGGCCCTGAAAGCAAGTGCAACAACCTGCAAGGGTATGACATGCCTGCTAATCGAAAAATGATCTATTTATCTATTATATATACCAGCTTCCAAGAAGGACATGTTGTTGTACTAGGATTCATCTTATGATGCTGGAAGTTTTGTTGAATGGGATTAAGTACTAGTTAGTAGTTGCTGGGATGATAATTTGTGGTGGAGCAGACCTAACTAGAAAAAACAAACACCAAGAAAAGTTAGAAAAAGAAAAGGCTACCTATCAAGAAGGATATTGCTATCTAAAAAAACTAACTGAGCGCCGGCGCTTTCTTAGTCGTGTCAGCCCCGTAGTTGCTGGGAAGATGGTAATGAAGATATTACATCAGCATCTATTACAACAGTAATAGAGGTAGCCTTCTATCAAAAGAAAGAACCTGTAAAGCGTGTTGCTGCGGAGAAATCGGAAGAAATTGGAACTGATAATGTTGATAGCGACGATGACAGAATGGATGACAAACCCAGATGAACGAAACCCAGATGAACGAACACGAAGGAACCTACTTAGGACCACGATTGTATAAAAATATTAGCTACCATGTAGAATGGAACGTGAAACCTGGTGAGAGAGAGTACTTAAGAGGCATGCGCTCTTCTGATTATGGTGCATTTCTTTGCTTTTCTCAACATTATGGCGAATTCATTCTTCTCATCACAATCGCAAGACGTTCTCGCATTGAGTTTCTTGATACTTCCTCAACGTCAACCAGCAGCAGCAAGTATGAAAAGGAGTGTCGTAGTTCCTTGTTCTCTCACATCATCCGCACAAGCTCTTGGCAATACCGGCTTAGAAGGAATTTTGAGTTTCAACACTGCTCAAGGTCGATAGATCCTTTGTCGTAGAGGTCTGTGGCTCTCTGAAACAAGTTCCGCCAACATCATCCGATCATCATCATCATTAAATCATCATCATCATTATCATTAAATCATCATCATACGACGTCTCTGGTGGTCATTCATCTCCACCACCATCAGTAGATTTTTTATGCTTTCTGCTGATTCTCAGAACTTGGCAAAAAGTTGCTTATACATGATATTCGTTGTTGCTTCCGTGCACTACATTATGATCAGTTGTGACTGCTAAAGATAAGAGGATCCGCACAGCCAGACAGAGCAAAAAAAAACGGAGAAAGGTGCTGGCTGCAACCGGAAAGCAAGAGAGAAGGTTCGTGCTTTTCATCCCATTGAAATTTCAATTTCATTTTCGGCAGCTTCACAACTGTCCGTCGTCTCGTCTTTCCCTTTACGAAGATGTTAGACCGCCAACAGTTCTAGCAAAGTAGGGATTTCTTCGCGTCATTATGTCGCTGGCAAGCATCCCACGAACCGTCACGTTCTGCACAAAGACGAGAAGAAAAAACGAGGCACAGACTGCGGCATTCAAGTACGAGAATAGATGCGGATACCGTTTAGGAAGAAGTTGTCGAGCCAAGGTAGATAAGGAGGAAGTTGCGCTCGTCCCCTGGTCATGCGCTGCTGACTTTAGAAAAGCACCTTACGTCTGAAAATCAAATGTCGCGTTTCTGTTCATGTTCTTCTCTAGAAGCATTGACAGAGGGAAGCACCACGTAAGAGTATCGAGATTATTTTTCCAATAAATATCTAGATAGAAGTGTTCTTAGAAACAAGTACAAGAAAAGCCGTGGGCATAAATTTGTATCAACAGCAACAACGACGTGCAGCGCGGAAACTAGTAGTGCCACTGGAAAAATCATGCCCAGTAGTAGAAGACGCCAAACGTTCATGATTTTTGATGACGTCGATTTGGGACTTGATGTCTGCCGTGATGGGGAGCCACCTTGCTCACCTTGCTCGGTCTCTACTTCTACGTTGTTGTAATTGACGTCTTTGCGCGCTCTTGCCTGGATCAACAGACGACGCTTGAGTGCCACAAACTCGGTGTCAGCCATGCTGTAGAGGAGAATCAGTGCAACACATGCTGCGCCCAGATGCACGTGCGCAGTCACGTTCTTATCCTTGACGGATAAATTAGAGTTCACCCCAGCCCAGCCCGAAGACCATCTTGTGACGTTTCTCCCCTTGAAAACGTTCCCGAGATGCTTCCAAAGATGGATTTGGGGAAGCCTTAACTAAAGGAAGTAAACTCACGTGCGCAACGGCTAGAAAACCAAGGTTCCTCCAAAGAAGCAGCCTTGAACTCCCGTTATCCATCAATTGCTGCATGGCAGTAACTAGCTTCTCGCCAAGCAGAAACTCAGCAAGACGTTGACACTTGTTGCCGTTTTTATGCACCATGTTGAGTTGCAAGTTACTATTTTTCGTAATAAGAGAAATATGCTGCATAGACGTTGTACTAGCTGGATCGGTGTTATAAAATTTTGCCGCACTGTTCTTGTTCAGAGGTGATGTTGGCATAGACGTTGATGAGTGCGGCGCGCCGTGCACGTGATCGCTGCACTGTGCTATTAAGAGCGGCAGTTGCAGGAGCACGGGCAGCAATGGCAGCAGGATGGCCTTTTCGTGAACTTGCCAAGAAAAGAGAAAAAAGCTAAGACTGCTCCCCAGCAACGCCTTCAGAAATTCGCGGTGCGTCGGTCGCTTGAAAGCTCCCGCACTGCTGCAGAAAGCACCTCCAAGTGTCAGTGCCATCGCGCACAGAAAAACCACCTGCCCTTTGGACATCAGCATCATTCTCATCGCAAGTTTCCCTGTCACCTCTCCACCCCGCAAAAAGAGCGCGATCCCTATGCTGCCAGTGAGGAACGTGAAGGCCAGGAAGTAGTCGACGGCGCTAATCCACGCTGTTGCTAACAACGCGGGCCCTTTGTACGCGAAGCTTTTTCCGACAGCAGTGTATTCGAGTAAGGACTCGCTTACTGTGTACGAAGATTTACCTCCCCCGAACCAACCGGACGAGCTTCCGCCACGACCTCCAGCAAGATAAATTCGGTCCGAGGTGGCCTCTAATTCGTCTCTCCAGGCCTTAAACGCGTCTCCTGGTCGCATCGAGTCCAGTGTGGCGCGCAACTGCGCTTGCCGTTGCAGCTCCCGCGCCGCCGTCTCCGCAGAGGGAGTGAACATTTCGCCCAGCAAGCTGCCAGCACCAGCCTCGTTTGAAGATGAGGAAGAGGAAGCGTAAATAGAGCTCTCGTCTCGCGTCACGTCTCGAAGCTTGAGCACTGGAGACACGAGAACCCAGAAATTCGAGACGAAGTCCTCGAAGAGACCACGGCCAAAGGGAAAAACGCGGCTCTTCACCTGCAAAAGCTGTCGACGAAAGGGAAACATGATCGCCGCGAAGGTCACAATAACAACAACCCCTAGCAAAGCTACGCGAAGAAAAAACTTCTTGAACGAGTTCATCGCCCGTCCTCCTTGCGTCTTCCCTTGCGCGCTTTTGTTGTGTTCGCCAAGAAGACGACTATGGACAGGACGAGCAGGGACTAGTACGTCTAGTAGCATGAAAGTCGTAGAACTATGAGCCACAACATCTTCATGTGTTTGAGGAGGTTGTTTACTCGTCATCTTTAGTGACGAAGCTCCCCACTGCGACACTTTGACCGCTGAGAAGTCTCTTGCTTTTGCTAATCTTGTTAGAGCTCACAATAATTCACCCTGAAAAGCATCTTCGGCGCTTTTTCCCCTTAGAAAAGGAGCCAAAAATGCTTCTCCAGCTGAATTACAGTAAGCCTTACTCTTGGTGCAGAAGGAGGACGATCTGGACGCAGAGAAGGAGGACTACTCTTTTTTGCTTCGACTTCTCTTTTTTGCTTCGTAGCCTTTCCCTTATTGTTCTTATCCCCCCTCGTATTTTCATTTACAATATTAACCTCTGGTACATCTAGTTGTTCTTTCTCAGCACTGGGAGTACAACTCGAGGAAGCTCGTCCACCAGATAATCCACCATTGGGGTGTTGCGGGGTTCCGTGACGGCTCGACGACGTTGTCGTTGTCGTTTGCTTACTTCTTTCTCTATTTTCTTGTTCGTGAAAAGTAGATCTACTGAGGAACGCTTCCCTAGATTGCCGTGGCGTTGTATTGTCGAGTCCTGCGCTTGAGGATGATTGTCCTCGTTTCGGAGAAACGCTTGGTTGACTTCGACGCGGTGTCTTGTTAGTGGTAGTCGTTCCCCGAGGTGTCTTGGAACTAGAGTCGCTTTCCATCTTCCTTGCTAACATCTTCAAGTTCGATGGAAACGGGATCGAGAGCTGCTGCGCACGAGTAGGAGAATTAGCACCGAGAAAAGCTCCTCCTGAAATTGTTGTTGGCCCCCTAGGCGTAAAACCTCCTGAAGTCTGTCCTGCTCCTGACGTCTTTTTGTAGTTTGGCATCATAGAGCTGTCATCTACTTCGTCATTCGCATTCATCGTATCGTTATTTGCATTGTTTTGATTGGAGAAGTCGTGCTCCATTGGTGCTCCTCCTGCAACAGTTTCACGTCCTGCATCCACCTGCGGTTCATTAACTGAAGAAGATGCATTTTTCTCTGATGTCAATGTGGGAGTCATCTTTTTAGAAGGTGTACGTGTTGAAGTTTTAGTTCTTCCAACCACGACCGGACTAGTAGCCGCGCTCGTCTGCTCTCTTAGTAGAGTTCAAAACAATTCACTTCTTCCCGTCAATTCGTCAGAATCCTAAAACGGAAATAAGGATAAGGGGCCTTGTAGAAATGAATTATTTTGAGCCTTAACTCTCCTTTCAAAATCGAGACCAGCTCCTTGGCTGTAAATTGCTTCTCGGTGCACTCTTCCGGCCATACGGCTTCTCCCAGGAGGAAAAGGAAAAACGCTGGCGCGTAGTACAGCGTGGTCTGCTTGTACAGCAGCGCGCCAACGTACAATGCCGAAGCTGCGTATCGCCTACGGTAGTACAAGGCGTTGGTCGCCCACAATACGAGACCCAGAGCAATCGTATTAAACTGGAAGTGTCCGTGGTCGATGAAAATAATTGACGGCGAGCACACGAGTGTGGCGAATGCGAGCAGCCGCAGGCGAGAGGAGCTAATCCCTTCATCGCGGAGAACCCGCTCACAGTAAAAGAATGCGGCGGACACGTAGAGGAAGAGGTCCCACAGTAAAACCGTGAGCCGCATGAAATATTTGCATGCCTCGTTCCCTCGGGACGCTTGTAGAGCAAAGAAATCAGTCGAGGCTGGCCCTGTGGACGAGCCTTGTTCTCCGCGGCTCCCAGCTTTGGCGCTCACGTAGTGTGCAGTCGAGGAAACGAAGTCGTGGGTGGAAAATGTCATCCCGAAATTAGATCGCAGAAAATAGTACACTTTTCCGATGAAGAGACTGTGATACGCCGTCAAAGGAGGATAATCGAGCCCCCAATACGACAGCTCATTCTGTCTGGTCTCTCCCATGTACCAGTCTTAGACCTTGTCTAAAAAAGTCATCTGAAAGAGCATCCTGGAACTACCTTGTTCCACACTTCAAAACGGAGGATCCAGGATGCTTTTGAAGATGGATTTGGGGAACACTTAACAGTCCAAAAGCGGAACGTGATTTGTTATTTCAACCCAATGGCGCTGTGCCTCGAAGTCCCCAAACATCGGAGCTTGTCCCTGGCCGCTGTGTGCATGCCGTCCCGTCTCTAGTCTGAGGAAAATTCCGATCAGCAGAATGATCGCATGCCACCTCGTGAACCTCGACAACAACGTTGTACAACTAGTAGTGCTAGTAGTAGTGCTAGAACAACTAGTCGACTTGCTAGTATCCTGCTCATCGTCATCACCCACTAGCCAGAAAAGCGCTGTCGTTCGCACTAGTCCCTCACTGCGCAGTTGTGCCGCAGCTCTCTCCTGTACCGACTTTTCCCTGTCCCGCGCCGCAAGCATTGACAAAGCAGCCAACTTCGTATCCAGCACATTCGCACTGCCGAGGCTTCGACCAAACGCCATGCTCTTCGGACTCACACCAGGAGCACCAGTTGTACTACTTAGGCTGTTCGTAGTTGAAGCTGCTGAGGGCGTAGCGTTTAATCCAGTACTGCCAGGACCCAGGAAGGAAGACGAAGATGTTGAAGACAGAGGTCTGCCCAACAGGCTCCCTAGTCCTCCTCCTCGTGCTTCTCGCACCGCTGCAAGAAGAGACGAATCATTTTTGTACATTTCGGTCTGAACAGAGGTGCGCGTACTCCCAGCAAGTTCGCGCAGCCCACTAAGTCGCCCACTACTGAGCCTTCCCGTTCCCACAGCACCTGTACTAGAAGGCGAAAGTTCTTCGAACGTCATGGACATCCTAGTAGCCCCACCGCTGCCACTGGTCGTCCGCAGCCTCCTGGACGGTGATCCAATAAAGCGAGAACCTCGCTCAGGAGACTCTCCGTTGGTCTTCGGAACCGAGACTCTGCGCGGTGATATAGGCGAGTGGGCGCTCCGAAATGCGGGTGCCAAAGAGTGCTCGTGCTCGCGAGACGCAACATTGGTCTCTGGGGACAAGAGTCCACCCGTACCGTGACCATCCTGGTCTAGCAATGGAAACTGCTTCTGGAAATAAATCCCCGCCTCTTTGCTACAAGCTAGAAGCTCCGTGTGTGCAAGATCAAGGGCAGCCTCCAAGGCCTCTTGCAGTCGTTTTTTAGGATCGCACACGCCCATGAGGCGCAAGAAGGCAGGAGAAAACAAAGGACTAGCCGCATGCACAACTTCGCGTCGGCGCACAGAGATAGCTTCCTGGAAATGCGCATCATGAAGATAATCTCCTCCTGCAGTTGATCTTGATTCTTTACCTCCACCAACTCCTTCCGATCTTGCAGTTGAAGATGTTGAAGTTGAAGATGTTGTCGCACCTCCTTCCGTCTCCGACGCTGAATGAAAGTCATGCTCTACCTCCACTGTGTCTCCTACTCCTCCATAGTCGAGCACTGTGCTCTTGTATCCCTCCACCTCGTATTCGAGTACGATAGAGCCTAACTTCTCATGGTAGACGGTCACCAGAGAGGTGATGCGCCGCAACAGCCCGTGAGGCCGCACACTTCGTATTTCCTCGTAGTCAGCACTAGTGAGATCTGGAAACTGCACGATCAGCTCCCCACGTTGCCATCCGCGGGTTTCCTGTGCAATCACGCGGTCCATTATACGCAAAAAGTCCGGAAACCTCGCGTATGCTGAAACAGCGCAAACCTCGTGAAGTATCCAAAACTTCGGAGTGTCTTCAGAGCTATCTAGTCACCGAGTTATTCAGAAGCAGCCCCATCTCCCCACATCGACTCGACAACTACTCAGAAGAGAAAAAATAGATATTTCTCCCTAGTAGTGGATAAAGCAGTAGCAGATCACAAACCATGGATCAAAATTTTTTCCGCCGGACATTCTTGGAAAATTGTCTCGAGCTGTCCGTTATTGATGCACTCCCCTTTTCCTCTCCTCTCTGCGGCAACGCCACGAGCCACCTCTTTCACCAGAATGAAGTAAGGTTGTGAACCCTAGATAGTCAAAAAACAATTGACATGAAATTTCCACTGACAGACTTTCATGGCAATTACCCGACTGATCTTACTTTAACTAAGTAGGTACCACTAAGAAAATGCAGAGCCAACAACGCCATAAGACTCAAACACCAAGGTGGAGACTGCTGATACCAGAAGAACTAGCTTTACCTACTCCGTTGAAAAAGATCGCGTCTCCATAGTTCCGCAAACCGGATCCGAACACAACATTTCAGAGAATCCTTCTTGCAATCATGATGCCCATGCAAGAAGCATCATTCATGTGGCTCACTTCTGGACATGACGATCATCTAATATTCCCTCAATAGACTAGTGCAGGAGCCTTCAAAAAAAGTACGAATATCTTGTGTTCAGTCGTCGAAGAGGATTCAGTGCATTTCTTTCATATGCCCACAACCACATCTAAAAACGGTTCATTAAATAATAGCGGTCCAACCATTTTCACATTTTCTCGATTGCTTCCGTAAGCAGTATGTTGGCTCCACAGCGGTCAGTCCTATTTACCTAGAGGACTTACCTTGCCCTATTTCTCGGAACCAACTGTGCCTACATAGGTCGCGCGCAAGTTTCGCCAAGACCACTGTCTCTCATGTTCATGCTTCACAGCACGATCACATATTACACTAACAATCTCATAGGCCTTAGAATTCAAGAAACTAACAAATAAATTTGAATTTCATTATTGCCCATGTGAAGTACTTTCACTTCATGTTCATGAAGGTCGATATCATAAACTGTTTGACAGAATCGATTTGAACCTCCTATGTCACATGATGTGCACTCAATCTCGACTGCGGCTTGGCCTGCAGTACCTGTACCCTAAAGGACATTCGGTTTCGGATCGACTGTCCATCATGATCATATCTATCCACCTACTTTCATCAAAACGTCATTCGCATTTTTCTTTCGGCCGCGCAGCGCCTGTTGTCCTCCTCTACGTGCTTATCCCACAGCTTGCGCTGGTAGTTGCTGTGGTTGAACGATTTTTCGAGGACTTGATTGCGGCACCACGGGTCGCGACGTTCGCGCTCCATTTTCATGGCCCTACTGCGCTCCATACGGGCGACCACTTCGTTCCACGCGCCGCACTCTATCGGCACTCTACTGTATCGCGGACGCCGGTGGGCAGTCGTGGTTCCTTTAGCGTTGCTTAGCGTAGTTAATGGTTCGTCTACAGACATATTAGAGGTCAGTATATTGTCCTGCGCAGATGTTGACGTGGCTGCCCTTTTTTGTTGAACGAGGCCTGCGGCCTTGTCAGTGTCAAATAAGGCCCAAGGCGGTTGTACCAACGAGGTTGTTCCTTTTGCAGCATTTGCTTTTGTTGAAGAAGAGTGTTCATCTTCTATTTGTACGCTGTTCGCCTTTCGCGCTGCCGCTGTACCTGTTACCGTTAGTCCAGTGTTTGATGAAGCTTGCTGACCTTCGCCGTCCTTGAAAAGCCCAAGAATGACGTCCTCTTCATTTCGTCGATTTAAGCGATCCTCCACTTCATACAGACGCTGAGCCACTTCGGTTTTCATAGTGCGCCGCAACATCGGATTCGATCCGTACTTGTCTCCAAAGCGCGACTTGCTGCACGGTCTTGGATCCCTTGCGAACATCGTGCGATCGTGATAACGGGCTCTAGCCTCGTTGATCTTGTCCATGCGAAACGGGAATTGCTTGTAATCTTTGCCTTTCAAGACGCCAGCATAGGACAAATGCGCGTCTTCCGCGCTTTTTTCATACCGAGGCACAGGACCGGCACGCAACTGGCACTTCTGGAGGTCGGTGAAATTCATATGAATTATACTGTCCATGCCAGCCTCAGCTTCTTCAACAATGGACTGCTTGTCCGTATTTTCATTCTCGGGCTCCATTTTCGCCTTTATTTCTTCGCGCATCTTTTCCGCGAACAATTTTGCGTGGCCAACCAATCCACCACCAGAATTTCGCTTAGGCTGTTGTACGAAACCGCCGGAAAAGGTGCGACGCTGCCACTGAAATTGCATCTCACTTTGCGCCATTCCATCCTTCACGCGCGCGATCAGCCCGTCCTCTGCCTCATGGGGCATGACAATCGCGTCGGTGCCTACTTTCTGGTGTCGCCCATGATACTGGCCCATCGCTTGGCTGGAAAAGATCGTCCTCGCACGCATGTCAGCAGATGTGCTACGCATCATAGAAGCGGAACCGAAAGACGACTTACCCGTCTCCTCAGCTATATCCTGCATCCTCTTTCTGCTCGCTGGGGATAAAGGAGAACGCTCGAAAATGAGATTCACACCAACCCCGCGCGTTCGCGCGTCAAAATGAGCGTCCAAATTCTTCAACATCTTCTGGATTAAAGTCCAACCGAAAGAGGACAGTGTAAAAGGTGTACACGAAAAAGCTTGCAGTTGTAAGTACTTATGAAAGGAGAAAATGGAAAATTTTGATTTTGGTTTTGGTAGTCTTCAGGTTCAGATATTTTCGATATTAAATGAAAAAGGATACAAATAATTGTTGGTGGGTTCTTGCACAAAGAAAGCCATGGGGATTTCAATCACGGGGGAAACGGGAAGATGAGCAATGTTGTGTTTCATCTCTGTAATCTCAAAAGGAGAAACTTCTAAAGGTTCCGCTTCATGTCACACGTCTAAATGCTCATTTATATTCTATGTCACACGTTTCTCAAACTGGTGCTCAACATGGCAGACCCTCTTTTTCTCTTGTTTTGACAGATGAAGATTTTCTCCGACGTTTGAGACAGAATGCAACTGTTCACAAATTGACGCTCCAGACAGAATGCAAGTCTACTTGCTCTTCACCTCTACCTTACTACACTTTCGTGACTTCTCACATACTTTCATACCTGCCTCAAGTGCACGCTGTACAAATCTAGTGCACACAAGCACAACGAGTCAGATCTCTTTTTCGCTCTCTCTCAAAAAATACTGTAAGAAGAAAAGGTTGAAGTTCTTCCTTTCGCTCTATTCGGTTTCTTCGACCAAGAATATAACGTTGTCATACTATGCATAGTGCTGTACGTACAGCCACGCTGTGGTTTTTCACCTTCCGCAAAAGTGCCGTTGTCAAGAGGTGAACGTGGTAAAACGTGGGCGCGCAACAAAGCGCGGAAAGATTCTTTGTGGTTCTAATTTAAGTGGGAAGATTGTCAGAGGTGCTCGTGGGGTTCCCACATCCCGGAGTCGGGAGAGGACAAATTATCGGAAAATCAATTTTCGAGGCAAACAGTCTTGCTCTTACGTTAACAAGAAAGATGATCATATAATTCTATCCAATTCTTGTCAGCAATCAGTACTTTAGAAGCACGATGTAGTACTTAGTACAACGCGGCGACTGCAAGAACTCCTATACTTCTACAAACACCTTGTTTGTTAAACCTCTTCTTCTTCAAGCAGCTCAAACCCTTCTTCTACTGTGATGTAGTACTAGGAGAAATTGCCGCCCATCGGCATCGGCATACCAGGCATGACACCTGGTGCGGTTCCATCCGAAATAGCCATTGGCGGTGGAATCTGTCCCACAACGCCAGGAACGCCCACTGAGGTTGTTGTTTAGGAGGGATTTGTGGAGACAGTGGGAGATGAGATTGTTCCTTAGTTCTTTAGTTTTTTGTGGAGACAGAGACGGTGGGAGAGTGTTGAGCATGTCAGCGGGAACGGAAAGTGAAGATAGAGAACGTATTTGTGTCAACTTGTAACTAGGTATCAAGAAATTTTTTTTCCTTCATCACGACAACTTGGGAGTCATGATCTTCTTACAAGAAGGTGTAGGTAATCATTATTACTTTGCACGGCTCTTTGTCCCCTGATGCAGACTTGGATGATTTTTGTTTGTTCGTTTTCGTCCGCCACAGGGAAGCCGTTCATGGTCAACTGCGCTAATTTGGCTTCCTCTGCACTAGTGAAGGTGACGAATGCGTACCCGCGGTTTACACTAGGGTCATTGATACTAGCTGGTGCGTCGCAAGAGAGGATAGTCCCAAACTGCTGGAAGTGCTGTCGGAGCTCCGTCTGGCCCCAGGTTAGGGGACAATTTTGAATGTAAATACACGAAGGGTCGTTGGTGCCATGCGCGCGCGTCTTGCCACTGCTATCGCGAGAAGCGCGAACCTGTTGATGTAAAAGGAAATTGAAATTTTTGGAATGTGTGAAGATTCTCTGTCGATGTAGTCCAGGAGGATGGAAGGAGCGATGCTACAAAACGAAATTCAGAGTGGAGAAGCGTTGTAGTCAGTGTGAATCTAGAGACTAAGACATTATACGATTAGACCAAGAATTCATGTTCCTCTTCATCTTTTTCTAGATAGAGCAATAAAAATCATCCTGTTTTAATATAGTACCTCGAAATCCGTTGGCTTCTCGTTCGTTCTTTCCTTTGTGAGGACGTGGACCCAATAGGTCCCCTCGCTATGGACATACTCAGCCCATTGACCACGTGTCGCTACTAGTTTTCCGATTTCGGCTTTAGCCCCACTTGGTTTATCAAAGCCGCCCCGGCGACCTCGTGAACGTGATCGTGACCTAGACCTGGGATTTTACGAGAAGGGATGACGGGCACGGGAAGTAGACAAACATCAATTTCTTAAAAAGCCTCCTCACTTAGAGAAAGATTCAAAGCAGGGCGAGGACACCTAAACAAAATTCTTCGCGTTGAAGATTCAAAGCAGGGCGAGGACACCTAAACGAAAATCAACAAGAGATTAACGACCTAAAAAAATCAACAACAACAACAACAACACTATCTAACCACTCTAACTCTGTAAAGAAAAATAAAAAATACCTCCTGCGTCCACGGTCTCGATCCCTACCTCGACTTCTGTCCCGACCGCTTTTCTGCATTTGGGGTTTCTGAGGCATCGCCACTGACATAGCTGTTGCTGTCGGCAAAAAGTTATCTGCTTTTGCGTCGCGCTGTAATCCTAGGTCTCTTTGGTCTAGCAATTCTTCGCTGTCTGGCGCCAAGAAGGGTGCCGATCGCAGCAAAGGATTCCCGTTATTCTGCATCATACTGCCACTATTGCTTGGCATCGCAGGTGGCATACTTCCTACACTGTCTAAATGTTGGACACTCTCATTGGCCGCAACGCGTTCCTTGTGGTCGAGCAAGCCCTGTGTGAGCATTGCCGTGAACTTGTTCACCTCTAGTTCGACACTGGCACCTGCATCTGCTGGAGTCTGCTGCTGTTGGTTCTCGCTGATCAGCTGCGTCGCATTGAACGGGTTAACCGGTGGCGGCGGCTGCTGCTGTGGCGGCATTCCGGGTATCGCCGGTGGCGGCACGACGCCGGGTATCGGCGGCGGAAGGCCTCCGTTAGCGGCCATCATCATCTGCTGTTGTTGCTGTTGTTGCATCATCTGCTGCTGCATCAGCATCTGCTGTTGCTGCTGCTGTTGCATCATCATTTGCTGCTGTTGTTGCATCATCTGCTGCTGCTGCGCGGCATCCATCATGCCTCCAGGACCACCTGGTATTGGAGGAGGCGGACCGCCTCCCATTGCGCCACCGCCACCTCCAAGAGGCAAAAGATTCGGGTTATTGCTGTTATTTCCCTTCCCACTGAAACCGAAACTCGGCGATTTTCCTCCTCCTCCTCCTCGAGGCTTCGACGCCGGACTCGTTCCGTCGCCGCCAGTCATAGCTTTCATCCCTTGCTCTGTTGCTCCAGTTGGCGTTGTATCTTCTCCGACTCCCTCTGGGGCAGCCCCACTGACACCAGTACTATTTGCAATATCGCCTCCAGCGGCTTGACCAGGAACTCCCCCTGGCATTCCAGGAACTCCTCCTGGCATTCCAGGAAGTCCTCCTGGCATTCCACCTCCTGGCATTCCACCTCCAGGCATTCCCATGCCAGGCATCATGCCTCCTGGCATGGGAGGCATCATTCCACAAGGCCCCATCATCCCACCTCCTGGCATTGCTGGATTGAAACCGGGAGGACCTGGCGGCATCATCCCAGGTGGGCCACCCATCATAGGACCCATCGGACCCATCATTGGACCTGTTGTAGTAGTAAGAAAGTAGTTCATCTTCAACATGCAAGTAGTTATATAGTACTAATGTTAGTGAACGAAGTAGATAACTATCGTCTCTAGGAAAAGTAGATATTTTTCAAAACAACTGAAGAAGTATTAGAAATATCATTCTACTGGTAAATAATCGAGTCGAAAATAGCAGCAGCAGGATCAATTGAACAGAAATTCCAAACCATCTTCAGTATAAATCGTACCTGGTGGTCCCATTCCGAAGTTCTTGCCGCCTTTCATGCCGAAGCCTTTATCGAACCCCTTTCCTTTCCCTCTGTCATCGAACATGCCTTTGCCCTTGTCCATGCCTTTGCCGCCTCCTAGCATCGGGACATCCTCTCCCTCTCCTGGAGCCGGGAAACGCAGATCTCGTACCTGTTGTATTGCTCTCGAAGTGAAAAAACCTTCTTTGGAAAACTGAAAGTAGAGTTTTCTTTTTTGTCTGGGAACTATCAAATTAGAAAATCAACACGAACCCAGTGGCACGTACTAGTAGGACAAAATAGAAATTATACCTGTGGTTTTCCCTGCTTATTTACGTGCACTTCAAAGTTGAGAAGTGTGTTTTGGAAAAGTCCCCTTGTTGGGTCAATGCCTTCGAGGCGGCCTAATTCGGAGACGTGGAGGAAAACGTCGCTTTTGAATTCCTCCTCTATTTCGGGTGACCACAAAAAACCGTATCCCTTATCTGGCATGTAGTTTTTCACCCGCGCGAGATACCGCTTACCGTTGGTGATGTTGGCTTCTTGTGCTCGCTCCACTTCGCCCATACTGCTGCCAGCACGATGCACCTGGATCATTTGCCCACTGGGGCCGACCACGCTAATCATGTCCGGACCGCTGTTTTGCTGCATACTGCTTGGCGGGATCAATCCCATCATACCAGCACCGGAAAGGGTAGGATTCATCAGCTTCTTTTCTCCACCACTTGGTGAGTCACCCTTGTTCGCCGTGTCATCGCCAGATGATGCGCCACCAGCTGCTACTCCGTCAGCAGGGTTATTGTTCGCAGCGGCCGCATTAGCACCTGCCATCATGTTGCCCATCTGCATCATCATAGCAGCCATTTGAGGGTTCATGCTGGCCATCATGGCAGCCATAGGATTCATACCCATCATTTGCTGTTGCATCATCATTGCCATCATTTGTTGCTGCATAGCCATCATGTCCATGCCGCCAGCCGACTGCTCACCGGCTTGCGCCGGAACGTTGTTGTCGCCTGCAGCCGGCGCGTCCGCAACATTGCCCTGTAGTCATTAGATTTTGTTTTTTATGTTATTAAGGTGGTTTGTGATGTGAGGTGGGGGAGGAAGATTCTTGTTCGTAGTAGCACCTCGTTCAGTTCAGAAAATCTAAATATATTTTAATCAAAAAGTACCTGAGCTGGCTCCATCTTGTTCTTGTCGCTTATTTATTGTTCGCTTTAAATCGTATCGCGTTCTTGTCGCACGCAAGTAGCCAAAACTGTTGTTTGTGTGCGCAGTTCACGAGAGCGGAGATAGCATGGATTTGTTTTCATCTACAATGACCTACAGCATGAAGGATCGTAGAATGAAAGGATCGATAAACTAAGTTTTTCTAAATTCATCGTATGACATCGGTAAGTAATACTCCTACACCGGTGAAGAGCCGCAATGATGGACGTAGTTCTCTTTCCGGGCACCTTTTTGTATGTGATTCAAGTACATTAGGACAATAGAAATGCAAGCATTCACTCATCCATCACTACGCATTACGACAAGCATCATTCGTTCTAGGGAGCATCAGTAAAACCATAAGAAAGCAGTGTAAGTATTACAAACAGCATCTATAAGCAGAAGATTCACTGAAAATTTTTGGTAAGATGAAATTTAAACAATGGCATCAAGCACATCAAATAGAAGCATCAATGTCATAAGAATTCATTGTTTTTATTGAAATCTAGTATTTGTATGAACTCACGACCTCCTCGTTCAAGTTCACGCGTCGACGGGATTTGCAGCACCTTTTCACCTTTGAGATTTCAGTTTTTCAAACGAGCAGTATATCACACACTTACTCAATCAAAAAACAGTGGCTCATTGGTTGTCGTTCAGTTGGTAAAAAAAGTGACGCTGGGGATGAAAAAGAGTAAAAATAAACGAAAGTTTGTATGACCTTGTATGATCGCGCATTTTTGATCTACTCGCAGAGAACAGTTTACAATAGGATCGCGTTCTTCTGTCGCATTTTTCTGATGACCTGAGAAAATTCACCATTGAGGCGGTTGGACCAAGCTTTGCACTTATGTTTTTAGACATTACGATTACGGTATTATCATTATGGAACTGCAACAGGCACAACAATAAATTTCTTGTATCGCTTTCGATCAAACTAGTATTGAATACAACTAGGGTTTATTCGGCGATCAACAAAATGAGCAAGCAATCATATATTTATACGACACTGCAGAAGTCTATGCATGTAAGATTGCCTGGGGCTCTCCCGTAACGACAACGAAAACCTTGAAGCGTTCCTGTTGTAGAGTTTCAATCTGTAATTATCATAGGAGTAGAAAATGAGGACTGATACTAATATGTGATCGTGTGCTTCAACCATTGAAGTGCATTGTTGGTAGCTGGAATCACCAGGGCACGAACGCCTTTCTGTATAGAAAGAAAAGAGATGGCGGCATATTTTCTTGCAGAACTTTATCACTTAGTCCCTCATTTATGTGCTCTGCATCCGCATGCTCCGCCTCAGCACCTGTAGTATCCGCTACGGGTCCTCGTCTTACACATGCTCGGTTTTGATGAATTCGGAACACAATTGCCGTAGTACTACGCGCCACATCTCCGATCAGAAAGATACAGATACGATGGTGAACACGATGTTGATGATTGGTTACCTCCTAATGGTAGATAATACGACGACAGGGATAACAATATTAGTTCTGTACCTGCTCCGCAGTAACACATTCATAGAGATGTTCATCAATGTCAATCTTATGATAGTCTTTAATTGGCAACACCCTTGTTTAATTTTAGTCCGTTCACATTCACGTACGACCACTCAAAGATGAATTTTAGTGTTTTTGCTGACAAAGCTATGCTGCGGTACAGCCGACACACTATTCCTTACAATGAATATTTTGAATACTCATTGTGTGGATGGTACTTTACGTAGTTAGTTTTCACTCCACATTTGTACAACCAAGATAGAAAATTCAGGATTCAATATAAAAAAAGCGAAACATTAGCGAAAAGAGAAACTTCACAATTAAGCAGCTCTCAATTCTCAGTAGGGAAGCCAAAACAATTCGAAGTTTAGACACATGACAACTATGAGTACGATCCTTGTGCCTCCACAAATAATTTAGATAATATGGCGATAGAATCCTCAATTCATATGTATACGCTGTGCAATTCGTATTCGTTACCTTTTTGTAGTTGTACTTTTTTCGAATATTATTTCACTTCTTGGAGAGTTCGGTCGAACAAGTGTGTTCGGGTAGTGGTGGTGCGATCCTGCAGTTCCGCGAAGACCTTCTGCTCTTCCTCGACACTCGTCTGCTCGTCCGCCTCCCAATTCTCTTCTGCAATTTGTCTAAGCAGTAGTTTTAGGTAACCCTTTAAGCGACCTAAATCCACCGTGTCTATTCTCTTCAACACTGTGAACAGACTATTACCATCCTTTTGAGGCTGGGATTGAGGTTCTCCTCCCTCTGATAGTTGTACGACATTCTGCATCAATTTCGTCAGCTTCTTGTACGCAGAAAAAGGATCCTCCGCAATGTCCTGATCATCCTCACGAAGTAGTTTTCCAAGTCCGCCCATATCGTCAATAGCTGATCCATAGTTGTCTTTTCCGACTCTATGCGTCCTCACGTAGTTTGTAATTGCCTTAATCAAAGCATTAGCAGTGTCTTGTGTCTCTAGTACTCGGTTTTTCTCCACCATGAGGTATAGCTTTCCTCTAGCCAAGGCGAGCCGCTCCCGCGCCATGCGCATAATCCTGAAGCCCGCATCGTCTTTCGCCTCGCTTGAGTGCTCATCTTCATGGCCTGACTGAGTCGGGAAAATTTCAGCATACATTTTCTCCATCATTGCAACTAGATCTTCCCACGATTTCACTACAGCTGCTTCCAGCCATTGCACTTTGTAGGTGCCAAGTTTTCTTGTAAATTCAGCAATGTCTGCAATTATTGCCACGAATTCGGCTTCATCTTCAAGCTGACACGCAGTTGTCCTCAAATTCTCAAGTCTCTGCTGAATTGCGTGCATGTGTGGAATAGTCTCGCCGATTAGTTTCTCATCTTCGAGGCATTTCTGCTGCCGCTTTTCTAAATGAAACATGAGTCTTTCGAGGTCTTTCGATGTTTTGTCTAGAAGACGAAGAGCGAGACGACGACTCTTTCGCCCAACCGGAGAGTGCAGGTCCGATTCGAACGTAGTTTTCACATGCTCCCAGATCGGTTCGAGAAAAGCCTCCCAATACCTCTGAAGCCGATCTTGCATTTTCTGAAACATCTCGAGGTCTTCTTTCATTTCTTCTTGAACCGCGGAAAACTCTCCCTGCAAACACGCATACTTTTGCTGACACTTGGTCGCTAACGTACGAGGAGTATCTTTTTCTGCATCTCCTCGTCCACCGTTCCGTTCATCTCGTTCTTGTATCTCCTTCTCGACATCAAAAGAAAAACTGACAACTCTATTGTTCACCTCTTTAGGGCTTGGTTCGTCCGGCACAGTAGTAGACGAACGGCTACTCGGCTCCTCATAGCACTGCGTAGACCCAGACCCGAAGCTTCCATTGGAAGGCGGGTCTCCGCCTTGTACACCTCTGATATCGGCGAAGTCGCACTCTCGTGGACGATAAGATTGCAGGGTGACTCCTTTCACCAAGTGAAAACAATACTCCAGTGACATCAAGTGGATCATTGCAGCCCCGAAGAGGGGACTGCTCATCTTCGAGAAAAGCAATGATCTCATCTTGGACAATCTTTGAGGCTTCATCTTGCTGTATTGAAATTTCATACGTGATAATCAATGTGTGACAAAGGAGCACAACTAGGACATAAAAATTGAGTGGGGAAAGAACCCTAAGAAGTGTAAAAAACTCTTGATGTATGGTTTGTGGTTGAGTGATTGTTTTAGATTTACTCTAAAATAGGCGCTGTACGTAGATCAATTAGCGGGAAATGAAGGTTATAAATATATACCACTCAATGATTTGTTTTTTCAACAGATGTTGTTGTATGGTCAAGCTCGAGGGTAAGGATACAATACGATTTACGAAACAAGGAATAAATCAAAGGAAGGTCGTCGACAATACTCTACAAATTTCAAAGTCATTGATGCTTGAGAGTAAATGGCCGAAAATCAGAATCACATTTGAAATTTCATTTAGCGTCAACAGGTGACAGTGACAAATTAATTCCGAAGGTGCAAAAGGTAAACAAACTGAAAGAAAAAAAAATCACGTCAATTAGAACAAGCGCAAACAAATGCTTCGCCAAAAAGCATTCTTCCTGCAGTTTCGTACACAGACACCCAGTGAATTCCTCAAGTACGAAACAATAAAATATCGACAGAAAGAACGCTAAATGAGCTTGTTCTGAGTAATTAGTACATCATACCCGACGCAAATATGTCTCGCTAGATGTGTGCGCGACGAGGTGACAATGGCTTGTTTTGCTTATATGGGATCACTCGAATTGTTGTTCATCAAAAACAGTGATCTATCTACTTGCTTCTTGTAAGCGGTATTCTAAAATTGCTTTTGTTCTGCTTTTTCTGCGAACAAGTAGGAGAACATGTTGTTTGCAATAGGGGCTTGTATTAGAACAAGCCACAAAGCCTGTGTGTGCTCTGTTAGATTTAGGATCGTTGGTGAGCTGATCTTCGTATTTCATGACCATTTTTAATTTCGGTTTCTCATGATCACTCTACAAACCATTCAAACTATGCTCAGATCTGACCGTTGTCCACATTTTCTATACATCTTCGCGCCTGAGTACAACTAAGTGCACTAGGCTAACGTAGTTCATTTTCATAGAGTCAGTGAGTTTTCTACCAACGCAAGAAAACCCTTGTTGAGCTTAAGTTATGTAAGTGGTAGAAAGAATGGGAATGCATTTCTTGTGTAAGTTGTAAAAGTAAATGGTATTAGTTCTGCGAAGACAGCGAGTCCATAGTTCTGCGACAGCCTCAGACCTATGCATAAGTGACTAGAAAATCAAAGAAAAGATTCAGTATCTGGAAAAGATTCAGTTTCAGGTATTCTCAAACATCATAAAAGGGTTTTTGATTATGCCCTATGGCAACATCATGTTGATGACATTTAATTCACTGGACTCATTCTCTGACATCATGATCAGATGCGAAACATGCGAAACGTCAAATCATAAATGGGTTATCTATGCGAAAGCGAAAATCTATAAACCATATAAACCAACGAAGAATCGTTCATTCTTGTGTCTTCTAAGTACATCAATCCGGATGTGGAATCACCTAAGTACCGCTGACAGGTGACAGAGACGATTGGCATCTCACCTCTGCAGCTTCTCAGATTTGTTTTTGTTGGTGCGATGCACAGCGATATGGTCGGTCATAGTTTGCCGCTCAGCTACGATGTTTTCGCCAATCTTGCCTGGCACAAAGCCCGTATAGCCAGGCGCCCTAAGCGCCTTGAATGGCCGCACACAACCATAGCTCTCCTGCATCGTGAACGGCTCTTGACGGCCAGCTGCATCGATCTGGATTGAGGGTAATGAGTTATTAAGGCTGAGGTTCTTCGGAAGTAAGTTGTATGTAGGAATTACAAGCTGATGTCAACAAGAGCATTTTTAGATCAATATCATACAGGAGGTTCTTCACGCCGCATCCATCATGCTATACATCGACGAGCAGCTACTTAGGGGACCTAATAGTCTATTTGGTTACACTTACAGCTACTTATCTTATACTCTAATGCCAGTCGAGTATTCTACCTGTTTGCCGACAAACGGGTCAAGACTCCAGCCTCTTCGCATGTCGTTGTAACTATTGTTGTAAAGCGGAACTTCCTCCTGCGTGTCCGTCTCTACTCTTCCGACTGCAGTTCTCTCTTTTGTGTATAAAAACTTCTGATTTCGATTCTGCTCCATATCGTACGCACCGCGCGGATGCCTGTGGTCGTGATGATTTGGCAAAGGAAACTTCGTAGGCGGAACTAGTGGGACTTCTTAAAAGGAGCGTTGGTTAATTCTTTCGTGAATCAATTTGAATCGACACAACTCAAAAAGAGCAGTGCGAAATCAACACAGCTCTACAAAGTAAGGGCGTCACCAATTGAGTTGAAATTGAAATAATTACAGCCTGCTCTTTCCCTTTGTCACTGCCCATGGGTCGCTCCTTTCGTTCCTATTTCTTCCTCTAAACGTCCTATGAAACGCAGACGTTGCGTTTAAATTTGTCCTAGTCCATGTATTTCCGTGAACATTCTCCGCCTCTCTTCCTGGCACATGTCCGCCATATCTTGTTGTGAAAGATGTTGTACAAATTTCTATGTAATTAAAAAAGATTAAGATACTTAGTTGAATATGCGGCTTTTGTTTCCTTTCTTGCGGTAGTGTAGTCAGAGTTTGATGGTGTTACACAGAACATCAAAAGAAACAAAATCTAAAAGGACGATGAAGAAAAGATCCAAATTGCTTTCAAGGTTTTCTACCCGACTATATTGGTCTTGGCTTTGAGTGTGTTGTCGAGTGGAGGCTCTTCGTAGTAGCTTTCGTATGAATCCGGCACTCGAGACTCCCTATAATCGCCAGCTGCCGCTGCAAATCCCGCTACTCGGTCCTCGTCGCCCCGTTTGTTATCAAGCGTCTTCAAGATCTGGGTGGTGTGGGACGTTTTAGATTTAAAGTCTTTAAGATAAGCTGTAACTAAAGTAGTAGAGCATACTGACATTACGTTGATGTGTACTTAGTCATAACATCAATCCGTTGTCACTGAATGGTGTACTAAGCCCCTCATCTTCCAATGAATGCGATGCTCTAGTACCATATATAAGTAATTCTCCCACCTGCATCAGTAGAATCAAAAATTTCTCATGACGATAATCGGTCCTTTCTCCCACAACATGATAGTGTATTGAATCCCTACTGTTACCTGTTCCCTAGTCGGCTCAGGCACCCTAATGGACAGCAATCCTGCCTGCGCGGCTCTCGCCTGGTCTCGATCATACAACTGCGCACTCTGCGAATGGCCTAACCTCTTTGTCGCATGTTGCGACTCGTACACCACATTCGAGAAAATGTTCTCTGTGGTTTTGCTTTGGAAAAGTGTCTGCAGTTAGTCTAGAGGGAAGTGCATTTTCGAACAGTTGGATCCGGTCGTCGTCAAGCCACCTATATAATAACCAAATTTTGGAGACCACGAAAACTGGTAACGTATTCTCAAGCCTAAAGCAAAAATGTAAAGAAGCAAGTACCTCCTATTGTCTCCGACTTCACTCCCGGAAGGTAGCCGCGATATCCGGGTATTGCTTTGATAGTATGTGTTGGCAAGCGATCACATCGGATTCGCGGCGTTGAGTATGTTCTTCGCATCCTCCCTGAGCTGCGTGCTGAGGGCTGACTAGAGCTCGCAGAGCGTGCACTCTCTGGCACTTCGCGCGCTGACCCCACAACCGCCATGTTCGGGCTCGGCGCCGCGGCCGCTTGGCCCGTGTCCGACATGTTGCCTGATCCTCCAAACTACTTCTCCCCTGAACGAAGGGTGGAGCTAATTACTTCCTACTCGTGAGTTTCGTTTTCAATGACAACAAGCGTTGACGTTTCACGAGGAGACTATTCTTTTTTGATTTCTTACATACTCGGTAGCTAATGCCGTGTTGACGAAGACGTCGACGACGACGATGTTGTCTGTGTTTCGATACTCTCTTTGGATGAAGATGACCACGTGAAGAATGCTTCTAAGACATCCCGCTCTTTCATACTACTGCAGTCCTCGACCAGGTCCCTCCCTCGCTTTTTGAAAGCCGAACTGCTCAACTCCGTTTGTCCAATTATTGAGAGTCCAGATATAGTGCCACATGCCCAATACGACAGGTAGATGCTCTGTGGGACACCACTCACTCTGCCTACAGACTACAACAGTAAGCACGTTGTAGTTCCTCTTTCAATCAAATTTTTCAGCATCACATTGACTTTGTGCATTTTAGGCGTGACTCTTCTAGCTCCCGACAGCATTATCCATGAATTTTGTCAACATAATCATACACTTATCTAATCTTGAGAAAGTCCATGATAAGCGCGAGCAGCTTGCACGAGGAGAGAAAACGAGCCCGTCGCGAAGCATCAGCTACTTAAAACAAATGAAGGACCGAATCAATGATAATTCTTGCTCCTAAAAATGACTGTAGGCGATTGATTTGCGAGAGAAACAGTGCGAGCGAGCAGGCTAGTATCGAGGAGACGAATTACGCTTATTTGATATCCAAATGGGTACTTTTTTCTGATGTTTTTAGCTCGATGAATGAATGACCGACCTCTGACCGCTTGATCGACCTACAACTATCGCAAACGCAGTCGTTAATTTTACCGTCAACTTGAACTTGCAGCGGATCAATCAGCCTGAGCATACTGTCGCAAACGCCGGGCGTCTTCCCGAGATACTTGCTTTTGACTACCACCTCTTCGATCCAGATCCGTAAACTCCAAGCGGCTAGGATCGTTGGCTCTCCGGTTCTCTGCGACATATTCCTCGTACCGGTTGACAAAACCTGTCGTGAGAGAGAGAGAGAGAGGACACAAGTCCAAGTGCGCTTTTCTCTACTACACAACGCTCCCAAAATGAGCAGCCTTAGACACCACAGAAACATGCTAGGTCCTGTGCAAGAACAAAGATGAGCAGTAGACTTATATATAAGTGCCACAGAAAGCTATGATCTTTACGAGAAGAACAAACATCCTAGAAGTACCTATCGGATCTCGCGCAGCCGCTGTATCGATTTCCTTGGCAACGCGACCAAAGTCCATGATAGTGAGCATCTCTCGAGACCATCGGTCATAAAAACCATAGAGCATTGAGTTTTGGAATAACGCGAGACCCTCCAGCACCGTACCGCGTGAACTCAAAAACCTCAGGAGCTTCGACCGCGCACTTCGATAGATATCCGTTACCTGTGTAGCGCGATATTCGTGCAGTGCTGTCGTTGTTGTTGTTCTACAACCCGAGCCCTATTTATATATAATATTTGTCTTTAACGTCTTCACGATTTTCAATCTTAAATGCCTTTTCCTGTTGCGCGACCTGCAAATCAAGCGACCTACAGGTATTCACGTATGCAGCAACAATTGCACAGCATTAGTGCAATAAATTTAATCTATAAATCTTTGTTTTGATGTTGAAGTAGGTACCTTGACTCCTCCAGATGCACCGCGATCTGTGAGATGCGGCGGAAAGAGAATATCGAGACTCAGTTTCGTCAGTTGAATACTGGTGCACATAAAGGGAAACTCCTGTGCGCCATTTTGCGAGAGCAGCCATATTTTTTCCAACAAGGCAGCGTCACGCCACAAGAACCGCACAGCGTGCCATACATTGCACAGCCCTCCAAATCGGTTTAAATCACTGCTAGGATTCGTACCTAAAAGCAGTGGTAGATCAGAAAAGTCTTCCTCCTTCGTTGTTATCCATCAATCAAGTTGAAGGTCGCTCGACGTATGCCTAATCACAACGTATACATCTGCTCGGACTTCCAGACTCAACAAAGGCTAAAATACCTTGAAATCCCAGCACTTCCCACCTCGAGTCAACAAGCAGTGGCGCGGCCGGACTGTGCGTTAGCTTTCGGTATAGTGTTCCCAAGGCACGATGATGCATAGGCTCAGAAGAAGGACTAAAATCGGTTCGAAAGGCCAAAGTCCACAACAGCTTTTTCTCCGCCATCAGATCACCACGCAACGATGACCCAACCTCCAGACAACAAAGCTTGCCCCCTTTCTCCTCCTCTCCCTCAGGGTACGATGAGATATCCTGGTCGTGTAAGGGATACGGAGTAAGTAAGTCAGTTACGATTACGCAGCTACTACTTTGCCACTTACACTTGTAGTTCTTCTAATGAACATGGAGATCGAAAAGAATTCGTTGTAAAAGGGTTGTATCCACCCATCCGTTCTTAATGTCTACGAGTACCAGTTTCATGATGTAGTCTTGGACAAACTCCCTGTGCGACACGAGGCTATTCTCGGTCACTGGCTGTATTCCCATCTTTTTGGGCTTAGGTGCGCGCTCCAGTTCCTCCCAGAGTCTTCGCTCTTCGGCCTCAGCCTCATCCACCCCTTCCACCGCAGGTCTCTCATGTAGATTCCCATTTCCTGCAGCGAGGTCGCTGCTCGGGAAAGACCTTTATTGTATTTTCGAGTCTTGCTTTCGGTGGTGATGGAGGAGGAGGAGCTTCTAGGATGAAAGTCAAAGTTCTTTTCAAGATCGAAAATTGAGAATACTGGAGCGTCTTTGTCAACCTTGAGTCTTAGTGCTTGAGATTGTTGGACAAAAAGGAGCTACAATTAATTTAGGTTTTAGTAGAAATGATCCATATGAATGTACTCGCCTTCCGCTTTCGCCTCTTTATGGCGTCCTCCTTGACGACTCTCTAGTATTTCGCGTTGTAAACGCCGCTCCAGATTTTCCTTCAGATCCGTGTTGCGGTACTGGGACAATAATGAAGAAGCGCCACCACCCATCTTGAACGACCCAGCATTTTTACCCACTGAAGGAGCAGAAGATGTGTTTCCTCCATTTCCATTTGTGGGCGAGCGCGAAGCTGAGGACAAGCCTAGAGAGTCCATATCCATCTCTGTATCTGGTTCTGGTGCTGCTGCTCCTGAAAGAGCTTCTGAGGATTGCGAAACAACAGGATTATCCATCTCGGAATTGTTCTGGACGTCGTCGGCTTCATCTACTCCTTCGCCTAAAGCACCTTTTGCTTTTCGTCTTTTCGTAGATGAAGCAGCCGACTGGTCCTTTGCTCCCTTGTTTGATGTTGCTGCTTTATTCTGTTGCATTTTCTGCCTCATCGCTGCTTCGAATGTGTCCTGCCTAGCCACAAACTTTGTCTTCCCAGCTGGCTTGCTGCTCATGATAAATTCGTTAGCCTTCTTGTTCGCTACGCTCTCGTCGCCGTGGTTCAGCAATCCTCGCACGCCGACGCTGTTGTGGCCAGACACGCCGCGGGTCGTCTGATGTTGACCCGATGTAGGGGGTCGCCGCGATGTAGTTGAGGAGGAACCACCAGCACCGCCATTAGCCAGTACACTCCTACTGGCGAAGTGCGCCTCCAAGTCGAAGTTTAGAGCTCACCCGAGTGGTCCATCTTGAAGTCCATCCTGAGATGACCGTTTCCTCCTTCAAAACGTCTCTAAGATGCTTCCGAAGATGAATAGAGATGCTGGCGAAGATGAATTAGGGGAAGCCTTAACAAGTCCATGTCGACCTCGTCCAAATCGCTCTGTAGCGGTTTAGCCTGATTTCGTGAAGGACTCGTCGACACTGATGGACCAGGAGACACTTCAGTGGCAGTTGTAATCTGCTCCGCAACCCCATCATCTCCATGATCTTTGTCACCATCTTTAGTTGCTCCCGACGGATTTTCTTCAATTTCATCTATCCCCATTTGAAAGGCTGCTAGCACTGAGGCCACATTACCTCCTTCATGCTTCGGTGGCCCCTGCAAATTTACTTCCTTAAGCGCAACCTCTCCTTCCTCCTCGGAAGTGCTTGCGTCCTCGCCTGCGTCGTCCTTCATATTTCCTCGACTTCTTTGTTGTTCATGTTCTTCGTGATGTTTGATTATATTAGTATCAGTTTTCCTACTCGGTGATGGTGAAGACGGTGAAGAAGTGGACTGGTGTTGCAGATCGACTTTGTAGTTCCTGCTATTCGCCTCTGCTGATCCGGTAACTACTGAGCTGCCGTCTTCTTCTAGTACGGAGTCGAGGGCAGGCTTTACCCCGCGTGCCGAAAGCGGTGCTAAAGCGGCCGCTAGAGGCGTCCCTGCATAGGAGGACGCAACACCAGGAGAAATTACCACTGACACTGAGTCATCCAGTGCGAGTCCACCTGCTATCATTTGCTCAGCCGCTTCCCGCGCTACGTCTCCAAACGCGACATCTGAAGTCGGCGAGCCAGCAACGTTACTACTCCTACTTGGAGGACTTTCTTGGGATGCCCTAGCGTTTTTCTCTGTTGGTACTTCTTCTCCCTTAGAATTCTTGCCACTATTTTCATCCATCATCTTTCTTCCCTCTGCTCGCGCTAGTGCAGCAGCTCTTTTTGCTGCCGGAGACGAGCTCGCATCGTCCACATAGCTCTCATCCCTTGACGCGTCTAAGCCGAGCGCACCGCCGGAAGCATGCTGCCCGCTTAGGACTACTGGCTCCTTTACTCGGTCTCCTTGATTCCCGTCTTTTCCTTGTTCTACACTTGTTCTGCTTGTTCTTTTCGTACCAGCACTCAGCCCTGCACCGTCTATGAAAAGCGATGGAGGTAGTGACTTCTCCAAGACTTCTTGTTCCTGTGCTGTATGTGCCGTAGTTGTTGTCGTAGCTGCCGTCCGACTAGCAGGTCGAAATTCTAGTGCTCCTGTAGAAGTTTCATTCGCACTAGAAGTTTTGTTCTGTTGCCCGAATGAATCTTCCGAAGTGGGTGACCGCTGATTTCGCGACGCGAGACCGGAAGAACCTGGAGACGCGTCCTCGTCCTCTTCCATCATGGCGCCTGTCTCTGCGTCAAAGCGCTCCACAGCGCCATAATCCGAGTCGGAATCGGTACAACTCCTGGCCACCATTCGTCCACCCACTACGTCATTTTCTCCTTCTTGATAGTCATTGTCATAGTGTGCCGCTGTTCCTAAAGATTTCAAGCTGCTTCCGGTAGCTTCGCCTCGATTTAAACTTTCATTCAAATCAACGCGGACTTTCGGAACATCCGAGTCTGACGATTCGGACGATTCTGACGAGTCATCGCTAATGTCAAACCGCTGCACATCCGCCACTGTAACTGCTGCCACGTTAGAATCTACTTCGGAGGGAACAAATGCACTCAGGAACCACTACAAAACGAGGACAAAAAGGTACATTTGAATTACTTACTTTGTCCCGGCTATAGGAAAAACGCATCCTAGAACTACGATCACATCATTATCTTTTCCGTTGCCATGATATACAAAGCTATGTGAAGAATGTCCGCGCAACCATTGTTCCAATATGATTATATTCCTAGTCGCGTACTGTAAAAAGGTGAAGTAATATTTTCTCCAGTGAGCATACCTCAATCATAAAGGCAGCAGGCGGTTTCTCGCCAGAGGTCGGCTCTCGTGGCGGGGACTCTGATTTCGCTCGTTCTGCCGCTGCTGCAAAACCCGTTGCACTTCTTATTCTAGCCGCAACATCGTCGGGATCTTCTGAAAGTGGGCTGCTTTTCTTGGGTGACGTCGTTGACGATGCACTTCGCTTACCAGAAGCACCCAGCAACTCGCCCTCGCTAGTCTTCTCGTCTGAGGCATCCACCTCTGTGGCTGAGAGCAGTTTTCGTCGAGCTTCTGTGTTGGTGATTCCCTCACCTAGAGGCATCGTCTTCAAAAACGAGTCCTCTGCAGATGTGCCAGCAATAGCTTCCTGCAGCAACGCCTGTAGGGAATGCTAGAGAGTTGATACACAAACAAAACAAGGAGAATGAGAATTCCACATTCATTGCTGTGACACGAGTTGTGTGGTCTTGCTCAGTAGCATGCTCTATGAAGTAGTTCAACAGCATCATCTTTGTTTCTGTATAATAAAAAAGTACCGCAGCTTTCTTGCCTGTGAATGTTCCGGTCCCGTCTGAGAGCGTTAGCGTTGATGCCAGCCCTTCCGTCTCGAACTTGCCCCGACTTGCTCCGACTTTCGGACTTGGACTTGAATCCCAATCCGAGCTCTGGTCCTCGTGCGTCGGAGTAATTTTGGGCCACATTGGCTCGGAAACCTCGCTCGTTGCTTCATCGGGGGACAGGCCCTTCTGGGTCTTTCCATTTCCCCATACGGCCTTTGGCTGGGGTAACAGAGAAGCTGCTTGTGCCTTGCTCGCATTGCTACCTCTACTTAATGAATCTTGATCAGGTGACGCCTTGGTGTTATCTTGCTCATCGTTCTCGTCACTCTCTACTAGGGAGACTGTGGCTATGTGGATTTTAGGACTAGTCTTCTCTTGCTTTGGACTAAGCTTTGGACTCCGAGACGAAACCCGTCCTGCTCCTTCCTTGTCGGATTTTGGACTAGTACTTCCACTCGATCTCGGACCAGCTGGCCGTGGACTGCCCTTCGGACTCGCCTTGCCGTCGCGGCTCACTCGACCGCCCCCCGGAGATGACTGGCCGGCTGCCCCGCCTAATTTTCTTCGCTTCTCGTACTCCGCGCGGTAAGAGCCAGCATCACCCCGTCTTCCTCCCATTGCAGTAGCGCTAGAAGAAGACACTCCTCCTCCAGGGATGCCTGCTCTTGGTGAAGTATTGCTTGTTCGTGGTGACGACGAGGATGCTCTAAAGGTCTTCGTCGGTACTTCTATCCGTCCTCCCCGCCCAGCACTCTTCTTATTCACCACTGCAGGCTGTTGATGGTCCACTTGTTGACTCGCCACTTCATCCCACAACTCATCAAATTCGTCGACTTCATTCTCTTCACCGCCACCCTCCAGTGTTGATTCCATCCATTCTGCTGACTCAGAGACTGGCGCAAGCGCTGATTGCATCCTGGAAAGGGATTTATGAACCTCCAAGTATCATGAATATGACGCGTAATTAAGCTGGTGAACCTTACATAGTCAAAAAACATACTTACTCCAATCGAGATGAAAAAAATCCTGATTCAATAGTTGATCATCTTCCTGCTTCAATAATCATTGCCTTCTTGTCCTCGTGCAATGACACTTAATTATGAAATAACCATCTGCTCCAAATTAGACTTAGTAGACCTTCAACCCGTAGTAGATCTAGAACCCTAGTAAGCAGGAATACTTTGCTCGCTTCCCTTTATTCTTTGCTTCTGCGGAGAAGTCTGAGAGCGTTTTGACTTTCGGAGGACCTCCTGTTTTCCCCTTCGCCTTGGCCTTAGCAGCCCTTTGGCGAAGGGCATACTGCTGATAGCCATCCATTTTTGCGACCTAGTACCGTGTTCGTCGGGAGCGCTCCTTCATCCCATGACCATCCGTTGTAGGTCGACGTAGAGGTACATTCTTTATCTTTTCGTTTCTTGGTTTTATGAACAGCTGACGTACTTGGTTAAAGCTTAAAAATGTGTGAATGATGAAATAGAAATTCTAGAATTTCTCGTCGTCTAGAAAACTGGTGCGTGCGCCACCTTTGTGGCGAAAGACATTCTTCGCCGTACAAACTGCTCATTCCCATTTTCATAATTTCTTGCAGACCCCTTGCTCTCATTTTTTCGAGTCAATGCAAGGAAGCTCCCGCTGAAAGTAGAGTGCTGGAGAACTTTGGTTGCAAAATAATTCGAAAAGGTTGTAAGGACACCACCGAACAGTTCTGACCGAAAACGCATAAGCAAGTGGCAAAGAAATACGCACCAAGCGAAACTCTCAAACGTTCTCGTGCAACAGTGTTCGTATTGTCGTCTTTTTCAGACGGCATTGCAGGTGTCACATGCTGGCGTGTTGTAGATGGCGGGTTGTCGTTGTGTACTACTAGTCTTCTCAAACAGCACTTTCAATTTCTTCTTCATGCGTCGCGGCGACGTGCGAGCGGGTATAGTTTCGTTGTGGGGAGTTGTACAATTCCAAGTGGACGTTCAAAGAAATAATAGACTGACTTGAAGCAATGTCGTTTTCATGTTGTGGGAAAGGCAAGGGGATGTATAGGATACTACAACAACTAGATATAATAAGGGACACTAACAAATATCTCAAACCTGCTCGCGGTGAAATCTGGTCCTGGTAAGCGGGGGACGATGATAATATTGACGTTGTATTACCAGTTGAGTAATCAGGTTAGCAATAGCATTCTCTAAAAATTCAAGAACGGCCAGCACATCAATATCTGTTATAATATCTTGTTGGAAGCAGATAGTGGCAACATATATGGAGGTAGACCATTTGCCATGATTCTGGCACTGCTGGAAGCATGCTTCTCGTATTACTCATCCAGCCATTGTAATATCAAGCATGACAATGAATAGTATTATAGGTTTTCTTTGCTCACTTCTATCCAAATCCAATGAATACCTAGTAACTAGGAGACACAAAGACCACCTCTTTATTCATATGTGGGTGCAGCCTCCGCTGCTGGGTGAGGACAGGGACACTACTAGTTACAGGCTGGATCTTCCTTCAACCAAAAATTCCACTATGCTTTCATTCTCATTGGGAAGAGAACCATATCTACTTTCTGTAAGGTAGACGGGTTCAATGCCTCCTCCAGAGATCGACTCGTCTTTGAGACACTGGTGTTTTTTACAACATCAATTCTTTCACTACATATTAAATACTCCACTCCTCGTTCATCCCAGAGGAAAAACTTCAGCTCCTCAAGATACGCATGATTCGGAATGTCTTCGCTGTTCTGCCTATGCATCCCAGGCAACCTTTGATGTCCTGTCGCAACTTCTACGTTCAATACCAAACTCATCACGATGCCCAAGACCATGATAGATATACTTTCAACATCCCTCAGCGTCGCCAACGATTAGTCGGATGAGGTTTCTTCGTAACGGTAGTGATATGCGTTCAAGCAAACCTCCTCGACTATTGATATTTCGAAGCACCACCAAAATTACAAGGATTGCCCTTCTTCCTTCGCTTCGAGTTCGCTGTGTAAGCAGATTGTAAGGAATTTAGTACAAACAAGGTTGCTAGTAGAACGAACATCTTTATTCGAATAGACACAAAAGAAGTCGCGCTAAAGTTCATGGTTGCAAGCAAACGCTACTGGAAATCTATCATCATCTTCATGAGTTAGCATTGATTTCTTTGTAAATCATGATGAGTTAGCATTGATGATTCATTTGTATTGCGTTAACCAGTACTTTTTGTCCATGAAAATTTTCTTTCGAGCTGGAGCCTCTTTTTTTGCGCCATGCGAAGGTGACGAGGAGCGTGAGGAATGGGAGGATTTCGAGGACCGGGAAGACCGGGAGCGGGATCGCTTGCTGTTGCGCTTATTTCGTCGTCTAGAAGGAGACGAGGACCGACGCGAACGGCCTGTGAAGGTTAGGTTAGGTTAGGTTAGGTTAGGTTAGGTTATGGATCCTTCACATGTGCATGTGGAGTGGTCATTGATAATCATTATATCATGCTGTTATAGTACGCATGATCTCTCATGGTCTTTGTCTTTGATATCATAATACATGGATGGTCTCAGAAAGCAAATGCTTGATCTGTATTTAGTCTCTGTTATTTCATCCGCAAAACAAGAAGTAGAACAAAAAAATTTGAATTATACTTCTGCTCATGCGACGTCGAGATCGCGGTCGCCTATCCTCACCATCGCTCTCCTTAGCCTGATATCGCGCCGCGCCTTGAAATTCTGAGGAAAGTATCGTATATTTCAAGTGTCACCATAGAAGATTGGTTAACTAGTTATCATAGATCTGATTCTCCTCCAAAAATTATGCTAAGGATAAGGAAGCTTACTCGTAGGGTTGTGGGGTCCATCGCGATCTCGTGGGTTAGGACGAAGAGGTCGATTCGTGCCACGTCCGTCGCGGCCACTGCGCCCCCGGCTGTCTCGTCCTCTGCTTAGAGCTCAAAGCAATTCATTTCTTCCCTGCGTTTCTCCCAATTATCCTAAGGAAGAAACGCGGGCAGATGGCTAATAGAAATAAGCTTTGAAGCAGAGAGGGCAGTGCAGAAGCACGTCCTTCCAATCTAATCAAAGAAAGAGATAGAAATTGCATGATTAAGCCTTAATCTACCGCGTCTTCTGGAGTCTCCACGTCGTCCTCTACCGCGTCCACCGTACCAGCTATCATTATAGTGCCACGAACCGTAACCCTTGCCTCTACCTGAGATGAATGATGTCAAAGTAATTGGTGTTTCTGTTTCAGCTTGAATGGTAGATGATGACTGGGAAGCAGATTTCAGATTTCAGGGGGCCTCGCTTCGGCCGGAATTTTTTTTTTGTATTCCAAGACCGCCGGAACTTTTTTTTGTTGCATCCCAAGACCGCCGAAGGAGTGATCCTAGTTTTATCCAGTTCGCAAACCGGTGGCAGGTGGAGTCCGATTACCTCCTTAAATATTACTGCGCACTAATTGCCTACGAACCTACCAGAACGCTATGTGCGTCGGCGTACTAAGGAGAGGGACGAAGGTGACTACAGAAGAGGAGCTCTAGCTACAAACAAAAATTGAGTTCAAATGGCCAGTGTTATTGGAGTCGGATATCATTTTCGTGACAGCTAGGGAGGACTGCACTACAGCACTTGTTCTAGTTTACGATCATTATGATATTTGTAGATCCTCAAACTCATGATGTAGTTGCATTCTATGATCGAGAGACAAAAAGATTGGAGAGCACCTTTGTTTCTCTCTGGGGCCTTCGGAGGTGGCGGATCCTTATCGGACAGACTGTGCTTCCATTTTTCTGCAGCTGCGCGACCAAAGATTTCTTTGCATGTTGCGTAACTGATATCCCTGAAGCAACGTAAAAAAAAATTGAACAATCAGTCTGTCACACCAGATGACTGAATATGCGGAGGTACTGGTAGGTCCCAGGAAAAATCTTCATATCAAAAATATCGGACGAGCGTAAAAAACAATAAGCCGAATAAGCGGAGGGTCCAGGAAACATTTGAATAATAAAATGGTGGATATCGTTGTGTCCCGAGTAGGGAGAGTACCTATTGGGAGAAGTAGTACCTTTTAGGAAAAAGTGAAGTCAACTTGATCTAGAAAAGAAGAGGTTCGAAATTTCATCATCAAGGGAATGACGTCTGCTTGTGCTTTGAGCTGAAAGTATATGACGGAAGAATTTTTTGTTAATTGGTTGTTCACATCCAAATGATCGTAGTTCCTCACACACACACACACACACACACGACACCATCACCAAACATCAACATCAAAAGATTAAATAAATACTTGTTTTCCTCTTCCGCAGGCACACGATTTCCATCATTATCGAAACGGCCCATGTAAACATTGCGGATTTCAGGCTCCCCTACCTCAGCATCCAGCCACTCTTGTGGTGGTGCGTAATGACTTCCGCCGAATTCCTGTACAAGTTTTGTAAAGGTTGCATAGGTTTTGTAAAGGACATTGATTGTATATTAGTATTGTTGGAAGGGTTACACGCTAGAGGTAAAAACGAACCGGTGTATATTAGTATTATGCATTGCTTGGGGGTTGTGAAGGTTGTATCTATGTATAGGTTGTATCTAAGTTGTTTTTGATGTTGTGTAAGTTGTTTTTGATATGCGAAAGGAACAAAATCCTGATAAAGCTAGAAGAAAGTCATCTATCACTGAGTTTGACTTTATTAGTACTGAGTGACTTCATTCATTCATTCATTCATTCATGTTCGCGGTTCGGGTTCGGCAATTCAGCTCACATAAAACCCGTCCACGACAGGACAAGTAATACCTTTATGAATTCTCCGAGGAACATCTCCTTTTTCTTTTCTGCCACTACTTCGCCGTCACCATCGCCACCGCCACCAGCGCCAGTCGCCTGCGATTCCGTAACCGTAGCTCACATTAGACTTCCCTACTCGCTATCGTGGTACATTGGCATTGCTGCTCAATCTCTTTATTTCAAAGGAGCGTGCGACTCTAGATAAAATTAAAGTAAATGCAGCATAAGCTGGTACTCCAGTACGTGTTGTATCAACTTCAGCACTGAATTTACTTGGTGCTCTTCTCGACAGAAAAGTGCCGAGAACAAGTGAAAAAGATGATATGCCATAATTCTACGCCTATCTATTAAATCACACGTTGTTGTACACCAGGACTGAGTTGCTTCGCACATAGAACATCACCAGCAGTAAAAAGTCTACTAGATTTCCACATTCATACATTTGGATGCTTCCGCTTCTCCTGCTCAGTGATAGCCGCCGCTTGTGGAAAGGATCCTCTCGAACCATTTCCGTGCGTAATGGTGAAGTGTACACGAAGTCCGAGATCCAGTTTGCGAATCGGGATGCCCTTCACTTGAGGAAACATTAGAAGAAGACCCTCTTTCATCATCGTCGCATCGATCTCTATAAAATGACAACCATTAGTTTTATCTCTATAAAATGACAGACCATGGCTTAGTTTTATTGTTGATTACGTCAGAGTTTTTCAAACAAAAATTCTATAAAATGACAGACCATAATCCCTACTATCACAGACGACCATACGAAGTAGCCATGATCACCAGGATGATTACGCTAGAGGCAAGGATTGTTCGACAGGATGATTATAATGTAGCATCGATCGTCTACTACGAAGATCGATCTTCCAGCTCCATGTATGTATCACTGTCAACATGATGAGACCTCATCATCGTTTTATCTATCTTCATTATCAGTTGGACTCACTTGTTGGAAAGAATGGATTGTGGCCTTAAAAGAGCAAAAAAAACGGAATGGGCGTTCAACGGCCGCTCTGGGTCGACTTTCAGGGCTTTGGTGATCTCTTCCCCTTTACTCGGATCCGCAGAAGACAATGAACCAAAATGGTAGTTTATCATGTCACGCTATATCATCTTGTTACTGAAACGTTAGTATGTTACGTTATGAAATGGAAGTGAGCCACCATGTCGCGTTTGTTCCACCATATGAATTGTTTTAATATACAACACTGAAAGACTGATAGTAAAATTCACGGTCGCTATGTCATGTTCTCCCGGTGTGAGCTAGCAAAAACTCACCTTTGATTGATTGTAAGTACACTGAAACTGAGTGATTTTTCGTGTGAAAGTCAAGGTGATTTGCATTAGTAAAGCTTCTAACTCCAAGTATTAACAGCTTATGTGATAATTCTATGTTTCATAAGTGTAGATTTCCCACTCGCCCCATGAATCCACCGAAATCGATGACTTCGCCGTAGAAGTTTAGAGAAACCGACTTGAGAAGTATGAAGAATTAGGGAATAGCAACAGTAACAGAAATGAGACCAAATTAGTCTGACGAGAGATCGAGAAGTTTTCATCATTGAGTAAGGAGCGTTCATGGCGTTCATGGCGCCCTAGAAGTTTATTAAAGCTACCGCGTTCGCATTTTGTTCCTCCTTGAGAGTAATAGTATCCTTGGCAGGGCTGCATTTTCGACTATAGAAAAAGAAGATCCAAAGACTGAGACTATGGTGTTGATAGGGACATCATGGTTCAACGGTAGAAGCCTTAAGAAATCGGTATCAAGCCAGTTACTCATTTCTTCTGCTAGATCTCGGTTATAATTCGGATTCAACGCCCCTTCAAAGCGTTTCCCCGTATCTTGTCTCTCGTCATACCCTCCGTTGGGACCCCAACGTCCGAATTTTTCTGTAGCGATTAATAGAGCGATTAATGGTGCTGGAGGTTGACAACAAGGTCCCTTTGAGGGACTGTAATCTAGGAATAGACGTGAGGGAAATCTACACGGTTATGTTTCTCTATGTGCTTTCAAAAAAGTGTAGAAGTACCTCGTGGTAGTGATGAGCGTTCCTTTGACCCATCCTTGTCTTTCGCTGGAGAGCGTCTTTTTTCTGCCTCCCGACGCCTGCTCCTTCTCTTCTCGCTGCGAACGCTATCGCTACGTCGACGCGACCCTTGACGCGATCCGCTACGCGATTTCCTGCGACGATCTTTTTTCATCGTATCATCTCGCTTGTCGTTATCCTTGTTCTTTTCTCGAGTATCCGCATTTTCTTGTCCAGCATTAAAGGTTGTCCCAACAAATTTTTACATTCTTCAGCACATTGTAGTTGTTCTTGGGGGCCCCTTGTTGTATTTTATCAATATCTATTCCCTGAAAAAAACAAGATCAAGGATGTTTTTGCGACTCCAGGATGTAAAAATGTGGGAACTCTTAATGTCATCCTTCTTGTTTTCTGATGTTTTCTCGTTTTTCTTTGTCCTCTTCGATCGAGCTTCTTCACGGTCACTCGACGAATCGGTGTCGGATTTGGCTGCTGCACGTGAAGACTTATTTCTTTCTTGCTTCTTCTTGCTAGGACGCCCATTCTCATCGGATGAGGACCGACTTCGCTTCTCCTTTTTCTCTTGTTCGCTTTTTCGCCTGTTGTTCATGTTCCTGTCATCGCGCTTTTTGGCCATCTTTAGATGTAGCTTCTTGGTGTTTTTAGCTTCGCCTGTTAGCTACGCCTTTTTTTCCCCCTTTTCAGGAAGCAAAAAAACCACGCCCCCAATAAGAACCAACGAAAGAACTAAACCTTGATTGGCGTGCCCTATTCTATTCTATTCTGTGCATCCCTAATAAGTTTGCAGCACCTACCGGCGGGATGAATCGATGTGATAAGCCTCACAAGAGGAGTCATTTGGCAAAACAATATGAGGACACAGCTTCTGAAAGAGAAAACCGCTCTCAAATTGGCGGCTCCCCTCGTATATGCGAGACGAACCAAAAGAATACTGGGAGGCCCAGAATTCTGTACTATCCTACGCATCCCGCTTGATGCCTCAACGAAGTCATTGCCTCAAAAGAGAAGCTGACATCGTGCCCACAGCCTCCACACTAAATAACGGCAACTACTTACACTCTTGGCGTTAGCTTCCAGCACTACTACCACCAATAGAAACACCAAAAATCTATCCTTAACACTTGTTCCTCTTCACTGTCAGAAACACTTTGTTTACGTTTTTTTGCTCGCTTCTCATCGTTCGACGGCTTAGAGGATTTCTTTTCCTTTTTCCCATCACCTCGCTTCTCCTTATCGCGAGCACTCGTGGTCTCCTTCGCGCGTTCCTTAGATGAATGCGAATATCATGATTGATATGCATCACAGCATACAAGAGCAACGAATGATATTAAAAGCAAAAGATCTTCTGGCCTACATAAGTGGTCAGCATACACTGATGAAGATGAGACTTGTATGTTACTCTACGAATCATTGTACAATGTAAAGCAAAACTTAAAGAACTGATAGGTGGCCACTTGTTACAACTCGTCTATGTCTAACTATGATGTATCTATGGTATCTATGTATAAGTATTGAAAATCTTAAGCTTAGCGGGTTCTGCTGAGCGTTTACGCGATCCTTTATTACGCTTCTTGCGTTTCTTCCCTGCGTCAACGATGCTTGCGTCGTCGTCAGGATCATCATCGGGAGATCGGCTGCGACGCTTTCCAGATCCGTCTCTCGATCTTGACTTAATCCCGCGTTCCTCACTGTCTGCTGCTCTTTTTTTCGCTTGAAGATCTTAGAAGATACAGCTATTGCTATGAAGGTCTTAGAAAGACTAATATCTAATATGTAGTAGTAATAAAGGACGATGAACTACCTCAAAAATTACGCGGGTCTCATCAAGAAGAGCAAGTAGCAACACGACGACGATGAAGTCTAATTAATTACACGGGTCCCCTCAAGAATAATTGCTCCTTGATCTTGACCTTCATCGCTTAAATCTACTAGTGTCCCTGGTAGAGTAGACTGATGACCGTCTAAGAAGGGGTGAACAACAGGTTGACACTATTTGCTAGTTCTCAGCATAACGAGGCTTCTTGTCGGAGTCCGATCGTCGCTTCTTTGCCTTGTTGTCGCGAGATTTCCCTGATTCCTGCTCCGAATCACTATCATCGACTGAAGACTCCGAGGATTTCTTACGGCCCCTGGGAATCTTGCGAGCCCCTCCCGAGGGTGCGGCTGCACGATGACCCAGTGCCACTCCCTTGCTGCTCTGCGTCTTTGATCCTTTTGTCGAAGTCTTTAGCGAAGAAAGTGAACGCGCTCTATCTACACATGATTTCCTTCAAGACAATTGATTGTAATCCTCATCAATTGATTCTCATCCTGATTCAGAATTTTGGTCTAACATCCCTCTTGAAGAAAATAGTCTCCCGTTAGTTTCCCTCTAATCTTCTAAGCTAGCGGAATGAATGAAAGGTACCCCAAAGGGAACCGCTCGAAACTGAAACCGAAACAAATGCAAAACATTTATCATAAGTCCTTTTTGGTATCCGGAATCGATTCGTTTGATTTGCGTTGCTGGTCTCTTTTTGCGTTGTCCGCATCGTCATCATCAGAGCTTTTACCACCAGAAGTTGTTTCTTTTGTATTACCAGCCGAGAAAGGATTGTTTTCTTTCACCGGTGGTAGGACTTCTACTTCGTCGGAACGCCTTTTAGCAGATCCTCGTTTATGATCAAAAGTAGCGCCATCCTTCATTATATCATTAGCGGCAGGAAGATTTTAAGGTTCCCGTAGTCCGTTACTGTGTTTTGCCCATCTCCCTGAACAAGAAAGGCAAAATCAACGGCAACACGAACACCTAGTAAAGCCTGTAGTACCCTTAATTTCCGAACCTCCCTTGTCGTTTTTCTTAGGATGCGACCGAGAGCAGCGTCGCCTACTTGCGGGACTGACAGACCCGTTTCGTGCACCACCCATCCCACACGATAACCGCGGAGGTGGGAAGCTAAAACTTCAGCTCTTTGCTGGAACGAAGGAAGCGGCTAAGCGAGGAGGAGAAATTCGTTTTTTCGAGAATGAAGAAATATTCTTGGCTCACGAGTCATTCAGATTCAATTTTTGAACTCCTCTCAAACAAACAAAATCTTTCTGAACATATTTAGAATCACATTCACACGAAGTACCTTGAAAAATCAATAAGAAGGGTTTACACCTACCAAAATCAAAGCAGCTCTACTCTGTCGGTCATCCACATCCTGAAATCCGATCATAGCCATGACGACAACAGATTGACTCTAAGGTAAGATGCAGGTGGAGGTGGCAGAGTTGTCAACATGATATAAGACCATTCGCATCTCCTGGTGAAACCTTTACAACTATAGCATACAACTAGAATTGACGCGCCACCCAGCAGATACACAAGGATCCGTCCGTGACAGCACTAGTCTTGCATCATTCTCCACAGTAATAGTGGCTATAGCAAGTGCACGATGACACAGTACTTCTACAGCATGCCCACGCAGTGCTCTTTTCATCCAGAATGTGACACGCTAGAACAATGCTTGTTCCACGAAGAAAATGGCGCATCACGTACTGGATCATCTTTGTGACAAGTGCGACGTGTGGAAAACAGTGTGTTGAAATTCTGATCCAATACTAATACGAAGCGAAAACTAATTTTCCTGAACACCTGCCGGCCGAAATTATGATTTTCGGAATCACCCAACCGTGCTCGGACGGAAGCTGAACACAATCGTACAGGGGACAGAATGCAATCTTCAACAGCAGACAGGTATCTTCGCATGGTTGAGTCCCATCTCTGGTAGTTCATTACATCAATATCTAAATGTGTGTCTCTGATATGTCTTGATGTAGAAGCTGTATTTGTTCCCTATTTAATCGTCACTTTCTCAGGAATTCTTATCAGATATCAATTCACAAAGGGTCGGTAACCCTCTCAGTCTGTTTCTACATCTTCTGAGTCATTTCTACGAGGAGGCCGCAGTGGCTATTTTTTTCCTCATCTTCAAAGGGGCGCAACAATAATCTTACTTGCTGGGAGGCCGTGATGGCTATTTTTCTCCTCAGCCTGTTTCTACATCTTTCAACTCATACGCTACGAGGAGGCCGCAGTGGCTATTTTTCTCCTCATCTTCAAAAAAGCTCAATAATCCTTTTACTTGCTGGGAGGCCGCGATGGCTATTTTTCTCCTCAGTCTGTTTCTACATCTTTCAACTCATACGCTACGAGGAGGCCGCAGTGGCTATTTTTCTCCCCATCTTCAAATAAGCACAATAATCCTTTTACTTGCT